CCTTCGCCTCCCACCTTGCCGGGAACTGGCTGTCCATCCCCTTCTATATGGGTCAGTTCAACCACGCTCCCGCCACAGGGGAGCAGAACAGAGAAGCCACACGGCATGTGGTCACGTGCAAAAGGCCCCTAAACTTGCCCAGTCACTGCGCTGGAGAGCAAGGGACTAACTCACTTGCCAAAGCCTGTTATTTGTGGAAAGCGGTAACTTCTGCCTGTTGTTCTGGATGACTCTACCCCACACAGACTTGTTCTAAAGGGCTTGTATAATGAAGTTCACCTATAGTGCAGCTGAACATCAGTATCAAATAGTCTCCGTGGGACCAAGAAGCCCATCGTGGCTTTGTGGGAACCAAACAAAGTTTTCAGAAGACTGAAAAGCAAAGGTTTCTGGGGAATGTCTTGTGTGGTCCCTAGGTGTTCCCTCTCGAAAGCGGCACACCGTGTACAGTACCCGTATGATCTGGGGTGTGGAAATAGCTCCTGGGAGCCGTGATCCTTCTAGAAATTGGCATGCATCCTGATTCTAGGGTTAGGCAAACACTAAGCTTGCCTTTCACTCTGTATGCATGTGGAAGCTGGGCAGAGAGGAAAGCTGATGGGAAAAACCCGAAGTGTTCAAAACATGGTGCTGGCAGAGAGCTTCGTGGATATCCTGGACCAACAGGAAGAGGAACAGGTGGAGATCGAGTCAAGCCGGAAGTTGTCCTGGAAGAACTGAGGCTGTTGAACTTGAGGAACATCATAAGAAGGTGAGATTCCCTGGAGAAGACAATCGTGCGGAGGAGAGTTGAAGGCAGAAGAAGAAGAAGAATCCAATTGTGAGATTGCTCACCTCCACCAAGGAAACCCCAGCCGTGAATTTGCAAGAGCTGAGTGGGGCTGTCAAGGAAAGGATATTTCGGTGGGCTTTCGTTCATGAGACAGAAAGACTTGACGGCACTTCACTACAACCAGCCTGGCTCATGTATTCTTTTGTTCTTTGTTCTTTTGTTTTGAAGCTGGAATAGCCCTTCTTTTGAATGATATTGTTAATGTACAGGTGCAACCCTGTAAAAGGACAACCCTAAGAAAGATGTTCAGAGAAATGTGAAAAAAATGACTATAATTATCCTATTTGGTGTGGTGTAAGCATTTGGGCAACCTGACAAGGAATTGTCAAAACACTTGGCTGCTTGAGATGGAATTGAAATCCTGCATTCTGAATCGCACACAGGAAATTCAGATGAATCATCCTTTTGAGTAGTGCCCTTTATTGTCCCTGAGGAATTTGCAAATGAATCTAATTATCTGCACAGTTTTGAAGCCTCTGTGCTCTTAATGGATCATCAAGCATCACTGACAATCCGGGCGCTACACCCGTTTCTCGTTTCTCGGAGGACTTGGGATTACGTGCCAGCAACAAGCAGAAGCCTGGGATCTCGCACTACCCCCTTCCCCAGAGAAAAAGGGTGTGAGGCTTTTTTGGACTCCCCAGGAAAGCAGTGCAGCAAGCTTTGCTTACAGGGAGATGTTTTGGGTGAAACGAGCACATTCCCAGTCGGTAGATTAATCAGCCAGGCTCCAGCCAGCCGGCACAGATGGTCAGCAAAACCCTTTGCTCTGTGTAAGAGGTCCAACGTGCCCAGCCTTTATATCATTTTTTTAAAAATACTAATGGCAATGAGATATTTGCTTGTTTATTTATTTATTTGAAACTTTTCTACATTGTCCCTTACCGTGGTCTCAGGATGGTTTACCAATAAGACAATATAAAATAAAACACAGCCTCCCAATAAAATTTCCAAACCGCTATAAAAACCCCTATCAAAACAAGCTGGATAGGTGATTTCTGCATTGCATCTCTAAGGCTGTGAAGCTGAATGCGACTGACCTCCTTGGTTTCAGTGTCCTGGGAGACAGGCCTTGTGGTCGGTAGGTCAACAGCGAACCCAGCTCAAGTCACCCTTTCGCTGGGCTAAGTGCAGCAAAGCCCCCGGGCGCTGCAAGGGTTAAACATCCCCTGTTGGCGTCCACATTTTGGCTGCCAGTTCCCCTCCCTGCCTCATTTGCTAGATGTCACTGCCAAAGAAAACAAATTAACTCTAATATTTCACATTAGTTCTTCTTAAGAGGCTATTGCTCTCTGAAGTACCAGAGGCATTTTTAATTCGGTGCAAGGGAGGCGCAGAGCCCGAGTCACGATTCCTTCTTTCCACATCTGTTGTAGTTTTGCAAGAGTGTGCAGGGAGAGTTTCAGAATTGCTCCCATAGAAGATGCGTCACAAAGATCGGTGTTTCGGAGGCAGTTGATAATAAAAGTGCCGGGAAGGATCACAGAGGGCAGAAGACGTGGTGTGCGACGGAGGGGCGGGAGACCGTGGCGCTCATCTTCGCTCGGGGCAAAGCTCTCCATTGCAGCCCCGTGTGGGAAAGTGCAGCGAAGCCCACGAATGCTCTGCCTGCCAAGAGCAAGAGCCCGTGGTCCCAAGCCCTCCCGGTTCTAGCACAGCGTGAATTTCGCTAACCCGGTGTGGGCATTTCTAGCAGCCATTTCCCTTCCTTCCCCCGTCCTCTGCTTCAAGCAACGGCAGGCAGAACTTGCCTCGTTTCCTCAGAGCTTCTTCCTGTTGCTCCTCAAGGGTCATATCCATGGAAACAAGGTGGAATCTCCCAGATATTCAAGAAATTTCTGGGCATCTGTAGGTGCCATTCCTGCCCGCCGTCCCATGATGTGTACCGTGACTCCTACATTCAGCTGCAAGTTTTGCAAAGCCCGTGCTATCTACCCTCTTGCTAAGAAGCGCAATAAAACGGCAAGCTTCTTCGCTTAGGCAGCTGAAATGGACAACTTGTGCATTTCACTTGTGCAGGGAAAGCGCTTCTGGGGCTTAAATACTTCTGAAATCCTCATCCTATAAATGCCACGATCACTAACTGAGCCCCGGACTCTTCCAGTGGCTTGTGCAGCAGCGAGAAAAGAGTACTTTAATTGCAAAAAGACGCATCCTTCAGCAGTGGAAATCCAGCTTGGTTTCCACTGCTCTATGAAGGCCTTAGATGAACACACAGTATTTGACTGAAAGTCAACAAGAAGATACTTTCCATGACATTTGCAGTGCTCTGCTAACCGGGGCCTGTTGGAAGTCCCAGTCCAGCGCCTGTAGGGCACCAGGTTGGGGAAGGGTGGTGTGTATGGACACAATTGAATTGGACCTGCATGGCGGATGCATGAGCATGGTATGAAATGGGGGCTACACTGGAAAGCCCAGTGCATCCCCGTTTGCCCTCCATGTTTAGGGGGGCTCACTGATCACGCAGCCTCTTGTGGACGCAGCTGAGATTCCTGGCCCTGGAACACAGCTCTGCCTCCCGACGCTGCCTCCGGCCCCAGACACATCACTGGGTTTTCTTGACCGCTCGCAGTCCTTCTGTTTTAGGCTTATTAAGGAGTATCTTTTGCGATAGTCTCAAGATTAACACTTGGGAGGTAGCTAAATAATAGCATGTGGTGTTATTAGAGCCAGTGTGGTGCAGTGGTTAAGAGCGCAGGACTGGGACTCAGACGACCTGGGTTCGAGTCCCCGCTCGGCCATGGAGCCAGCTGGGTGACCTTGGGCCAGTCGCAGACTCTCAGCCCAACCGACCTCACAGGGTTGTTGTTGTGGGGATAAGATGGAGGGGGAGAATGATGTAAGCTGCCTTGAGCCCTTTCTAGGAAAAAGGATATAAATGGATGGATGGATGGATGGATAGATAAAACATGTAAGCAAGTGTGTTTGGTGAAACAGAAGATTCTCTAGGATGAGGGTTGAAGACAAAGACGCAGAAGGGGAGGGTGTGGAAGGGAAAGGATGCCTGCTTTAATGGGAGACTTTCTTTCTTGAATTTGATTTGTTCACCTGCAGTTAGTACTGAACATGGTTTGTTTTGTGGCTCAAAAATTGGAAATGTGACTTCTCCATCCTCAAAAGTGGCAGTACTTTTGCAGGGGGTGCAAACATAAATCATGCAGTCTCTAGGGCTGTGGGACATAGGAGAGTTTGGGCGCCGCTGCTCTGCGCATGCACCCAAATCGCACGACTGGGCCGGGCTGGATCACGGCATAGCGTATTTCGTGCCATGCGCTAACCCTTCAGGAAGGTCTCAGTGAGCGCCTCCAGTCCCTCACAACAGGCTTGGCACTGAATGCCCATGTGCCCCGGGGTGGTGCTGCTGGTGCGGGGCAGGGAACAGGGTTCTGTGGTGCACTAGCAGAAACGCTTTGTACTTCATGCTTCCAGGCATGATTTCCAGCTGAAGGTTATCCTCCTCCCGAGGGGGCTGTGTGCTGGAGTCCGTGTGAGCCCCGCTTCCTTGGGGCGTGTGACCAGGCGGTGGGGCAGTGCCAGAGGGACAGGCAGAAGGGAGTACCTGAATCTGCCCCAGCCCCACGTCTGCGGATTCCTGCTTGCAGTGCCGCTTGCGCTACGGGGAGCCCAGCAGGGATGCGCCCGAGGCCACGGCGGCTGTCACTACGGGAGACAGTCCATGAGTGGCGAGCAGGGCTGAGGGCCACCCTGCTCCATGCAAGGGCCTCTCTGCCCCCCGGCTCCCTGCCCCTGAACCCTGTGTCGAGTGGCGGGAAGTGCCTGCTTTGCACGCAGCTCTGGGTCCATTGGCACGTGCCACAACCAGTCCAAGGAATCTGAAGCCCCGAGCTGGGAAAGGGCCCTGCCCCACACCTTGGAGGGCGCATTCCGAGTAGCGCAGAGGATGCGAGGCGAGAGACCCGATGCTCTGCCTTGGTGTACGGCCTCTGCTGTATCCGCCTTCCCCAGTCCCGATTCTTGGACTTCTGGAAGCTGCAGTTCAGTGCATGGGGAAGGCCCTCAGTTAGAGAGGCTCCTTGGGGCGCCCTTCCACAGCTCGCTTCCTTCACCCTCTGCTAAAAGGGCCGGCAGAAAGAGCTGCCGTTTGGTCGTGCACCGGCAGTTCGGCTTGTGCGGCTTTCACGCAGCCCTTCCGCTCCTTGCCTTGCAGATCACGGCACCATCAAGAAGGTGCTTGCTCCGGTGAACCAAACGGCGAGCAGCTGCTTGCTGGAGGAAATCGAGATCTTCCCGGCGTCGCGGTGGGAGCCTGTTCGGAGCCTGCAGATCTTGCCTGGCCAGAGCGCTCTGTTCGTGGGCCTGCAGCGGAGTGTGGTGAAGATCCCGCTGAAGAGGTGTCCCTTTTACAGAACACGCAGGTACCCCTCGTGTGGCTGGTGCTGGGAGCTCAGTGCGGAAGGGGCCCCCTGGGGTTAACACCCTTCCGGTGTTCCCTCTGACCAGGACGTGCTCCAGGTGGCCCCTGAGCAGCATCCAAGGGGGGCAGAACACTTTGGAGTCTCGGGTGCACGGTTGGAAGCCGCCTCCTCGCGGCTGGGATCGGCCCCCGGCCCCCTGGGCAGCAGGACCCTCCTTGCTGGCTCCCTGGGGTTGAGGAGTCAAGCTGGGAGCGGAAGTACAGGGGGTCTTGTGGGTAGGGAGGAAAGGGCCCCAGCGCTGCCGAACTGGGGTGCCTGCTAGCGCTTCCACACCCTTCCTCTCCGGGGCAGCCCTGCGAATGACTGTCCTGTTGACTCGCCCAGCTGGAGACGCAGGAAATGGAGGTGCTTGGTCTTCTCCAGGTCGACTCCAGAGAGCGGAGAGACGATGTGCAGGGATGTGTTAACAGGAATTGCTTGCCCTTTGTCACTGATCAGCGGAAGCGGGAGTGGGGAACCCAGCGCCTGGGGGGCACATGTGCCCCCTGGCTGTTTTTGTGCCCCCTACTGCCCTGCTGGAATTCAGAGACACACCATAGGAGGTTTCATAGACTCACAGAATCCTAGAATGGCAGAGCTGGAAGGGGCCAAGAAGGCCATCGAGTCCAGCCCCCTGCTGCTGCAGGACACCAAGTCACACCATCCCACTCAGGTGGCTGTCCAGTTTCTTCTTGAATGTCTCCAGTGTGGGAGAGCCCCCTACCTCTCCAGGCAGCTGGTCCCACTGTCCTATTGCTCTGTCAGTGAGGAAGCTTTTCCTGGTGTCAAAATAGCCTTCCTTCTGGTTGCTTTATCCTTTTGGAATGGGACACTTTTGCCAGATTTCAGGGGCAAGATCAGTGTCAGGGAAGCAACAGGGCTATGCCCACCTGGGGCTGCAGAGGAAGTAAAGCTGCCCCAGAAGGGGGGTACCATTAAGGGCCAGCGTGGTGTAGTGGGGAAGGGCTGCAACTCAGGAGCACTGGGTTCCAGTCCCCACTCAGCCATGGATCTCACAGGGTGGCTTTGAGCCAGTCGTGGACTCGCAGCTCGCCTACCTCACAGGGTTGTTGTGAAGATGATGTAGGGAAGAAGAGAAACTTGTAAGCTACCTTGGGCTCTTTGCAAGAGGAAGCAAAGCAGGATAGAGATGCCGTGGAAGGAGAAGTAGCGGCAGCGGCAGCTTTGGTTGATAAATCTTTCTGTTAAAACCTTTAGCCCGAATAAATATCTCACTGGAGAAGAAGATTTACCTTTTCAAGGCGAAGTAGGGCACTTCAGGAAGCTGGCCAAGAAAAAATGGAGCATCTGGGTCTAGAGAGAGCACGTTCCCTTCTTTCATTCATGGTCTCGAGGTGGGGCCTGGTGGGCAGGAAGCAGGGATCTGATCCAGGTTAGGAAAGGAGGGTCGGCCCCACCTCTCGCTTTGCCCGGGCGATCACCTCCGTGGCGGAGGAGAGGTCGGCAAGTGGGAACGGCTGCAATCCTCCCTCAGCCCCTCTGCCCACACGTGCCAGGCGTGACGGACCTTCACCGAGCGTCGTCGGAGGGATCGGCCGTGCTTTCCCACGCGCGTGGGCGTGATCGCCCCGCACTCTGACGTTCGGCTTTGCGTTTGCAGCGCCTGCGTTGGATCGCACGATCCTTACTGTGGCTGGGACCTGGTGCTCAAGAAATGCACCCCGTTGGAGGAGAGCCTGAGCATGAGTCAGTGGGAGCAGAGCATCTTGGCGTGCCCGGTAAGTGCTCCGTGGAAGCACGTCAGGACGCGACCAGGCGCAAGCCACGTCTGCTCAAGCGGAGCTTCCTCTCATCTGCGCCACAGGCTTAATCGGTCTTTCTTTCCCATTCTTTGCAAGCTGCTACAGAGCCCCGTTTGTATGCATGAGCCACAAAGGAAGTCATCCCCTTGCAGTCTGGAATAGAGGCTGGAATTTGGTCGGTGTGACAGCCGAATGCCGAGGGGAGAAGCTGTTGCAAGCACTCTGGCAGGTTGGGGCAGGGAAAGGCAGTCCGGAAGGCCACCGGGTGCAGTCCTCTGTTCAAGGCAGTCTCCCATCCAAATACTAACCGGGCTTGACTCTGCTTAGCTTCCAAGATCAGGCAGGGTCAGGCACATCAGGCTATATGGAAACATAAATCATTGAGCCACTGTTGCCTTCCCTGCCAGACCAGACCTCCTTCCTCCAGTCCGGACCCAATCCTATTCCACGAGAAAGGGTTGGCTGCTGGTCCCACAGGGCTTCGGGACCTTTTAGCTCAGCCTTCCCCAACCCTGTGCCTTGCAGACTTGCTTGGACTGCAACACCCAGAATTCCCAGTCAATGGCCCTACGGTGTGGGAATTCTGGGGGCTGTTCTGTGGCCCAACCTGCACCCTTCCTTCCCCAGGCAGGCAAGCAGGAAGAGAGATCCCTTTCTTTCCCTTTCTCTCCTTTTTGAGGACGGAGGGAACAGTTCTGAGCACACAGCCAGTTCTGCGAGCTGACGCACCTGGCCTGCAGGTGCCCAGGCTGTTTCCTCCCTCCCTCCTCATTTCCCCGGAGTGCCTCATGGTCTGGGGAGTGGAAGAGAGGAACATGGCCAACCGTGGCCTGCCCAGTGCTTCGCTTTGCAACTGGCTGCACAAGGTAACGAGATTTTTTTTAAAGTCAGAGGACCTTGGCGGGCACCAGGTGAGCTGTTCGTGGGCATTTTGGCTCCCATGGGCATCAAGCTGATGGCCCCAAGAGCAATCCGTTGCAGGTGTCATAAAATAAACTTGCCAAGCTGCTTGTCCTAGATAAGAGTCATTAATTGTGATAAAACCTGGATTTTCAAACAATTAAGGGCTCTGGTGCTGAGCCAAAAACCAGCAGTGCAAAATGAAACCATATGGGTTGATGTAATTAAATCTCTGAACTTCAAACTATTATTGATTAAATGTGGACTTCCTTTCTCCCTGTGCCTTGAAAGATGTGATTATATCAACATATTTCACACTAATTAATTAAGGGAATTGCCCTCTTGTGTGGCTTGTTCCTGGACAAATAGATGGTGTATAATCTAGATTTCTTATCTTCCCAAGAATCCGTGTTTCTGTTGCTGTGCTTTGCATGGAAAAATGGCTTTACCTAGGTGTGTTGGCTGCAGTATTATCAAATGCTCTTCAGCTAGAAAAGACCTCCAAGAAATGAAAAGAAATATGGATTCCTGGCTTCTTGCATCTGTTACAAATCAAGATCACAAACAAGTGTTTTGGAGCTCTGGTTTGGATGACAGGCCTACTCTTTCAATTTAGGCACCCTCTCTGGGTGGAGGGGCCAGGCCACGAAAAAATACATTTCCTACCCGAGCGTGCAGTTTATTCAAGGTACCCTCTGACTCTCTGGAATGCCATTTTACCATTGGATGTAAACACGGTGTTCCATCATAGAATGAATTAATGTTACATCACATCTGAGAGCAAGCTCATCTGTCCTTTTGCCTCTTGGTTTCCAGACAAGGAATTTGACCGTGGATGGCCAGTTTGGAAGCTGGTCGGAGTGGAAATCCTGCACGCATCTGGATGCTTCCAGTGTAGGACTTTGCGTCTGCAGGTCACGCTCCTGTGATAACCCAGCTCCAAAATGCGGAGGGAGGCAGTGCGAAGGGCCGAGTATGGAGATAGCCAACTGCTCCAGGTATACCGGACAAAAGTGAGAAGACCTGGGCGCATGGACTCTTGCGTTGTTACTGAAACGCATTCCATTTTTTAGCTGTACATCTCTTAGCTAAACTAGGGCAGGGAAGCGGAAGGCATTTCCAGATGTTCGTGGACTGCTACTCTTTCACCCTAATTGGCCAGGCTGCAGGGGTTGATGGGAACTGGATTCCAACAACATCCACCAGTTCCCCGACCCTGTCTGAAAATGTCAAGTATGGCTATTACACAGGTGTATTTGTGCAAAATGTGTATTGTACCAATATAGTTGTCAACAGCAGGGGCCCCTAGGCCAGAAAAGTGTCCACAACCATCTTCCCCACTTTTTACGAAGCACCCAAAAAAGAGAAGAGGCAGCTTGAGAAGACTCAAGGAATGGATTTCCAGTCCTAGAGTGCTTGTGTCAACAGACTGTATTGATTGTTTATATGCTCAGTGCTGAGCCTGGGTTTTCTCCCATATAATAGGTGAAGTGGCTTTTAGCTTCTTAAAAGTAGGGGAAATGTCATTTTTGAACTGGACTATAGATTTGCCTGGAGGTTACCAAATAATACTTCATTATAGAATCTCAGATAACCAAGAATAAGCCTGCAATGTATAAGTTTATTCTTGCCCAGGATTGGATTATTTGTTGATTTATAAACTGCATCTAATAGTCTACACAGGACTCCCTAGGTGGTGTAGAACCAATAACAAAAGATAACATACATAACTTATACAATAAATATTTTTTTAAAAAATCTATTAAAATAGTGCAACTGAGACTACTACATAGCACGTAACAAAATTTGTCCTAAGTCATTAATAAAAAATTATTAAATTGGGACAATCAACACTTAAAATTAATTTAATACAATTAATTAATCAAATGCCCGGACGGGTTGTAATGTTGTATCTGCTTCTAGCAAGTCACGTGGGGAATTGAGGGCGTGGCACTTTTCATCCAAAGGCAAGGAAGAAGCCTCAAAGTGGATGCAGGGGTGACAGTCGGAACCGTGTCCCATCTGTTGCAGCTTCTGAAGTGCAGCTAAGGGACCCCTCCCTGTTAGAAAGGAGAAACCCCGCGTCACATCCGCTAATATCTGCATTTTAGAAAGGTTTGGGAAAGAGCCACAAGGTGCTTTACCCTTTCGCAGCCCATGGGCCTTTGATCCCAGGTTCTCCCAGGCAGCCTTCCCCTCTCAGCGTCCAGATGTCGCCTCGGAGCTGACCACATTCCGTATTTGCCCTCCTGCCCCCCGAGATCGGCGGCAGAGGCCCTCCTCTGGGAGCCCTCTGGGAGAGACATCAGGAGGGTGAGCACCCGGAGGAGGGCCTGCTCTGCGGTGGCGCCCCATCTACGGAATGCACTCCCCAGAGAGGTCCGCCTGGCGCCGTCATTATTTGTTTTTCGGCACCAGACAAAGACCTTTTTATTTCAACAATATTTTAATAACTTTTAACATCCGCTATATAGGTTTTAATCTGCAGCCAGGGTGGATCTGGATTTTATTTGTATTATTTGTATGGTGTTTATTTATTTTATGTAAGCCATCCCGAGGCTATGCGATGGGACGGCATACAAAAGAAATCCAAATAAACAAATAAACAAACCGTCCGTTCTTGCAGAAACGGCGGCTGGGCCCCCTGGACGTCTTGGTCTCCTTGCAGCACCTCCTGCGGAATAGGCTTCCGAGTCCGCCAGCGCTCCTGCAGCAACCCGAGTCCTCGGCACGGAGGCCGCGTGTGCGTCGGACAGAGCCGGGAGGAAAGGTACCTGCACCTGGATCCTTCCCTGTTCCTCTGCTTCGGCTCACAGCTCCGTGTTGCATGTACAGCCGGCACGGAGCTGAGCTCTCCCACGGCAGCTTCGCCAGGGGGTCCTGCTTCCCCGCAAAACAGTGTGTCGAGATTGCTGTCTTCAGAGCCGGGAATCCAGAAGGGAGCTTTCCAGGACTACTGCGCTGCACGGTGATCTTTTCGCATCAGCTGTCCTTCCTTGCAGGGTTGTTGTGAAAGCTCTCCTCAGGGTTCTTTCATGCTCTGAACACCTGCAATATGCCACATAAACTCCATAATCTATCCAGATTTAGACATATTTAAATTCCAGTGATTAATGCCGATAGTTGACTTTTCAGTTGAAGCACCGGGGGTTCCAAATACCTGCATTTGGGCTATTTCTAGACATGGGGTCACTGCAGAGAGCTGCCTTTTCACAGACTGGAGGTGCTTAGTTTGTATGTTCTGCAAACTATCGCTGTCACTGACTATTCTGAATACCGTAATTGATTTTTAGAGAATTCAATTTCCCCTCCTTGTAACATTTTCTAAATCTATATGAATGCATTTCCCAAGAGCAAATTCTCTGGGTGGCTTATAGGTAATTCCTGAAACCAGAAAAGGCAAAAAGGGGTAACGCAGAAATAATGTGTTACACTGAAAGTGAAGGAACGCACCGCGGCATCAGACCAGTGCCAGGGAGCATTGTAGCAACTGACGTGAAACCTACTAAAAATGTTTATGATAGACATTCTTCCGAAAATTAAAAATCTTCTCCTGGCACTGGAAGACCTAACCTGGACCTCAGGTGAGCTTCCGTGGGGAGCGCTTTCAGCGGCCCAAGCGCCAACGCTGGAAGGGCTTTTTAGCATCTCCTTGCGAGTTCGCATTTAGCGGATGGCCTCGGAAGTCGTTCTTGGCTTTGGAAAGAGTTCAGTGCTTTGCTGGTGAATCCCAGCACATTGAATTCTGTCTAGGAACCAGTGCAAAGGGCAAAGAGCCGGTATCAGCCAGTCCACTAACGATCTTGCTCCCCCTTTTAGCTGAATTTTACAGACAGTTTTCAAAGACAGCTCTACGTGCAACGCTTTGTAGAAACTCACCTGAGGAGTTCCCGAGACAGGTCAACTGCCTCTGTCTAGTTTGTGTTGCAGGCTGGACCACTCAAAGATGCTTTGAGCTTCTGAGGCTCCCCATGTGTCCAAAAGCAAAGCACAATCGAAGAACATCTCCCAGCTGTACACCAGATGCTGTAGACAGAGTGTAACTCCCTCTAAAACAAGGATCCCTCCCACTCTTACGCTCTCCATCTTGTCTGGACGATGGCACCTCACTCCAGGTCTCTGGATAACCTTTTCCAGGAGTTTTAGTAGATCTTAAAAGAGCCTGGGGAGTAAAATAGATGCCTCTGTCACCCCAGCTCTTAACTGCCAAGACACAGGGCCATAATCTCCCCTTCCAGAGGAACTGGCCATCCAAATGCAAAGTCAGAGCAACATCCATGCAAGACAGGATTCCCAGCACTGGACGCACGCATGTCATCCAGAGACATACCATGCTGGGTGATATTGAAAGAAATATTGTAGAAATCAACAAAAATCCTCACAGCTGTGCTCCCCGTTTCTCTCTTGGCGGAGGCCTTTGCACAAGGTAGTTTCCATTCCAGCCCTAGCCCTGAAATCTGATTGGAATGGACCTGGAAAATCAATTTCATAGCAGAGAGGCAACAGGTAAGGGACGGGAAGGGACTGATTTAAATCCACATAAATCTTGCCTGTGACAAAACCGCTCCTAAAGAAAAAGATGCTTTTCTCCAGGCGGATGTCTGCAGCTGTACCAGGAGGGGTCCTTTCAGACAAAGCATTTTCTGCTTTCTCAATAAAGGTCATGAAAATAATGCTTAAGCAAGTCAAGATCGCTACCTTGTTAATTAGGAGAATGATTTACATGATTAATCTGCTTCAGTCATTGAGGAAATATTGTAGCCCCAGCGGTAACGGGAGATATTTGTCCGTGAGCTCATGGATATAATTGATGGAATTAGATCTCTTGCCTAGTCAGTTATTATCAAAATGCAAGACTTAATGTTTTCTCCTCCAACTGCACCTCTTCTTTTGCACACAAAAGAGGCTTAAGTCTTGATTATAATGAGCATCTGTTTCCATTCTTTGCAAAAGGAAGGATTTCTCCCCCCCTCCCCCAGGAACGAGCATTGACTTTTGGAGTCACTGGGGAAGATTGGCTTGAGTGTGCGTGCGTCGTTCCTTATTTGCCCCCTGCCCCACCCCAGCAGCAGTTGCTGTCTTTGCGAAAATGGAGCATGACCCTCATTCGACGTGTCGTGTCGGGTCGGGTCACCAGGCCGGCCATTTTCCCCGTCACCCTCCCGGTTCTGCCCTCCCCTTCCTAGACGCGGGGTCAACACAGAGGTCTGCAGTTTCGAAGATCTGAGTCTCTCGCGTCGCCTGTTCTGCAGAATCCCTGCAAGATATAAACCCTTTGGGTCCTGAGAAAAGAAGACGTGAACAGGGAGGGGGGAAGCACTTCCTGCTAGCTTGAAATGCTTCCAGAAAGAGGATTAATCGGACTTTGCTCAAAATCCCACGTTCCAGCTGATTCGCCCCCACTGTCGAAACGCATGTGAGATTTCCACAGCTGGCCTGTTCACTGCGGCAAATTAACTTGCATGCGGTGGGTTATTCTAACCAGGCGAAAAATCTGAACTGGCTGCATATCTCAGTTGTTTTATTAAAACCGAAGCCACTTTTATGAACGCTCTGGCTGGAGTCCAGAGCCCTGTGCTTCCACTGGACCGATCAAGCTCTCTGCATGTGTTTTAGGGAGATGCTTCTTTTCTACCACCATTGGTGCAAAATGCAGCGTGTGTGTGCAAGGCTGACACAGGGGCATCCTTTGGTTGCGGTCCGACCTCCCGTGGCACATGTGCGCATCCCAATGGCTCCAGCGATGGGGATAAGCCCCGGGACTTGCTGCAGCCTTGCAGATGATGCTGTCTTGCTCCAGGCCTCTCTTGAGCCACACGGAGGGGTCAAAGCTGGAGCACATCTCCTGTTTGCAAAGGCTTCTTGTCGGCACAGGTTTGCTTCAGTCCAGGCCATGACTGAATTTGCACAACCCGTGCTCCCTTGTCTCTGGTTGGATTCCCAGTGGGTTGCCTGGAAAGGCAGGAGCTATTCTGAGCATTCGCCATTGGACACCGTGGCTTATTGCATCATCTGAACCCAGCAGGGATGGCTTATGCGAGAGCTGTTCAGCCCTCACAGAACCCTAGAGTAGTTGGTGAGTTACTTAAGCCATGGTAGACAGTGGCACTTAAGCAAACTGGCCCAAGTTTTGCAATACCACAGGCACGTGATAAATGATTCCCAAGTGCTCATCTTGTGCTGTCCCAGTAATATATGGAAGTGCATGGACCCTCGTGCACAAATGCCCTGCGAAGTTTCTAGTCCATCTGCCTAGGCCAGAGTATCAAGGCAAACCATTCCATGCAGCCTCCCTGCCCCTAGTCAAGCGGGGACTGGTCTTGTATTGCTTCTGGTGTCTGCTGAGAATGCATTTGTTTCAGGAAATCTTCCTTGCTGACCAGCTATGTTTTTAATATCCTGTTTTAATGCATTGTTTATTCATTTTATTGTTCTCTGCTCTGCATATGGGATGGTATAAAACTTACATAAATTAATTAATTGACTGCTTGGAGGGAGGAAAACAAGATAACAGCTCTTAGCTCAACCTTTGAAGGGGTTAATGCCACCTCGGTTGATTAGTCAGCGACCTTCAATTCCATAAACACGAAAATTGTGGAATAACACTTTAACATAATCCTGGATCATGGGTTGCTGCATTTAGAATTAGGGCAGCTTCAGTAGCCAAGTAACGAAGGAGATTTCTAATCCTTGTGGGAGTAAAAACAGGAATACACATTAGTGTCCTTTCTATTTAATTTTAATATGAAAGATAATTGAGAACTGGAAAGTCAATTTCTTCACCTAGCAACTTGCTTTGGAAAAAAAGCGCATTACTACTCTATTCAGAAATGGCCTCATTTTAATATGCTTTAATGTTACACTTAATGTGTTGTTGCTTGTCTGAAGGAATTTTTGTAAAAATTATTGGCTATAAATTATGACCAAAATGGCTTGGCCTTGTTCTGATTTCTTGTTCTGAACAATGAATCATTTTTTACAGAATCAAAAGGCAAGCCTGGAGTATGGAGATCAGAAAACTGAGCACCTTAAAATGCGTGGCTATTTAAATGCATGGCTTTCGGGAGCAGATGCCTAGGCAAGATCACTTGCTGGCCTTACACGGAAAGTTGACTCCGTCAGCCAGCGAAGGGGCAGGGCAGGCCTGCCAGATTTCCCAGGATTCAGATTCTAGGAAAGCGATGTCCCCTTAAATGCTTTGGGTCAGAATGCTTCTGGTCCAAAAAGTGAGATTCTCATAGTTCATTGGAAATGGAACTGCCTCCAAATTCTCAGGATGTTTTGGAAAATGTCTTTGGTCTCCTTTGCTCTAAAATCTGCATCGGTCTCATGGTAAAGATGGTTCACGTACGGATTTTCAACTATTTTTAACATTCCTTGTAAAATGGACCCTAGATTGCACAAACCAGGCATCCTACAGTAAGTGTGAAGAGCACTTCAGCTGGAATTTTGTGGTACTATGGGACAAAATACCTAATCAGTCCTGTGAATGTTGTTTACTTGCTTCAGGGCATTAAACTTGAAGCTAACTTTAATTTAGGAGTTGGTTGTGCACAAAAATGCATCAAGTATATCCGGACTGATTTATTCAAGCTTCCTGATGGTATCACATTTATAAATTGACAGGTGTCTCTATCAAACCAGGAAAGTTTGTTTAGCAGATTCCTCTGGGTTTAGCAAATGTCCCCATTTGTTGTTTTGGAGGGTTGTTGCAGGAAAAAGTAAGATACTTCATTAGTGGTAAAAGAAAATGGAGGTGGACCTTCTTCACCTCTGGTTTCATTGTCCTGTTTATAAGATCGTGAAGATCTAAACTCTTGGAGCGTTTCTTGCTCAGAAAGGGCCGTTGGTTAATTCAGCAAGTTTGAAAACCTGCCATTTAAAAGGTTGCTTTCAAGGCCTTTGCAATCCCAAGGCAACCACAAAAGTTGTAGTTACACGTGCATTTTGGGAGCTATACATTTTTATAACAACTGACTTAGCCGACTGAATGCTTGTTTTATTATTTGGTTATGGCTTGAGGTCATTGACAAATCTTTATGATTCTGCAGATGAAACTGTACCATGCCATGATCAAATCTGGCCGAAGCAGTGTGGGTTGCTTGCAAAACTACTCGCGTAAGCTGCGTCGAGGCCAAGAAAGATGCATACATGCATGTCCTTGTACTCTTTAAAAATGTATAAATACGTTAAAGTACAACTTTGTGAAATACTTACCTGCTTGAGAAGCAGGGCTTTCCAAAGCACCTGTCCGTCCGTGATCACCTCAAATCACTAAATAAATACATGCAGCAATTTATTTCAAGGTACCCTATTGGCGATTGCCTTTACTTCTGGATTTGAGATCTTTTGCATGCCTTCAGCTTACAGCACTAATTTTAAAATTAAGGAAAACCAGCAAGGCAGATCTTAGGATGTTTACAGAGCATTATCCTGACAGCGGGACCTGAACATCCTGTTACGAGGCGCATCTTATCTTACAGAAGACAGATTGTGCTTCTCAAGATGGGACAACACTGCATGTGCCCAGCTGGGTCCCATCCAGTGCCAGGCCAGCTTGCTCCGTCCATTTCACTCTAAGCGGGGCCACTGTTGTGAATCTAAGCCGTTGCTCGTGAAGCTGTGGACGATGCCTGCACCCGAGAGCACCCGAGATGAACGATTCCCCTTCCCTTTCACTTCCCTCCTCACAGGTATTGTAACGAGCATTTGCTGTGTTCCCCGCACACGTTCTGGACTGGATGGGGCGCATGGGAACGTTGCACAGCCCCCTGCGGAGGGGGCATTCAGGCCCGCCACAGGACCTGCGAGAACGGCCCCGACTGCCCTGGCTGCAACGTTGTGAGTAACACCTTCGCGCGCGCCGTTTGTATGACCCTTCCTGCTTTTGCAAGCTAGGATGTCATCCCGGAGTGCAGGAGCTTGGGGCAGGTGGCTACCACAAGCAGGCGGTGTTTCGGAGATGTCTCGAGAGACATGTGATATGGCTGAGCGTGGCCAGCACGGTTCCTTTGTTAGCGACCTCTTCGGGCAGACCACTGTGGTGCGTTGTCTGCTTGCGGATCTCAGAAGTTTTAGCTGAAACAAACTGGGGCACCCAAGGCCTACCTGGCACCAGGAATGACGAAGACACCCCCGGTTCTTAATCAACTCTGTCAGCTTGATGCTGACAGAGTGCTTACTCAGAAAGTGCTTACTCAGAAAGCCCTAGAGCAGTGATGGCGAACCTTCGAGAGACCGAGTGCCCAAACTGCAACCAAAGCCCACTTATTTATCGCAAAGTGCCAACACTGCAATAAAACCTGGATACTGAGGTTTTAGTTTAGAAAAAACAACTCATACATTACATCTTTTGTCTTAAAAGAAAAGCACAATAACAGAGCTTTCAATGATACAATCAGCTTTTTATTGAATGGTAAAAGTTTGCTTTTGGTGTGCTTTTGCGCAATTAATGTGATCTTTGCTGTTGTATGCATGCTGATAATTTGTCAAACCTTGGCTCAAAAATGCCAGGGGGAAAGCACAACATTAAAAGAATCTCAGTCTCTTAATTAGAACATCTCTTTGCTAAATCTTAGATATTAAATTCCAATTTTTCATAAGAAAACTCAAAGCTAAAATCCTGTGTTAATAAAAACGAATGTATTAAAAGTCACAGCCAGTCCAAGCAAATATATTTATATCCTTGGCAGTGCACTGACCAGCCATGCAAAAGCTTGGATGAATTGTGGCTTGTGACATCATCGCCTGGCACCGCCACTCCTTTCCAAGCTTGCGCATGGCCCCTGTGTGTGCTGTTATCCGATGCTCGGCTGCTGGGGTGATGCTGGGGCGACTTGGCTCACATGCTGACAGAGAGGGCTCTGCGTGCCCGCTGTGGCCCGCGTGCCATAGGTTCGCCACCACTGCCCTAGGAAGTCATGTGTTCCTGGAAGACAGGTTCCTATCCTGCAAGATGCTGAAGTTTTAGGTCACCTCCTCATCTGAGGTTAGGTAAATGATGGCCAAAGTGAAGGCCTTTTTGGTCATGGCCCCCACCTGGCTTAGGCTTCCCTGGTGGCCACAGTGATGCCAGGCAGTGCCAAGCAAAGATGGGCGTTCCACCCTATTGCTTGAACTGGTTTTAGCATCCATTGTATCTGCACTGCTGAGTTTTACTGTTGATTTGATCTCTTCCGTGTCCTTGCTCAAGGGCTGTTTTTTTATATATTGCTGTTTTATCACTTTTAGTGTTAGCAGCACTAATAATTTAACTGAAGGGCAGCCTAGAAACTACTCAGATAAATAAAATCGACTGTATAGGATCAGCTCGCCTCTCGGATCAGTGAGCTGTCTTCATTTCCACGCCTTCGCCCTGCATTGCCTTGGGAACAGCATTTTCAAGCTGCAAGGACCGTGGTGCTTCCATTCTGCTGAAGGAAAAGGTTGTTTTGATCTCCCTTGGATAACCTTAAAATCTGAATGGTAAACAAAGGTCGGAGATGGAACCCACGTCATTGGGATGCGCTGGAGAAGGCCGCTCTGACCTGGAGCAGTTTTATATTGAGGGGTGTGATTTGGCATTTCCCCAGGAGAAATCAAGAGCTGCACGGGGTGGAAAGAGAGAGGAAGCGTTTCCCTTTTTAGCTGCTGTAATTATGGCTTTCCTTCTGCAACCACCATTACAGCCTGTTCATGCTAGCTACGTATTTAGATTTGCAACGATGGCTCAGAAGGTGAGGCCACACTTTAAATGTGCATCCAGCAAGCTACTAGCCGACAAAGGCACAGCCTCTGAGCATACACAGAGCAGTTTGCTGAACCCGAATTAGAAACTCCTTCCGAGAGCCCTTTTTAATCCGGCGCTTCTGGGATTTCATCACCGGAAATAGGCAAGATCCCTAGACCCATGCAGGCCCTCAAGTTGGCTAGCCCTTCTCTCCTGACAAAGCACCCAGTTTCTGAGTTGCAACATCAAAATCATTCTAGACAAGCTTGTACTTTATTAATGCAGATTTCACAGGGACATCAGCTCACGAGCGGCTTCGTCTTCAGATTTAGGCAACTCGATGATGGTTTCCAAAATTAGGGTTCGGCATCCAGAGAGGATGGATAGGCGGATTTTTGCAGAGCCCGCAATGCAAGCTGCTGATGCATTTCTTTTAGGAGTACCAAGCATGCAACAGCAGTCCCTGCCCGGAGCTGAAGAAGGCGACTCCCTGGACGCCCTGGACGCCAGTGAACATTTCTGACAACGGCGGCCACTACGAGCAGCGCTTCCGGTACACCTGCAAGGCCCGGCTCTCCGACACGAGCCTGTTGGATGTGGGAAGGCAGCGCATCGAGATGCGGTACTGTTCCAGCGACGGCACCACCGGCTGCTCAACGGACGGTAAGCGGCAAGCTGGCCTGCGGATGCCAGCTCTGGCGTAGCCCTGGGCAGCCCTTCCCCAGCACGGCCTATGAGCAGGACCACACATCTGGGCGGCAGATGTTGTGCAGGAGAAGCTGGGGGAAGTGCCCCGGTGAGCCCAGCGTTGTGTGCCAATTGGGCTGCCGCCACAAACATTGATAGCTGCTATTTGTTCTGTGGCATGATGATGATGATGATGATGATGATGATGATGATGATGATGATGATGATGAAAAGCTACGGTATGGAAATGGCCTTTTCCTGTGCATAGAAGTACAGACTGTAGCTTTCAGAGGAATGGTTTCCCTCATGCAAGACTGGAAACCGGTCTTCTAATTTCCCTTTGCAGTCTTTCCTTGAAAACCTCAAAGAGGATGTCATACTTTTCCCAGATAGCTTGATCCCACTCTAATAATTAGGACATATTTTCTGAGATGGAAATGAATATAAAGCAATCATTCTTCCAATTTTTGACACCTTCTGAATATTTGAAAACCCTCAATATTTCATCCCCTGCCGGTCGTCTTTTCTTGAGGCTAAATATAGCACATCTCCTGCCTTCGCTATCATGAGTCTCCCTTCCGGCTGTTCAGGCGTATTCTGTGCTCTCCTCTGAACTGGGGATTGTTCGACGTGTTAAATGTCACATATAACCGTCTTAATATTTCCCAGGTTTTGACAATGTTTCTGCTTCGCCGTTTAAAGTGGCATTTTCCTCTTTCACGACAGCATCAGCCTGTTGACTCATGAGCTGTTTCTTACCCCTGAAATATCTCATAAGCCTTTCTTTGTAAGGTCAGTTTTTCCAGTAACGTCTCCCCTTGTGCGTTTGATCCTTGCTCTGTGCAATGCTCATATCCCCTTTCGTTTCCTCACCATCTCTCCAGTCTGAGTTCAGTTTAAACTGTGCCTTAACCTTTAAACAGTCCGGCAACCTTTTCCAGTTCTCTGCCATACCTTGATTTAATGAGTGCATTACTCATTCTATGCCGTGTTTTTTTCACTCCTCACAGATGCCTACGAAATGTCTTTTTGCTCCGGTGCAGAGTTGACTCTCATCTGCAGCTTGCACCTCTGCAAAACTGCCCGGGACATTTCTGCCATGTTTTGGATGTTGAACTCTCAAAAGCCCTGAGGCTATTTTTGTGCCTGTGGAAAACTAGCTCCTGAGTCAGGTTGATGATCTCAGTCTCTACTTCCAGGGCCCATTTTCTTTCTGTTTTTCTCAATTCTCTCCCAGATCTTCTTGCTCTTTCCAATTCTTCTTTACAGGTGCACCTAAATGGTGGCTCCGAAGAAAGTTTGGATGATGTGAAGCAAAATTTGATACCACATTATAGGGTCTTTGCAATGCCGGAGGGACAACCGCTTCCCACATTCTTCCTTGCAACAAAATTTTCTATATTTAGAGGATCCCTTTAAAATGCCAACGTGCTCCATTCTTTAACTTTTCCAGAGGTGCAACTTTCACTGCAGACACCGTGCAGTTATTCTGAAAGCTCCACCTGCATTGATGGTGTTGCAGCTTGTTTTCATCTTTGACTCTTGATTCTGGGCCAGCAGACAACAATGGGAACCTCTCTGGTTTCTGGCAGTAACTCAAATATTTGGAGTCTTTTATCATTGTCTGCCTTAGCCTTAATTCTCCTTAGTTAAAAATGGCTTGTTAACTGCCATTCTTGTGCAAGTCTGCAGAATGACGTATTGCTGAAGGGGAAGGAGTGAGAGCTTGCTACTGTGAGCCAAGAAATCCCAGATTCAGAGGGCTCCTCTGCAGACTTCTGTAGACCTCCCGTGCTTGGCCCAGTCCTTCAAAGTGAGCCGAACCAAGAGGAAGCCTGCAAATTGGACATGCACATGGTGGGCATGTCATGAGTGGAGCTGGCTGGAGCCGGGGTCAGACTAGATGGCCCAGGAGGCCCCTTCTGACTCGCTCTGGTTCTATGTTTCTATGCTTGCAGAGCCCCGGCGGGCCAACTGGCGACCGTCCTTGGTGGCCCACCTTCTTGCCTGCTCGCTGCCACCAGCCATCGTGGGCAGGCCAGCCCTCGTTCGCACCGGCCAACCTTCTTCCCCACCTGCTCAGTCCTGGCAAGCACCCCATGAATTCTGGGCACACTCTCCAGGAGCTGGGCTCTGCAGAGCAGACTGGAGTCTGGGAAGCAGGAACTGGAGAGTTTGGGGGATTTTCCTCCCAAAGCAGATTCCTACCGCAGGTTACCTTAGGCATGTAACTCACTCCCCGGCATTTGTCATGTGGAGCTCATGCCGCCTCACAGAGTTCCTGTAAAGACGGTCGAGCTGCCTGTGGCATTGCATGATTTGGACCCGCCCTCGAGTGCTCCCACTCCGGGTACCAAGCAGCCCGTCTCTGCAGTGCTCCGTTCCGCTCCTCTCCTTTCCTGTGCTCTCTCTGTCCCCACTCTGCAGCTGCTGAGCCTTCAGTTCTGCCCTGCATGTTTTTATGGGTGAGAATGGATTCTTAGAAACATAGAAACAGAGCGAGTCAGAAGGGGTCTCCCAGGCCATGTAGTCTGACCCCGGCTCCAGCCGGCTCCACTCATGACATGCCTACCATGTCCATGTCCAGCCTATCCTTGAACACCCTCACGATGGGGCCTCAACCACCTCCTGTGGAAGCCCATTCCGTACCCCAGTGGTCCTTACTGTCTGGAAGTACTTCCTGGGGTCCAAACTGAACCTCGGTTCCCTGAGCTTCATGTGTGTCCTGCCCTCCTCTGCAGGGGAAAAGTGGTCTCTACCCACCTCCATGTGACCTCACGTACCTGTATGCCACCAACAGATCCCCTTGGAGTCTCCTCCTCTCCAGGCTGAAGAGACCCAGTTCCCTCAGTCTCGCCTCATATGGCATCCCCTGCAAACCGGCCACCAACCTTGTGGCCCTTCGCTGCACTGACTCCAACCTGGCTATATCCTTCCTGTAATGAGGGGCCCAAAACTGAGCACAATACTCCAGTTGCGGGTGCACTAGAGTCGTATAGAGTGGCAGTAACACCTCTCTCGATCCAGAAGCCACACTTCTGGCTGTGCAACCAAGGGTGGCGTTCGCCCTCTTGGCTGCCGCATCACACTGCTGGCTCATGTTCACCTCTTGGCCCCTTATTTTTTCCCCTAAAGATGGTTGTGCTTTGTGCTTCCAAGCACGTTGCTTTCTCCCTCCTACAGTCTCGATGACACTCACCGGCTGGATTTGCGCTTAGATGGAGCGATGCCTTTACCAAAGTCGAGACCTTTGATGCAGGCAGAAAACATGGGCACAGAATTCTCTGATGAGACGCATATGCGGCAGTCCTCTGTGCAACGACTCGGAGCTGGTGGCTTTGTTGTCAGTACAAACACCACACATCCCTGACACTTTAAAAAGAATACTGAGAGAGCGTCCATTATAAATTGAACAATGCACTTTCCAGAAGCATCACCATCGTTTCCAAACGATCCTTCATCATTCTCTGTTTTTAAGGATACATTTAAAACATTATTTTCCCCATAAAGGATGCAGCAAAATCCCAGCCAAATAGGACACTGTACTGTTTTCGGGGGGACGGCTCATTTTTTTTCCTACTGTTTTTCTTAAAATTGATGCCCTAACAGTAGCTTGACCAGAACAGAACCCAGAATAGTTCTGACAGTTCTGCTTTGCAATACTTGGGAAGCTCATACTTGGGATGCTCTTACATGTGCAGCTAAAGGATAAATCGGTACAGATCTGCCAGCAGAGTGTGATGCTTCTTCTGCCCACTTCTGCACTTCTTGTTGTTTAGTCATTAAGTTGTCTCTGACTCTTTGTGACCCCATGGACCAAAGCCCCTCTGTCCTCCACTGCCTCCCGGAGTTTGCTCAGATTCGCGTTCGTTGTTTCGATTGCACTGTCCCGCCACCTCTTTCTCTGCCGTCCCCTTCTCCTTTTCCATCGATCGTTCCCAGCATCAGGATCTTCTCCAGTGAGTCCTTCCTTCTCATTAGGTGGCCAAAGTATTTGAGTTCCCTCTTCAGGATCTGGCCTTCTAAAGGGCAGTCAGGGTTGATCTCCTCTAGGACTGACTGGTTTGATCACCTTGCGGTCCAAGGGACTCGCAGGAGTCTCCTCCAGCACCACAATTCAAAGGCCTCAATCCTTCGGCATTCAGCCTTCCTTATGGTCCAGCTTTCACAGCCATACATTGTTGTTGTTCGTCGTGAAGTTGCATCTGACCCATCGCGACCCTATGCTCCTCCAGGCCTTCCTGTCCTCACCATCCCCTGGAGTCCACCCAAGCTCATGCCAACTGCCCCAGTGACTCCATCCAGCCACCTCATCCTCTGCCGCCCCCTTCTCCTTTTGCCATCTATTGTTCCAGCATCAGGCTCTTCTCCAGGGAGTCCTTCCTTCTCATCAGGTGGCCAAAGTATTTGAGTTCCATCTTCAGGATCTGGCCTTCTGAAGAGCAGTCAGGGTTGATCTCCTCTAGGACTGACCGGTTTGATCGCCTTGCGGTCCAAGGGACTCGCAGAGTCTCCTCCAGCACCACAATCCAAAGGCCTCAATCCTTCGGCGCTCAGCCTGCCACTTCCATACCTGCACTACATGTTAGATAAAATTGCACAGAGAATTGCAGGTGGGTCGCGAAACATTCCTGGAAAACAGGCCAGCTGTGGAATTTCGGGATCTGCATTCAGAGTAAATTGCAACAGCATTACAAACCCCCATGTTACCAAACTGTTTGAACATTCAAACGGATACTTTTTTAGCATTTGTGCTTGTATCGGTTTCCTTCAGGCGATTTCCTCCATTCTGGACATTACGCCACCCATACCACAAATGGCGGCTGGTCCCCCTGGTCTCCATGGTCTCACTGCAGCCGCGACTGCAGCCGCGGGATCCGCAACCGGAAGCGCATTTGCAACAATCCCGAGCCAAAGTATGGAGGGCTGCCGTGCGTGGGGCCGTCCCTCGAATACCAGGAATGCAACGTTCTTCCCTGCCCAGGTAAGAGCCCAGATCTACGCGATGGCACCTTTTCCAAAGAACACATTTCGATGCTTTAAAAACTTCCAACCAGTTTCTCAACCCTAGAAAAATCTGAGCTCGGCTTGCATTAAGAGAACGGGGAGCACAGCAGGCCGAAACCTCTTATCTTTTCAAAAGTCCTCTTCCTATCTATTAGGAAGACCCCAGGGAAGATAATTTTCCTAAAATACGTGTGCTGAGAAGTGAGAACAAAGCTTGCAAGCTTCACTTTCACCTGCAGGTGTTTCTTTCCAGTGTAAATAGGCAGAAAAGGACGCATTCCCCTTTGCTCCCCATCCGAATCTCTCCTGCTGCACCTGGTAAGCTACTTCTAAAACCCACTCAGTGGCTGCCTGTGTGGCTGTTTCTGCATTTAGTTTGATCCTCAGTGTTCTCCGAAAATTTGCAGTACGAGGGAGAACGGGACAGCGCAACTTCTGAATAACAACTCACAATTACCACTTTCCGTGGTAATATTTGTGAGCTTACCTAAACCTGGCGAATATTTTCAAAAATTCAGTGCTTTGCTTTGTAAATTTCTGGGGAGGGGATTTCTTCCCTGCCACAGAAATCCCCCCAGAAGATGCAATTTCCAATTAAGGAAGGTGGTTGCTTTTTCTTCGGGACCTTGTTCCGAACATGAGGCCTATTTACGGATGTGCACTAACCAGGGGCATTTTCCACGGAGCAGAGTTTCCACCCTGGTCAGTAGCTCCGTCTTCTCTGGATCGTCTCCAAATGGATGCCACTAGAGGCTCTCTCAGCACATTAAAAGGGGAAGGGCTCCTTGCCCAGTTATTTATTTATATTTTCATTTATATGCCACTTACTACCCTAGTCTCAAGGTGGCTTACAATAAAGTTGGATCTGGGGCAGCCATGTGCCGTCTGCTGTCCCTCCGTTATGTCTTGATCCATTTCCTCACTTGATTCTTTTCGGCGCCAGGCTAAAACCTTTTTATTTTCCCAATGTTTCAAGATCTGATCGTTTTAATTGGGGCTTATAAATAGATAGATAGATAGATAGATAGATAGATAGATAGATATAGATAGATAGATAGATAGATAAATAAATAAATAAAAAATATTGTCAGTTGAATTTTTAGGACGTGGTGTTTTATTATTTCACATTTTGTATTGTTAAACCATCCCAAATCTTCGGTAAGGAACAGTCTAGAAAAGTTTTACATACATAAAACTTTTGTATGTAAATAAATAAATGTGCATACAATAAATATAAACTTATGTATAAATAAATGCATAAATAAAAATAAATTGACTCTACAGGAACACCCAGAGTTAAAGAAAATGGCCAGGGCGTGTTTCTTGTGGTGGACGTTGTGGACGGAGTCATTGTTGGTTATCCTGAACCAGCGAGTGGTGCTGATGATAGTTTTTGTCATTGCTGCCTTGTGCGCCGAGTGTTTCATGCCAGCCACGCCTGGATGGTCGTTGCTGGAGCCGCAGCCCTCAGTAGCATCTGGGGTCGGCCCTGCTGCTTCTCCGGCTTTGGAGATGGGGTTCGCATGGCATGGCCACGAAGGCTTGCCCTGGCTCATTCGGGGTTGCTTATAGGGCCACCCCCAACGAGATGTGGCTTGTCCTGGGGCTTAGGAGGCAGCTCGGAGTTGCCTTGGCGTCTGAGCCCAGCTCGCGCATTCACCCAAGGGTGGCCCGAACCTCTTTGCTTGTGCTCTCAAGAGGAGGCGGACAAGACCGCGGCTGCTTGGGCAGTCCCAAGAGCCCCCACTGTGGGTGTGACGCCTACTCATGAAAAATGACAGGGGCCGTCAGTGACGCCTGCTCCCTGCTCCTTACCAAAGGGGGAACTGCAGTACTCGCACACTGTCCCCTGGGACATGGGGGAGAGACTGAGTTGGGGGGCACTCCAGGATCTTGGTTCTGCCTATGGGGGCCCCAGTGGGGGACTTATGCGCCACGCCAGGCTTCTGCTGTGCGAGCCCATGGAAGGCCCTCTGCAGTGTGGAGGCACCTGTCTCACCCCACAGCTCATATCTGCACATATTTATCAGCCAGTAAATGCGATGCACAGGGATTTGAGCAGGGATGAAATACGGAGCTGGACTGTCCCATTCTGGCCAAATCAGTAGATCCGCCATCCAGTGTTTGCAGCTGAAGCATCGGTGGATCTCCATTTCTGGCTTACCAGCAAAACCTTGTTACCTGACTGTTGCAGGGGACGATGTCTCTTTAGCAAAGGTTTGGCAAAGTGGACCCCAGTTGTTTCGCCTTTTATATACTTTGGTGAAGCCTGAGAGTTGCCTCTTTTGGGGAGAAGGTAATTATAAGATAAACCTTATATCGGAACACTTTTATTGCTTATCTTCTGCTTCCTCTTATCTGCCTCCTTCCTGGAAGTTAATGCAGCAGCACAAATGGATTTGAGCCTGCATTTATTACATCTTTACCCTGCTGAACCTTCTGGGTGGTTCACAGTTTAACCCTTTCTACCTTCGGAGAGGCGAGGGAGCATGCAGTGTTTCTCTTTCCCCAGTTGATGGAGGCTGGTCTTGCTGGTCTTCTTGGTCCAAGTGCTCCACGACCTGCGGAAGCGGGCATTACATGAGGACTCGCTCGTGCACGAGCCCCGCGCCAGCCTACGGAGGCGACATCTGCCTGGGACTCCACACCGAAGAAGCCGTCTGCAACACACAGCCGTGCCCAGGTGGGGAAACTGCAGAGCCGGGCCCCCTTTGCATGGCTTACTTCTGGGATTGGGCCACAGGCCGCCATCTTGGATGGAGCTCGTTTCCCACCCATTGCCCAAGGAGAACGGGGGATCACTTCTGCTGCTCCCACGTTGTGCTGGATCCAAAGCCATCCAGGATGCGATGGGGAGGTTGGGCTTTGAAACTCTCTGCAGTTTCTGGAACCCTTGGCCTGTAGCTAAATTCCATCCAGCTGTGTCCACCAACGTGGTGGCTTTGGCCCTCCAAGCTGGCCCAGGCTTGGCTGCCGGCGTCCCTTCCAGGGAGCGTGTGATAATGCACGTGGGCACCAAGAAAGCAGCTCCCTTCTTCCCCTCCCCCTGTTGTTTGGGCTGCCGCCACCCCAACTGGGGTTCAGTGGGCATTCGCAGACTTCTTTTTGGCTTGGCCTTCCTCGGAAGACTGGGCTGAGTGCAAGAGGAAAACTTGGGATGCTAGGAGGCACAGATTCTGGCAGGGCTGGCTCATTTCTTTCCTGAGGCCACAGTGATAAACTGAGCCTGTTGGTGCCTGCAAAACTTACGTATTTATATGTTTATTTAAAACCTTTGTATGCTGCCCTATTGTGCCACAGCACCTCTGGGCGGCTCCCAGTTACAAGATTAAAAACACCATACAAACCAGTAACACATCAAAAATAAGATAACAATAAAATACAAAGAGAAATACAAAGCAAAGGGCGAAGCTAGGAAACTTAAGCTAGCCCAGGGTCGGAAGAGGTGCAGCCCACCCCTCCACGGAATCCGCCTCCCCTGTTATGGAAGGAATCACGGCATGTCTGTCTGGGCCCCGAATACACATCCCTGGGCGAATAGCCACACGTTGCTTGTATGTGGAGCATCGTCTCTCTGTCAGACAGGTTGGCAGGTACTGGGACCTTTGATCACTGAGCCTGGCCACCGCCCAAGCAGGTGAAATGCACGGCAGCGGAGGCCCAATCCAAAGGAGAGTCCACAGGTACCTCTGGCTGAGAGAGATGCGCATTTAACAGGCATAGCAATTGATGCGCGTCTCAAGCCAGGCGGTCCCTGTTTGTGGAATCAGGGCGAGGAGGTGCTTCAAACGGATCCTGTGACGGTCTTGCCGGCTGCATTATGTTGCTTACTTCGGGGAAAGGAGATTTTTTAAGGCATCCTTCGTTATATGCAGGCCCCTTCACATGCTTCTTGATGTTTTGGTTGCCACAGAGAGCTGGTCCGATTGGTCGGAGTGGTCCGGCTGCGATGCTTCCGGAGTCCAGATCCGCACTCGCCAGTGCGACGTCTTGTTTCCCGTGGGTCAGCAGTGCTCTGGAAATGCCTCGGAGAGTCGGCCGTGCTTCTCTGATTCCAATTTCATCCCGGGTAAGGGCGGAGCGTCGCTTATTCCCCGAGCCAGTTCCACACTGGGGCCCGAGGAAGTTGCTGGGCATGGGCGAATGGGTGGGATAGAAGCAGGATAAAGAAGCCACTGCCAGTTGCCTGATTGGCAAGCTGGAGCATGGAAATGGAGCCAGGCGGACTCATTCCAGAACTTTCTTTTTCGTCTTCCTCCAGGTGAGCGTGTGGGCCAGTGGGCAGCACTGGGTGGTGCAAGGGGCATTGGGTAGGAAGGCAGATATCCCCTGACTCTATTTCCAAGTGGTGCTTCTTCTAGCTCTACCCCATTTCCTGCCCTCAAGGCAGCCTCCCTCAGCCTCCTCTCCCACTTCCGCTTTCCATGTTTTATCTCAGTCCAGCCCACAAATGCCTTCTTCCTTTGGATGCTGAGAACTTGCTGTGAAGGACCATGCTGGTTGGAGGCATCCGGCCTCGTCCTGTAGGAGTGGCAGATAAAGGACTACCAGTCTTTATCTTTTATTTATTTCATTTAAAGTTTCTCCATACCATCCCTTCACAGACGTCTTGGGATGGCTTACAACAAATTAATAAAATAGAATAAAAATAGAGATATGTGTAGCAGCTGCACAGCCTCCAATGTTTAAATATAAAACCACCAATTAAAACAGGTTAACAATTAAAATATTGGGAGAATAAAACGTTTTTGCCTGGCGCCAAAAGGAAAGAAGCGCTGGTGCCAGGCGAACCTCTCCGGGTAGCGTGGTCCACAGTCAGGGCGCCACCACCGAGAAGGCCCTCCTCCGGGTAGCCAGCCTCCTGACCTCTTTCAAGGATGGCTCCCGGAGAAGGGCCTCCACCTCAGATCTTGGGGGGCAGGCCGGCACATAGGGAAGAAGGCGCTCCTTCAGGTATCCTGGACCCAACCCATGTAGGGCTGTATAGGTCATCACCAGCACCTTAAATTGGGCCCGGACTTCAATTGGCAGCCAGCGTAACTGGTAGAGGAAATACCTGCCGGTCCCCATTAGTATCCTGGCAGATCTATTCATAGCCAACTGAAGTACCCAGACCGTCTTCGAGGTCTGTTCAGCGACTTGGCTTTCCCTGTGCTTCCCATCTTTTCTGCAGACGTTCCACTTCTACTGCACTGCTTTGCCTCTGCTCCTTGTTTTTCCTTGCTGGGCCAGGGAAGGAGCTGAGTGTGGAGGAGCCAGGAGCAGCCACACGGAAAGGATCGCCACAGCGTGATCCTGCCTCCCTAGGCAGGGCCAAGGAGAAAACCCTGTTTTTGGAGGTCTCCTTCACACCCTAACAAAACGGCCCTTCCGAGCGATTTCCCAGTGTCCCAGTCTCGCCTCCCATATTCATAAATTAATTTATTTTTGAATTCGCATGCCACCTACTAATCCAGATGGATTGCCTAGGCAGCTTACATTAAAATACTAAAAACAATAAAACCGATTAAAATCACAGTAAAAGATTTTTGTTTTAAATAAAGGGCCCAACCAAGTAAGCAGAACAAGAGCTTTTGAAAACAAATAATTTACAACGGTCCATGGAAGCCTTCGGAGAAAGGAAACATCTTTGCCTGGTGCTGAGATGAAAGCAGGGTTGTCACCAGGCAAATTTCTTTGGGGAGCCTGTTCCACAGTTGAGGGGCAGCCACCAGGAAGGCCCTTCTCCTATTGACTGCCCCCTTTATCTTCTTAAGGGACGGCTGTTTAAGAAGGACCCCCTGCCCACATCTTAATGGATGGGTAGATACTTATGGGAGCAGACGGTCCTTTAAGCAGCCACAACACAGTCCAACACACAAGTCCTTTTAGGAATGGATTGCCGGCCTTGACCCATGCTGGGAGAAGGTCTGTTGAATATCTGTGGGTGTCGTGAGGTCATAACTCATGTCTCCAATTAACTCACACAGCAGCCGGCAATAAAACTAAAGACTTTTATTGCTATTCGCTACAAGATTTACGATGCAACAGATAAGCTCCGGCAACGAGCTCCTCGCAGCTCAGTTCCCCCCTCCTTTCTGAATCCTACAAGGAAGCTCAGGTGGATTTCAGCCTCCTCTCCCACCTTTCTGTCCGTGGGTGGGACAAACTTCTCTCCTGCTGCCACAATTGATCTAAACACCGTGATCTCCTCCTAAGCCGGGTGGACCCTAAATTTCCTGTTACGTCTTCCTGCTCTCCAGGACTCCACCCAGCCACTTCCTGGTCAGGAGGTGGGGGAGCAACTTGTTCAAACCCTTCAGAGTCCAGAGGAAGGGAAGCTGCATCCTGCTCAAGCAACTCAGAGCCAGGATGCGGGGAGGCTGCTCGCGAGGGAGCCTCGGAGTCAGGTTGCAGGGGGGCAGTTTGGGTCCTGGGTACCAAGTATAAATCCTCCTGCTTCAACGCCCGACTCTCCCTGGGAGCTTGTGACCCTCTCTTGTGTGCCAACACCTCTGTCGATCCATAGGCACGACAGTGGACTTCCCACACGCTTTAGGACCGTGTGCCATAAGATTTCTTAACTCCATTGCAAGCCATGTCAGTCCTTTAGGAAGCCGGGATGCCACAGATGGAGGCTGCAGTTGCTAGATTCCAGCACTTCCTTCCATGCACTTCTCTACATGAGGAATTTCATCTGCTGCTTTGCTGAGATCTCTTGGTCCCTTTCCCTGCAAGAGCAAAAATTGCCCATCAGGCGGCGTTTCTCAGCCTTCTACACATTCTATTATCAAACCACTAGGTGGCGCTGCCCTGTAGCAGCTCCGCTACTTCTTCCAAGGCTTTTGTCCCAGTTTGATGCAGCTAAAATTTTAGGAGCAGCTTTTGCTCACTCTAAAAACAAAACAACTCTCACTAAAAGGGCTGGAGAATACAACAGAGAACACAGGGGAGTGGCATCATAAAAAAGACCCCCCCAAAAACTGTTGTGGGTGAGGAATCACAAAATACGAGAAAAAGTTCCAGTAGAGAAGTTGTGTCTGATGCATGTTCTTCCCCTTCTGTGAGGCAGCACCTCGAAGTGTTTCCAAAGAACAATCGTTGCACCTCTAAGAAATTCTCACAACCGGCTGGTTAGGGAAGACACGCGTGGTTCTTTATTTCAGAGGACACGTAGACGTGATACAGGATTGTTGTTTTTTGCCCACGCTGCATGATTGAATTATTTGATATTGCAGATGTAACCGTCGCTAGAAGCAGCAGCGTCAAAGAAAAGCGATGTGGCGGTAAGGGTCTCCCTCTTTTCCTTTCCTTTCCTCCCCCCCTCCCCTCCCCTCCCCTCCCCTTCCCTTTCCTTTCCGAGTTCACCTGCATGTTGCTGCCAAGGTTTTCCTCTGCCCTTGTTCTCGAAACCTGGACGGGAGACGGGAAGGAGCGGCGAGGCTTGGTGTGGTTTTCCACTTGCTTCCCGAGCTCTTTTTTGCAAGCGTGTGCGTGTCGGCTGTGGGGGAGGAGGGAGAACTGTGCATCTTTCTTCCACACATGAAAATTTGGGAAGGATCATCGTGAGCTGGGGGCATCCCCCCCCCCCTTTTGCCTGCTTCTCAGGCTCACAACCTGCTTGGAAAAAGAAATGGTTGCAGAGAGCCATGGAAACACATCATTCGCACCTTGCGTTCAAACAAGCAAAAGGCAAAACGAAATCTTCACAATGCTTCTAATGTAGATGTTCAACAAGAGAGACTAAGACTTGCTAAGATCAGTGATGCCTGAACTCAGTGGGGGGTTTCCAGGACTGGGTTCCGGGGCTCCACAGAGCTCCGCGCGCTTCATAGCGGGCCAAGACAGGGGGAAAAAGCCACCAAGGCCACCTCCGTATCGGTCTCCCTTGCCTGCGTGACTGATCAAATATTTAGCTTCTGTGAAGGCAGAAGGTGGATGGCCTTGAGATAGGATTTTAATTTTGCTCCAGTGTAAGATGCAGACACTTCAGATGTGACCCCCTAATTCAGGTCTGAGAGAGCTGAACCCCCTTTGAGGAAGGCAGGACTGTTACAGAGAAGCAAGTCGTTTTCTGTCTTCTTCATTTCACCCCATAATTTAAGAAAATGACAGTGTATGCATCTGTGTGTGGATTAAAAGCAATTACCTTCCTGAAACAGTTGAAATACCAGTTTTGCGACACAAACCATGTTTATGCCTCAGATACCCTGTAAATACTGTTTCAGGAGCTCGAGTTAGAAATTACATGCCTATTTTCAGACTCTTCCTTAAACACTTTGGCTAGACTCAGTTGAGATCAGCGGCCCCTTGGTTGAGAACCCTCAGTGGACAAAGGGAAGGTGAGATGTGCTTCCTTCATCCTCCTGAATGGACATCCCATTAGTAGCTTGGCTCTCGAGAACTCCACGCCATTCTCTCTCGAAGCTGCAAGGGCCACAGACGTGCAGTTTCTCCCCACAGCCCTTCTTTAAAGGCAAGGAATCTGGATTCTCGGAGAGCAGATTTTGGTGCCCGATTCCCCGTTCAGCATTCCCTCTCCATGTGCCTTTGCTTCTCTTCTCCTGTGCTGGTGAGATGCCCACAAGGAGCTCCCTGTAGCTGCAGAAATGCAGAATTAATTGCTCCCTGTGCAGATTAATCCAGTCCAGGCCGAATCCAGTAACGCTGCTCTCTCCTCCCCCGAAAGAGTTCAACCTGTTCCACATGACTGCCGTGGGGCTGAGCAGCTCCATCCTGGGGTGCCTCCTGACCCTCTTGGTGTATGCCTACTGCCAGCGGTATCAGCAGCACTCCCACGACGCCACGGTCATCCACCCCGTGTCGCCTGCGGCCGCCCTTCACGCCAGCATCACGAACCACATCAACAAGCTGGACAAGTACGATTCCGTGGAAGCCATCAAGGTAAGGGGTGAATAAGGACGCCCTCCTGCAGGCCGCTGCGTCTCCTGGAAGCAACGGGGAAGGGTCCCGATTGCAGGAAGCAGGCCTGCTCCGGGCGGGGGGCTCCCTTCCAACACTTCTCAGCAACGCAGCGTCTCCTCGCCTGATGGAGAGCCACCGAGACGTCGCTTCGTCCACATGCACGCGAATGAACCCGCCTGCCTCTCGCTCGCTCCCTTTCCCCCTCCGCGGCAGCACATGCGCCTTGCGTGAAGTGGGCGCCTCGTTTTCCCTCCTCTTGCTCTCTCCCCCTCCGTCGTCACCACCCACAAGCACGCCTCCCTTTGTCCCTGCTGATCCCATCTGTCACGTCGCTGTAACTGGGTGTTCCCGACATTTTGTACCAGCTGCGCCCCCACAGCACTGGTTTAAAATGCCAGAAGGCCCCGAAAGTTTGGAGACATCCTCCCTTGGTCCTTCTGACGCCGTGCGGCTCCATGACACTTCGGCCACTGCTCAGAAATGTTGCACGTTCACCCACACAATCAGTGTTCCCCACACCTCCTCACCGACCTTATTCACTCTGCGTTCTGTCTTCAGTTCCTTGTCTGTTCCCGCATCAGTTGCTTTTGATAGCCTTCCCCGTCATCTTTCTGGATAATGTTTCTACCCCTTCTTCCTCAGCATCCCTTCTCCCTCCACCTCTTCCAATTTTGTTTCTCCAGTCTTCACTTCTGAAATCCCTTTTCTTCCTTGCTTAAAACCCATCATGTGTTCTTTTCACCCCACTAGTAAACACACTAAATTTGCATCTGTTTTAGTGAACCACCTCTTTGGGTTTCATTGTTGCAATGGGCATGATGTGCCCACTGAGAATTCTTCCCTTTCTTCTTTTCCCAGGCATTTAACAAGAACAATTTGATCCTGGAAGAGCAAAACAAATACTTCAATCCACACCTCGCCGCAAAGGCCTATTCCAACGCCTATTTTACAGATCTGAATCACTATGATGAGTATTAAAACAGTCTCTGCATAACCGATATCCGTCTTCATGGCAAAATACGCTCCCAAGTTTTTGCGTCGTGTGGCCAACATCAAAGCGAAACGCCGGCTTGTGAATGGACAGGGCTCTCTTTCCAAGATGGTGCTTCGCAGTACAATATTTGTATTGTGCAATCACAGCAGGTGTATAGCCCAGATGTGGGTCGTTTTCTGTAGGTCGTTGTTTTGGCTGAATGGCTGCCACCCTGCTACTTACCTTTTGCAGCTTCTGAGGGAGGGGGGATGGCTAAGGAGACTTTGCACTGGACGCTGCCCTCTCGTTTCTCTAGCAGACAACCCACGAGCTTGAGAGAGGGAACTTTGTGGGCAGCACTGCCCGAGAGAGAGAGAGATCAATGGATGGACTGTCCTGGTCCAGAGGCAAGCCCTAAGCCCTCCATCCACCATGCCAGGCTGGTGACAACCTCTTTCCCGGACGCTTGGAGTTTTGGACCTTGGAGACACCAAGAGAGCTCATGGAGCAGGGTAGGCAGAGCAGGTGCTGACGCCGAAGCAAGCGTGAGTGCCGGCGGAAGGAGAGCTCGCTTCCTCTGCTTCCGTCTGCCACGAAGCAGTATCTGCGAGGGAAGCAGGGGCCCCGGGTGGGTTGGGGGGGCACTCATAGGACCGTTTCCGAGTGTCACCGTGTCCCACGAATGGCTTCCACCAAGCAGGGCGTCTCCAGCGTCTCTGCACCGGGTCCACGGAGATCGCTCGGCGTGGGCTTCACAAACATCCAAGCACACAGATGGCTTCTGCCTGCTCGCCGATCCATCACTTCCTTTGCCCTGCTCTTGTTTGGAGCAGATGGAAAAGCACAAATGCTTCTATTTTTAATGGCTTTTTTAAACATTCAAGGAAAAACGGAACGGAGTGTCTCGAGCCGAGCGCTAGTGTAACACTCTCAGCACACTAAGACTGCAATTCTATGCAGACTTTCCAGGAGTGCTCCCGGGAACTAACTGTGGAGCGAACATGTATAGGATTGTCTTGCAAATGTGTGTTCTCATCATGCCCAGCTGATGTAAGAGCTCAGTGGTACATAAAGCTGATACTTCTCCTAACGGGTGTGTCACCAACTGGCAAAAAAACCCAGCTCGATCTTTTGCACTAATTTGTCACTAGGTTTTATCAATAATGCTCTTTGGCTTAAACAAGAGAGAATGCCCACCTGGTACGTTTCAGTGGATGTGAGTGTGGCACTCGCTTCAGCCAGCTGGCGACAGAAAGTGTTCATTTCGAACCTTGTGTTCCACTTCCTTAAGAAAATACCAAATAAGATGTCACATATTTTGAGTGGCACACAAAACAAGGAAAAACCCAGGGCCTCTTTGCCCTGATGCTTGAATGTGGGGCTGTTTGCTGTCAGCTTTTGCTCATCTTGGCTTCCCTTACTCCAAGCACATCACTTTGAGGTCTAGTTCCAAGGGCAGGTGTCTCTTACGACAGCGTTCCCTATCCTTTGATGGCAGGCGAGAGGGGTAAATACAATATTTTCATGACACACATCACTTAAACAAGTAGTTCACCTGCTGAAATACGCTGCAGAAAAATCGTCCTGAGCAGGTCTTTCTTTGGAAACATTAAGCATTCCTTTAACGTTTCCTCAAAATGCATGGGCAGCTTTGTTTTTATAATTTTATTATATTCATACTCCACCTTTCTTCCTCAAAGGCTGCCACAAAGAGGAAGGTCAAGGTCTCTTCCTGCCGATGCCAGAGTGTAGGACACGGAATAGCCAGTTCTAGTTGCAACAACCCAAATTCAGGCTGGACATCAGGAAAAGCTTCCTCGCTGTCAGAGCAATAGGACAGTGATGCCAGCTGCCTGGAGAGGTGGGGGGCTCTCCCACACTGGAGACATTCAAGGAGAAAATGGGCAGCCACCTGAGTGGGATGGTGTGACTTGGCATCCTGCAGCAGCAGGGGGCTGGACTAGATGGCCTTCATGGCCCCTTCCAACTCTACTATTCTAGGATTCTGTGATTCTGGCAAGAAACCCCAGGCAGTTTGTTAGGTGCTCTTCTTCCCCATTTTGTTATCTCAACAACAACCCTGCAAGATAGCTTAGGTTGAGAGTCCGCTACTGGTCCAATGTCACCCAATGAACTTAATGGCAAAGTAGAGATTAGAACCCCAGTTCCAGTCCAATGCCCAATTAGTGGCTTCTCACTAATTTGGGGGGATTTGGGGGAGAGGGTCTGGTTTTTCTCTTTCGTGTGTAATTTATTTTTCCTGTTTATGAATAGTCTCAGCACAGTAAGCTGAGATCGCAGGAGGATCACAGGAATCACCACTGAGCTTACTAGAGATGCTAGTGAATCCAGAGCTGTGATTGTGCAAAAAACCTTGAGGGTTCTAGTTGTGCATTAGCTCATTTGGGTACAAAGTCTCATTTTTGCTTTTAAGAAACACAAGTTATCTTCCCCTACCCATGTTAGTTGCATAGAGAGCCTGAAAGCACATTGCCAAGTTTTGCAGGTTTCGTTCCCTCTGCCCCAACTCTTTGTATGGGACACGGTGGGAGAAAAACCTCCTAAAATAATGTTCGTGCTTAATTTACAGTAATGCAAATTGTTTATGATAATGTCTACTTTTAGTTTTGTTCTTGAGGGCAGATTTTAAGACAACACCGGCATACTAAACCTAGCTTCTCTTCTCCTTTCTGTGCCGATCATGGGTTTATTGTTTCATGAGGTTTATCCACTTTTAAAAGAGTCCACTAATGCTTCCCAATCTTTTAACCATGACAGCAAAGTCTGCTTGCGTCCTTCAAGTGCTACCCTTGCTCGTTTTCACCTCTGTCCAGGACTGCTGGGTTCTTCCGGTCTGGTAACCAAGGTTAAGAGAACAGGAAATGCTCTATCTTGTCTGAGCGAGAATTAGCTGTGAGTAAAGCCTTTGACTGATTCCTCCTTGCCATGTTTCCTGCAGTGGAGCAAAGGTGTAAATATAGCAGTGAGATCTTACAGATTTTGATTTCGCTGTGGAAGCAGCAAAAATCCCTGTTTCCATCCCGGGCTTCCTAGCTCTTCAAGTGGACCAAACCTTCCTTCAACTTGCAGGACTCTCCCACTGCCGAATTTAGGAATATGAATGCCTTCCTGTCTTCTGAGATACAAGACGAAATGTTTGTCATTCCCTTTATACAGAGCTTTAGGTTTTCTTCATGGATGTTGCAAACTAGTTAGATTTCGGCTTCTCGTACAGAACAACTCTGTGGCAGTAGTGAAGTCTCCCTGCGCTTCTGCCTCTGCCCCCCATTTAAATAGACCTTCACAGTTTGGGGAATGCAAAGAAAATGGAAGGGTGTGAAACACTTTGTACATGGAAAATGCTATGGAAAACGTGGGAACATCCCTGGTCCGGGCCTTTTCTCTCCCCTTGACCTACAGTGCTTTCATCTTATCCTGCAGCTCAGTTGTCCTTTTTCTATTCCCTTCATCTCCTTTCTACTCTTTTCCCCTTCTAGCCTGCCTGCCTTCCTCTCTTTCCTCCCTCCCTCCTTCTTTCTCCTTCCTTCCTTCCGTCCGTCCGTCCGTCCGTCCGTCTCTCTCTCTCTCATCAATCTTCTTGGCCTTTCACTTAAACAATGGAATGAAAATCTTTCATTGAAGCCAGCATGAGACTTCAGCAATCCAAATTCCTGGTGCAAGTGAAAAGGAAAGAGCAAGATGGCGAAGGGGAAAAGGGGAGCAAAAGCAAGAGAGTTGGGTGTGAGCCTGTCCCTCTTCATCTCTGACATGTGGCCTTGAAAATAATGTTGCCATTAATAGAAAATGGATTACCTGCCTGCGTTTTATGACTGAATTTAGGGCCGTTTCATATGTGCATTTGGAGGGCTGATCCTGCTACACAGTCCACAGAGAAACTATGATTCCCCAAACTCTTTCCCCATTAGCCGGAAAAAGGACAAAAGCGCATGTAATAAATAGCTCCTGGGATGCTGTGAAGTGTCATCACAAAGCGAGGGAATGAGCGACGGTAGGCGGCAGATGCTTTGGGGCCCCGTCCAGTCCACCTCTGCAGCGCAACCGCGCTTTTTAATGCTCTCCCCGCACATTGCAGCGAGGGGTGGAAAGAGCGGGGCGTAATCCCTTTCCAGTCATGGCATGTAAATTTATCCAGTTGCTAGGCTACTGGGAATCTGTACCCTTGTCTGTAAGTATGTTTTGGAAAGTGATTTCATTTATATTGGAGATGCTTCTCTGCAGCTAATGAAATAAAATGGAAACAAACTTTTTGAGAAGCCTTTGCATGGATGCTTCTAGGTGGGATGGACGGAGGTGATGTGTGTGTGTGTGGGGGGGTGCTGTCCCCATGGGGGGCTTCTCCTGCTGCATTCACTGCCCAAATTTGGGGGAGAGGAAAATTTTCCTACTAATTTGCTGGAATCCTGCACGAGGAATGGCTCCCGTTGTCTACCAGGGCAGCGGCCCATAATAGACAAAGGTGATGCAAAAGGGAGGCTGTGGAAAAGACCGAGGGTCTGTAGGCAGACCCTTTTCCCCTCCGGCCCTGCCCTATTCTATCCAGGGTTCCCAGCACTGAAAAGCACCGTGAAGCAATCCTGGAAGGCTGAAGCTGCGGACATACGGAAGGACTACAGAGGAAAGTCAGTAGCCAGTCCTTACTCAAGGCAAGCCGCCTTCGTTTGCACCCATTTTGCACGGCACAGAATTGCACATGAACAAAACATCGCGTTTCGGCAGTCTCTCTCGGCATGTTCTCCAAGTTAAAAAGCGCGGAGGGAAAGGCACCCTGAAGTCCAAAATTAGCCAAGTGCCTTTAAGTATTTCAGTTTCTTGATGGTCGTGAAAAGCATAGGACAACTACCTCTTCCTAGAACAGGGATGGCTTTTATTTTTTTAATTTATAGGGCAATTATTGGCATACGACTTGTGTTGAGTACACAGGGATAGCAAACAGCCGTGCCTTAATAAAAAAAGTTGGAGGAAGTTACTTGCTTTGGGCATGCATAAAGGCTGGAGAAAGGAAGAAAGCCGCGTCCAGCCCCGACTGTACAGTGCTAGCTGGGTCTGGGGATCCCTGTGTGGTTGTGTTTCGTTGCCTCTGCGGACTGCTGCGCCCCCTACTCCTTGTCAACTTGTATATTTGTAAATAAACAGATTATTAACAAAGAGGTGCTTAAATCCTCTTTTTTCTCCCCTCTCTTCACCACCTGGTGCAATAGATCCAGCCATGAGCACACGTCTTCCATATTTAGCTTCTATGGCTGGGAGAAGACCGTTTCAATCAAAAGGGCCTTTTCTCCGGTATTTTAAGATGACTTGGGTTCACCTTATTTGCCATACTTTAAAAAAAATGGCCTTGGAGCACTACTCTAGTGATTTATTTATCGGCCACTTTTTCCAACCAGCTCAAAGTGGCTGACATCATTCTCCTGCTGCTGCTCTCAAGCTTAACCCCACAACAACCCTGTGATGTAGGCTGGTCTGAGAGTCAGTGACTGGCCCAAAGTCACCCAGTTGGCTCCATGGCTGAGCAGGGACTCAAACGCGGGTAACCTGAGTCCCGTCCCACGCTCTTAACCGGTACACCACAGGGGCTCTCGGGGATCAAAAAGACAGCACATCATTTCTGAATTCTGCCTCATTATTATTTTATTAATCACCTACTGCTGCTGTAAAACCACAGGAGAGGTGGCTTAGAGGGCGATTTTCCAGCAAAAACTAGTTTCATAAAACCAGCGTTCCATTTTTATTCTGTCATCAGTTCTGGAAAGAAGCACCAGTCCTGCATCTATAAAACTGGAGGTCTCACACTCTCCAATCATTTTTAAAGCTGAAGCTCTATAAAACCTCTAAAATGAGTCTCAGCGACATTTAAAAAGTGATGGGCAAAGAATTCTGTAGTCTTAATTACAAGGGTGACTGAGCTTTTCCCTTAGCTTCTTCAAAACGTCTTTGCATTTTACACAATCTCAGGTGGTAGCAAAAACCAAATCCGAGAGTTTTCCATTGTTTTGCTGCCTCTATGCCTTCATTTGTGCAGCGTGGGACTTGCATAATGCACCAGATTAGGCTGGTGCTGAACTTGAGAAGATGGCCAGGCATCTTTTCTCTCATCAGTCACGGCAACAGTTCCAAAAAGTACATAAAAATGGCTTCCGGATTTTAAACTGTTTTCTGAAAATAAAAGGAGTTTGCAACATTCAGAGAAACAGTGAACATAAATATGCCAAAATCTGCTACGTCAAGTCCCGCAGATTCAGAATTAGCCTTGACCTCATGTTCAACACCCTCAACAATCTTTAGTATTGCACACACACTGAATTTAAAGCTGCAACTGCGGATGGAACTTTTAAAGCCAAAAACGAATGTGGTACAATTAACACCACTGAAAAGCAAACCCACGGCATCCACTGGAGGATCCAGTCAAGGATCTTCGCAGCTGTGTTCAGTTCTTCACAGTTCCGTTGCCATTTTTTCAAAATAATTTGAAATATGAATGCCAGTGCTAATCCTTTAAACATCAACCCACAACATTCTGTTTAACACGCTGCATCAAACCCCAATCAGCTATGCAAAGAAGATGCATTATAAATGATAAAATGTAATGTTTGGTTGTAGTAAGTTTGGTTTGTCAGCCAATATAGGTTTTCCTTTCCTTTTCTGAGGAAATGTAGTTTTCTCCAGGAATGACCATCCATTCCAAGCCTACTGGAAAATTCTCGATTGGACATAATGATGAATAGGCTTGTTGTACTTCTTTTCAAGTAGATGATTTTGTTTGTTTGTTTGTTTATTTATTTATTAAAACATTTTTATGCCGCCCCATTCGCCGAAGCCTCGGGGCGGCTTACAACAATTAGTTAAATAATTATAATTAAAATTTAGCACTTAGACTCAGATCAACTTCAGTTTCCCATTTTCTCTTAAGCAGAAGGATTCACATTAGGAGAGTGCAAGCAAAACCCTGCCAATCATATCTGGAATTGATATAAAGTAGCAGAAATGCTTCTTAAAATCTGATAAAAATACACTATAGTAAGTCACACTTTTTAAAATGTCTTAAAAACCGGGCTACTGTGCCACCATCACCCTCCTTTGGTGCAGAAGTTGCGCTTGAAGGATATCCGTAAAACCATCAGCAAGAAAATCCTTTTTTATTCCCCAAGCATCTCTGCAGTGGTATTTTTAAACATACCTAATCACACCATTTGTTATGCAATAACAAAAAAGCATTACTTACCAAGAGAAGTAATGTTGCACATGCTACCGTATTTTCAGATGCATCCCTTAGAACATTTCCTGCTTAGCACACTTTAGAGTCTTTATTTCGCCCATATTCTAAGCCATCTGCCAACCTTGCTCAGAGAAGATCTACAAACAGGGAAGGCACTTAATGAAAGCTGAAACTTCCTGAACCATTGGATGGAAACAACTGATGTCGCTTCTGAAAAACCTTAGATTGGGAAACATCCCTGAAACCAATTATTGTTGTCGGTGCAGGAAAGAGCACTTTTTAATTAGGAGGGGAGAAGGCTCATTTATTACTAGACGAGCGACTTGAGTATCACAATATATATTCAAAAGGTCATTGTCCGCATCACTCTGGTGGGAAATGAGCAGAACTGCCATCGGGCTCCCAATGCCAGACTGTCCAGCCAGTTCTTAGGCCCAGAGGTCCTGCAGGTACCTCTTTTCCTCTCTCAAAGTAGCCAGCATTTTCAGTGCGTGCAGCTTGTCAACTCCTTTCTCAGCAATTAAGGCATCCACTAAAGTATCGTTCACGTCTTTCGCCATATGCTTTGCATCTCTGAAGAAGTAAAATGAAACGTCAGTCAATGAGGCACAGCCAAGACTGGGGAACAGCGCAATTCAGCCAACATCGCTTCAGACAAGTATGGGGTGGTATTGTGGGACGGTGCCGCTGGTAGATCGTTCTTATCAGTAAATCATTCTTATCTCCTGCGCTGAGCAGGGGGTTGGACCCAAGGGCCTCGCTGATTCCTTCCAGCGCTGCTATTCTACGAACGTCTGACAATGGCAAGCTGTTGCACTCAGCCAAACATAGCTCTGTATCACTGGAAACACTCTTTAAATTGCACACTGGTGCCCCTAAATAGCAAGGGCAGGCTACCCATTCCCCAGCCCTGAAAATCTTTTGCCGCGCAGTCTCTCACCCCGCTTTAGAAGAAGGTACTCACTGTGAAAATGAAACTAGCTTTGCATATTTGTTTGGCTTGGTATACATTCAAATTTCAGTTTTAAATTTGTCACTTCCTACATTATCCTTTCGGTTCCAAAGCTGACACTTAGAAGTATTCATTTGCTTGAACTGCCGTCATACACGCAGGCATGCATATAAATTTAGCTGTAAGCAACACGGGTAACAGTTCAGCGTTCGGACCGAATACAGCACAGTCTTTCCCACAAACCAGCTTGGGAACTTACAGGCTGTTCTAGGGGGTGCCCAGGTTGGTACCTGCTGCACCGGGACCACCTGTGCCCCCCGCCTCCCCCAGACATTGCCCAGGTGAGGCTTCCTGCTTTGGACACAGTGAAGTGTACACTTCAGTGCTTGTACACATCCAACCAGAGTATCAGAACAGAAACGGTGCAGCCTCCCAGCATGCCCTTGGCGTGCCTCAGAGGGTCTGTAGCTCCCTGTCACTTTTGAGATTGTGGAGGCAGTTTCTGAAAAATGTGGGGAGGGGAACTCAGCCGGAGCAGTCAACAAGGGCCCTGCGGCAGTGCTGAGTTGTCCAGCCACGCAGAGATTAGATGCCGCAAAGCGTCCAGCACCTGAAACGGGGTTTCTTTCCCCGTCAGTAGAAATGCTGGCCTGCGAGATTCAAGAATACGAACGTCCAGGAGGTCTTGATGAAATCAGAGGCTGCTGCTTGGTACAAGTTCTAACGAGGCTAACGGAATGTCTGTCTCACAGCTTTAAACACTACCATTTTCAGACACAGAGTTCTGTTTTCTCAAACTGTTTTGCAACTGGGTTTACTACGTATTTATAGAACTGAAGTTCAGCACTTTATGATAGAGCTGTAGACATTCTTAAATATGTATAAATAAAGCAAACAGGCCATGAAAGTGGTTTGGATGATGTACACATAAAAGCCCTTGCAAGTTGGGTAAAACGAACGATTTAGGAGGCCTGATGGACGATACAAAAGGTCCTTCTTGTCCCCAGTCTCGTTTCCCTACCCTGTTCCACCACTTAGGCATGTCATTTGCTAGTGTCCACTATTGTGCGATGAGGAAGTTCCTGCTTGCACCATCGATGTGCATGTGACACAAGTGCGACTTACCATCCGAACTCTCTCGCTTGCCTTAACTTGCCCCCTGCCTTTTGCTCACCGTTCTGCCTCAACAGGCCCAATCCAGAGGTTCACTTTGCTTTTTGGCTTTTTAAGAAGTTTGCGGTTCTCTTATCAGCCCCCGAACACCATAATGACGCTGTGCCTCCGGGAGCTTTTTTTTATTTTTTTAAATTAACCCAAACACCTGGGTTCCCCATTAATTTTGCTCCTCTGCCCTCAAACCGCAACTATTTGCCCTGCCAGTATTGGAACCCGAGGGGCTGGGCCAGCAAGTGTGAATCTTAAAGCAGTTACCTATTTTACAAGTTCCTGCAAATCCAACTTTTATAAAATCCAACGATTACTCACCCACACACATAAAAATACCCGTTCTCCTGCAGCAAAAGCCTGCTAATCTCTCTCGAAAAAAGCCGAAGGTTATCTTGAACGTATTTAGGAGTGGCGGCTCCCGCCGCAGCCGGGGCGTCTCTGGAGAAACAGACCTTCAGATGCGTCAGGGTGCCATCCTCAATGAAGCGCCTGAGCTCACCTCTGGAACGCAAGGCAAGGCAAGGATCACTGCTCCTGTGCAGAGATAATTCCCGTGCACAGCTGTTAGGCAAGCAAAGCCCTAACGGGGAGCAAGCAACAACCAACTTACTCAAACAGGTAGTCTTTGGCCTTGTGGCGGCAGCCGAAAAACAGCCATGTCTCTCCAAACAGCCAGTCTTTGTGAGCCTCTTTGAGTTTCTGCCTGAACAAGAAAGAAAGAGTTTCACTGCTCACGGTCGCAGATCCTGTGCTTTGAATGAATCGGCAGTAACCAACGTAACTCGAGCGGTTTTCCAATAACTGTTTTGCATCTATCTTCTGGCTTTGCATGATTTGTTCCAGCTCTGGTGGTCATGAGGCAGGCCAGGAAGCTGTCTTGCACCCTTTGACTCCTGGGCCATCCCCAGAAACCTCCACCCCTGCCCAGCGGCTTCGGAGATTTCATCAAATATCCGTCCCAACTATTCTCGCCTGTTTGTCCTTCTTACGAGATGTTTTGTGGGTTACAGACTTGGGAAGAGTTGTTCTCTTGGATTAAATGGAAGAAATCCAGGGAATAAAACATTTCAAGTGGAAAAGCAGGTTTGACATTCTGCTCGTTCTTCTTACTGTAGCTGCTCGAACATCTAAACACAGAAAACCTACCTTTAAATCACCCAAGTCCTTTGCTTCTCCTACTTGATATTCATTCAGAGCCAGCAGTGGACTTACAGTGCACGACTTCTGTTATAACTGCACCCAAGTTTTAGTCTCTTTCAATTCATGACTGTCACAAGCTGCCTTTCAGACCGTTGCAATAATAGCAAATAAATTAGTCACAGCATTCGTTAAACACCAGAAGTCTGCATTCTTAGCTGTAACGACAGCAAATCTATTTCCCCTCCATTTTCAAAGGCAGCTTCTGGCTGTCCCAATTAATGCTTCCCCAAGAATTTATTACTCAGTTTAAAAAAGAAATCATCTGGCACTGCAACAATTCAATTTCATGGTCTGCATACAGATCCTTTCCTAGATTGTTCCCCTTATTACTCTTCCCTAAATTACCAAGCGAGGCACCAAGCTGACACTTTAAACCCAGCTTAAATCAAATGTGATTTTGGAGCCTAAAAAGCCGTGTCAAATGTTGACGTGAGGATGCGTTGCATGTGCAATGGCTCAACTCTGCCAGCGGTGACCTTCACACTCGGTTGACAGGCTGTTGAAACGAAGCGCTGTGGCCTAGATGAACCCACGAAGAAAGGCGTTGGCATGTGGGCGACCACCTTCTACCGGCGAACCTACATATCTTAGAGTTGCGGAGGTAAACAAATCCAGCAGGCCAACAAGCTTGGGACGTATGGTCTGGCGTTTAGCCCTTCCATAAAATGAGGTCATAAACCAGCCCAAGTGTGCAAAATTTGTGGAATGCTTGAGTGTAGTTTGGAGGATATGCTGCAAAGATCTAACTGGGATGCCAATTCTCAGTTGAAGCCGGCTCCGAAGAGAACCTTCCTTCCTGAAAGCTGGCTATTGCCGCTTCCCTCCCGCATAATCACAGGGACACTGCCATCCTGTGGGACAGGGATCCAGGGAAACAGACGAAGGGTCACCTGTTCACACAGCTGGTGTGGCTGAATGGCCCTTTCTCTCCAACAAGAGTTCAGGCAGGCTTCGTGAGGCAACGGCCTCTGGGGAGACCCATTCCAGCACTCTCCTCCCCACTGGCAGTGATCAGGCGAAGAATTTCCTATGTGCCAACAGCCTGCTCCATTGTTTAAATACAGATATAAAGCACTTTCAGACTCAGCATTAAGAAAACTAAGACCATGGCATCCAGTCCTCTCACTTCCGGGCAAATAGATGGGGAAGAAATGGAGGTAGTGGCAGATTTTATTTTCCTGGGCTCCAAGATCACCGCAGATGGGGACTGCAGCCAAGAAATTAAAAGACGCTTGCTCCTGGGGAGGAAAGCTATGGCAAATCTAGACAGCATACAAAAAGGCAGAGAGATCGCCTGGCCGACAAAAGTGCGTATAGTCAAGGCGATGGTTTTCCCAGTTGCAATGTATGGCTGTGAAAGCTGGACCATAAGGAAGGCTGAGTGGCGAAGAATTAAGGCCTTTGAATTGAGGTGCTGGAGGAGACTCCTGCAAGTCCCTTGGACTGCAAGGCGATCAAACCGGTCAGTCCTAGAGGAGATCAACCCTGACTGCTCTTTTGAAGGCCAGATACTGAAGATGAAACTCAACTCCTTTGGCCACCTAATGAGAAGGAAAGACTCCCTGGAGAAGAGCCTGATGCTGGGAACAAGCGATGGCAAAAGAAGGAGGGGATGGCAGAGGATGAGGTGGCTGGATGGAGTCACTGGGGCAGTGGGTGGAGCTTGGGGGGGACTCCCAAGGGACGGTGGGGGACAGGAGAGCCTGGAGGAAGGTTGTCCATGGGGTCATGATGAGTCGGGCACGACTTTGCGACTAACAACAACAAAAAATAAAGGACTTACCTATGTTGCAGGAAGCCGATAAATGGCGCAATTCCAGTTCCTGGACCAACCATAACAAGGGGAACCGATGGATCATCTGGTAAATGGAAAATGTTGGCTGGACGGGATGAGATGGAGATCTAGAATGTAATCAAGATATCATTAAAGTGCAGCTGAGGAAAAGCAGCAAGCCCAATTTACAAGCTACGGCCTCCTTCAGAAGAAGAGGTGCAAGTGCTCAGTAAAATATGATGTTTTTGAAGGAGAAGCAAGATGGGAAATCACGACTCTTGTAAAAGGGCGAGCAGTGGGAAAGGTAGAAGCCAAATCCAGTTTTGGATAAACAGAATTATTGGCTTTGTGGAATGCGACATTTCTTGTTCTAGTCACCAAAATGAAATTATCTAGATATAAAAGAACATTTTCATAAAGAAGATTAAGAGCAACACACCATAAATGTCATGAACAGATTTAATTTCCGGTAACAGTTTCTGCTAATGGAATGAACATCTTGCGCCATGAGGCAACCATTTGCTTGGTGTTCTTGTCATTTTCCTTTCGGCCATAAGGCATTTCGTATCATTCCGAGTAAATCCCTGTAGCTAGGAGAGTTTGCTCAGAAGTTCTTAGAATTCCCATAAAATAACCTGCAGACCACACCTACGAATCAGGTGTTCCCTGCACGATGTCCATTCTTCCTAAGTTTGTAGACTCCAAAAAGCCCGTGATGTCCAAGGTGCCAACAGGTAACTCTCCGTCCTGCTGCAGCAGGTTGAGTATCTCATCCTGTGTGGATATTTACCCCACATGAGGCGTGGACAGTGGCCGAAACAACCATGTGATTCAGCTTGAGAAACTCACATTTAATAATGTACTCCAGTAAGAAATCTAGAATGCTCATTCCAATTTGAACCATTCCGCAGAGCACGTGCGTTTAACTCAGCAGACTTCAAATATTTGGGGCCAGGAATCCACACTGGATTGCAACGTGAAACCTGCTTCCAAATCTTTATCACGGCAGTTAAAGCCGCCTCTTTTCCTTGTCTGATCTTTTCACACTTTTTCAAAAAAAGAAAAAAAGGGGTGGGGGGAAAGTCCTTGACTTTTGTAGAGGAAGAGGCACCATCCATCTTTAGAAAATGACCCCCTTGCAAATAAAGTCTTTTACCCCATGGTTGAAGACTAAGATATTGGAAATCAGTATTAGTGGGATTAATCAGAAAATGAAACACGCCCATTTCTAAAATAGTTCTTAAAGCTGAGCGCAGATTGTATAGCTTTGGCCCAACAGCGTTCCTAATGGGGGTGCAATTTGTTTCAGATTTGTGTGCGCTTCGTCTGCCATTAGAAAAACCTACAAGTTGGACTCATTTGGATACCTTTGGAATTAAGAGTCCCTCACCCTTCACGCTCGACTGAAGGAGTGGGGTGACCAAGTCGGCCAGCCAGCCAGTACAGACACCTCTTCGCCTTTCTCCAAGAAGGGATGGAAACTCCAGAACGTTAAAGACGAAGCTCAGCTTTCCCGGTTGAAATAAGCTAGAGCTGCAAGGAAACAGTTAAAAAAAGTCAGCGCCTGCCTCCTCCCGATAAAAGCCCATTGCACACAAGGGCTAGAGGGCTCAGAAAAACTATCATCCCCACCCAAAGGCAGGCTGCTAATACCCACCAAAAATCTCATGCCAACGGTGGAGCTTTTACCTAGAATTCCCCACAAATTCCAAGCTTATCTTCCCAACCAAAACGGCTACAAATCTTTACGCAAGAGAAGCAGCGATTCCCAGGATGCTGAATTCCGCACCGAACTGAAATATTGGCAGGTTTTCTGTGTTAGTTTAGAATACGCAGAACCCCGATTACATTTTCTCCTGAATGGGGCAGATTCCCAAGGCTTTTCAATGACTTTGACTCACTAACGGTGCACGTTTTACTTTCAACAAGTCTGTGTTCAGTTACCAGTCTTGCAGGTTATTACTATTAACAATAACATCAACATTTACTTATGATGCCATCCTCCCAAACTTGTATTCTTACCTTCATTACTTTAAAAGGCTAGAAAGCCCTAAAAGGTTATCCTCGTGATCATACTACAGATGGGAAACCAAGCCCAGGCTCAACTGGTGTGGAAGAGGTAAAATTTAAACAGGGGTCTCCTAATTCATAGTTCCGTTTGGGAGCACTTGCACTATCCCCAGGCGGTGTGTTGGAAGAACCACAGGCAAGAGGGGGGCGCTGGAGGCGAAAAGCTGCTTCCCAAACCCCCCGAGATACGGCTGCGGCTGCACGGGGTGACTTGTGTGTATGAAGGAGCCACCGCTGATCAAACACCACCCTAAACACGGCGCTGAGACGCCAGTGTGGGCGCACTGCTGAACAGCAAAGCCATCAGTCCTCGGGGGAAGTCCATGCACATTGGGATCGATGCATCCCAAGGGCCGTTTCTCTCCATAACGGGGTGACGCCAAATTTAGGAAAACAACAATGCTCAGCTTACGATTAAAAGAGTGTTTATATTTACCTTGCAGCTGAGTAGGGTCTGGCTTGCAGTTTTGGAAGGTTTTCTGGGGAAAGAACAGTACACGTTTTCATCCTTCATTCCCATTGACATGCAGAACGAAAAGCGCCTTGCGATAATATACAACAGGCACTCCACAGAACTTCACCTATGCTGCATCAGTAATCTTAACCATCAGCCCTGCGAGGCAGACCAGCGCTACTTCCTTTCCCCTCTGAATGGAGGAGAAGAAACGCAGGTTACGAGGCAGGGCTTTGCCTAAGCTCACCTGCTGGATGACAAAGACCTGGCTGGCCATTAAGGACAGAGACACATGAAGCCGTCCGATGCAAAAGCACTGCCTGGGGAACTCTAAGGGACTGCTTGGCCGAGGCCCAGCAATCGCCGGCTATAACCACGTTCTGATCTTGCCCATCTGAGAAAACGCTGGCGAGACAGAGCACACGGCAACTTTTGATGCAGCCGCAGCTTCTGCAGTCGCCACGTGTGGCACGTGCCGTCACGGCAGCTTGAAAGAAGCCTGTTACAAGCGGCACCCGGGCGAGTTATCAGGCACCTGCCCAGTGACTGCCCTCCTTCTTTACGATGCATGTTCCGCGGAATACTCACCGATCAGGAGGCTGAGCGGAGGCCTGCACGTGCGGAAAGCCTGGAGGAGGTCCGCTAGGCAGGCGCCGGCATCTCGCACGAGAGCATTATAATCCGAGGATCCCTGCTTGCTGCACAGTTCCTGGAGCCGCCGTTTTTCTCCAGCGTCAGTGGTATATTCTATCAGGGAGCGTAAAAATGCCTAGCAGGAAAGAAGCAGCTGTTTTCAGTCTGGCCTGAGCCGTAAAATGAAGGAGGGTCTTAATTACGAGGTACTAATCTTGTCTGCCGATTTGCAAGCACGATGCCTCTTCTCCTCCAGCAGCTCAGGGCTGTGTGTGAAGGGAGCATCATTTTAACTGTCAACCAGCTTGTTAAGGATTCCCCTGAAAATGGCTCTTCAAAATTTACTAGCCCACTTTATAATTTTCTTAAACTAGTCTTCTTGCCCACTGTCTCAAGGATTTTTGTGTAAACCCTTCCCTTCCTGGTCACCTAGACCTAAGTTTTACTCACCAAGCGCGACCAAGTGAAAGACTGTTTACCTGTGCTGAGGTGACCGTGATTTTGACCAGTACTTTGTGCAGTGAAGTAGAAGAAAAATGGTTAATGGATGGTTAGGGCCTCGTACTGCATAACCAATAAATGGCACAACGGCACTTGGTTGCACCCTGCAGCCAACATGTTTTAAGAATTATTAAAACGTAGATGTGTTGAAATAGCACAACAACTGACGATCTCACGCTTCTGCTGACATCTAGTGGAAAAAGTCATTCCCAAATTAATCTGGCACCACATTTAATCCAACCCCAAATGTTCGCTTATGGACTATTTTATGTACTAGAAGGGTTATTTTGATTTCTGTATTTCATCATTGCACAAATGAGCCATTTTTAAAATGTATCTGCATTTATTTGCAAGAGGGGTATAACAATATTTCAAAAATAGATGGCTGTTTTTCTTTCCCTGGGCTACAGTAACACACTTCCAAGCAGCAAGATGTCTCTGGATGACTGTAGCAACGGGCAGTTCCAATATTTACTACCGCCTCAGAAAGCTCTTTCTAACTTTCTCCCGGCACCAGGGCTGCCAATCCATTACACTTCCCCTCACATGTTCCTTCTGGGAAGAAGAGAAAGAGGAAGTGGTAGTGAGCAGCCAATTTCCCACCCCTCCTTACTACTCCAAGGCTGAAGAGAAGGTAGGTGTTGATGAAGATGGGAGGAAAGTGCATGGGCAAGCAGGTGTCATAGAAACAGAGCGAGTCGGAAGGGGCCTCCCGGGCCATCTAGTCTGACCCCCGGCACCAGCCGGCTCCGCTCACGACATGCCCACCATGTGCGTGACCAGCCTATCCTTGAACACCCACACCGATGGGGCCTCAACCACCTCCCGTGGAAGCCCATTCCACACCCCAGGGGTCCTGACTGCCAGGAAGTGCTTCCTGGCATCCAAATGGAACCTTGGTCAAGTGAGGAACTTCAAGGGGTTTTGCTGCTTTAGTGGTAGGAAGCAAAACGGAGCCACGTCTTTTACTCCTGTTGGTTAAATTGCCACAAACACTTTGGCAATCCGGCTGAGTGGCTTGCATCACTACTTTTTAAAAACTTGTGATTCTATAATATTCAGCAGATGGGGCATCAAGTGAAGGACAGACTGACACCCAAATTTAAACGGACAGAAATGATGCAGGCTGACACCCAAATTTCCAGGTTCTGGATGTTAGTATTGCAATATGGAACTCAAATCCCAGAGATGGAAACCAGGCTAGAGTTATATAAAAAGCAGACCTTATAATTTGTTACAACTGTCATGAATAAATATTTGAAATTTTAAGTATCTGGAAAAGTAAACAAGAAACAACCTTTTTGGGACATGCTCTTATTTCCAAACACCACATCAGAATGAATTTCACAGTACTCTTTTCAGGGATATATTGTGGCACAGATGCTCCTGTTTAAAAGAAGAAGGAAAATAGTGCGCATACCAATAAATATATTTCATTACTTTAGAGTTAGTTGTAAAGTGAACACTTACACAGATCCTCTGTGTGCAACAGTCCCCTGGTATACAGGTAGGTGTGCAAGGCAGTCCCTGGAGTTAGCAAGTTTGAAAATCACCAATATTAAAATAAGTGCATTTACAAGAATATAACTTTATGGATGGATCCTCAAGTTCTACAGTGCTGGAAATGAATGCTGCTAAGACTTTTCAACTGCACAGTAATTTATAGGGAATACCAAGGTATAGAACATATCTTGAAATGCTGCAGAAAAGAAACCCGAGACTTCCGTATACAGCTCCTTGTTACCTAGCGGTCAAAATCTGTCCTGGTCAGGGCTACCAAAACTGCAATGAATTTTTAGGCGGCCAGTGCTTGCTGCGAAAGTTTGCAGCAGGACCAATTATTTAGGATGGTCAAATCCCAGCAGGAGCAACAAAGTTCTGGAAAGATATCAGCACACTGAGCAAATGTGCAAAAACCAATCGACTAGATTAAGGCAACCCATTTTTGGTGAATGGGTCTAACATCCTAGTAAACACTGGGGATTCCTTTTAGGACTGAGCTGTGAATGAAGAACAGCAATGTATAGTGGGGCAAAAGACACTCTAGCTTCACACACAAATTGATGGCACCTGGATTTATTTTAAGGGTAAAAGAAAGGGAAAACGTGAGCCACGTTCATTTCAATGACACCCGAAAGGGATGAAACCTCATTCATGTTTATGTCCATTTTGTTTTCCTAGTGAGTTTCCCAAGAGGACCAGGAAGTATTGAGCTTCTTGAAGCTATGGGGTTTCTCCATCCAAACTGGAATATATTTTCCAGCATCCTATTTGCTCAAAGCTTCAGATGTCCACATTTCAGAAAGAGAGCAGAAAGGATGCCGATTTTATTAGCAAGGAAAAATAGGTATAGAGTAAAATATTGTTTCTATCTTTAGTCCAGGACATGTTTCCTTTACAACACAGCTTCAGCCACAGATGGGCAAAGCAATGCCATTTCTAAGCTGCAAGAACACCTATTTACCTACAGAAAATAAGCAAGAGTTACTGAAATTTCTGCAGCCCCCACACCAAGCCTATAATGCCCTTAGCCCTTGAGTCCGTGTTTGGACACCCACATGGCCTTGCAGATGCTGGGGGATCCATGACTTGCACTCCAGTGTATACAGAACAGTGTATACAGAACAAAAGGAAAATCTGGACAGGGATTCTGCAATAGTTTGCAAAGGACAACATTACATATAATGTAAATCATGATACTTTGCTTACCTCTTTTGTTCGTGTTTGCTTTAACCTTCAAGGAAACAAGGTAATCTTTCTTCTCCTCCAGTCCCAAGAGGCGAAGGAGCGCATCCACCTCGCTGGCATTATTGGGGCAAACGACATTGAAGGCATCTCCAGGCTGGTAGCTAAATGCTGTTTTCTGTTTTTAAAGTGCACAATATCCTGAGAAAAGTCATGCAGAAAATGTGCTTCCCCCTGACTCCCCAGTACTATGCCAAATAATTTCTCTTTTAGGGTCGCACTTTGGGGAAGTGGCTATGTCACAAGCGCCGCCGCCCAAAACGAGGTTTCCCCTTGTCACCCAATAGCTCTGCACCTTAAGTGTTACTTTGCTGGTGACACGGTGACCTTTATGAACCCGACTACCCACAGTGGCATACCAAGACACTTTGCTTCTGCCCTTTATTTCTCAAGTTCTTCATAATCGATGGACAGGAGCTAAAGAGTGCCACTCGTGCTCGAGGAGGCGGCATCAGTGGGCTCAGAGCAAAAACAAAGCTACCAGAACAATGATGACACAACCAAAGCCTCTGAAGCAAGAGCAGGCGGGGCAGGTAGCCCAGGACAGACTCCTCAGTGGGCACAGAATGTACTGATCCCGGCTGGCGAGAGATGCAGAGCGAAATCCTTGGCTGGATGGAATCCCAGACAGGAGTGTTCCACAATGCCACATTGGAAAGCAGTACGAGAGCATCTTTTACTCCCCATAATAGCAAAACTAAGACTATTTTCAAGCTTTTTCTTTTAGAGTTAAGTCCATCGGCATCAGTTCCTCCAAGACATTGCAAGCGAACGAGCTGAATTCAACTTACAGAAATATCAAGTTCTAGCAGCAAGGTCTTCTTCACTGCATCGTCCCTAGTGAGCTGAATGGCCTTGGTGATAGGAACCCGGAAGACGGAGCTCTCTGAAACATGGGGCAGGTTGGTATCCTGCAAAGAAGCTGATGATAGTTTAGACAGAAGGAATAAGCACGTGACGTCCTAGCAAAGCAGGGTCGTGCCAAATGCGGCCTGTGAAAAAATCAATCAGTACAACAAAACCAGGTTAACAGGGAAGGGAAAGGATTTCTTGTCCTTCTCGGGATCACCAGGGCTTAATTTGGAAGAAAAGCATTGCGGGCTCGAGAGCAGGGTAGCTGGGAGGAGACATCGGGGTAAGAGTAGACAGCGAACAAGAAAGGCCCAGTTTATGAGGTTTTGTCTAACCTGGAAAGGTTAGCAAGGGTTTGTCTAACCTCGTCTAAGCTGGAAACTAGGAGGAGGATAATTTTGGAGGTTGCAAGCCAGCACCCAACTGCCTGAATCAGCAGTCGATAACTTTGTTCCAGCAATCGTTCAGCACTCCACTTCAGCACCTGGAATGTGGAGGTGAACTTTGGAGACTACTCGGAAATCTGAACGGTCCAAAAATATAGGGGATTTATCAGGATTAGGGAGCTGGGACAGTTCAAAGGGCCCGTTCTGAACATTAAGGAGCTCAATGATCCACTTATCTAAATGATGGCCTCCTGCCACATAGACCTCTCCAACTATTAGGATTACGCAAGCTTGCTAGGGAAGCCAGGCCAAGACAAAGACGCGGGAGGGGCAGGTTTAAGGGGCAACAACAAAACTAGACAAAAACTGACCAGTAGCCTTTCCCATATTATTGCTATTTATTTTACAGAGCTGAAACCAAATAGGGCACATCAGCTAAAAACAGCTTCTGGAGAGCCTCCATTCAAGCTGGCACAGAACTGAGGAGAAGCAATTCCTTTCAGGGAAAAATCCCAAAAGATCTAAGGTTTGGCAGCTAGAAATCGGCAGCCCTGGTGGCGGAATGGGCTCCCAAGAGAGGTCTGCCTGAGGCCACCATTACATGCTTTTCGGTGCCAGGGTCAAGCCCTTTTTATTTTTCCATAATGTTAATGTTTAAATATTTTAACTATGTTTTATGCTCAGTTGTGGATTATTTTGGATTGTTCGGGTTGATATGTATTTATTGGATGTTGATTTGTACGCCATCCAGAGACCCGCAACGTAATTGGACGGGGTAAAAATGCCCAAATAAATAAATAAATAAATAAATAAATAAATAAATAAATAAATAAATTCACTGTGAGAGGCCTTACCTGGTCAGAGTTTTCTTGAAGCTGCACTTCTAGGTATTCTGATGGTAATGCCGGAATATTAAGAGCAGACTGTGAAAGTGGAGGCACTGATTGAAAAAGTGAAGGCTGCAAGTACTGAATGGCCACTTCTGAGTCTATATTCGCTTCTGATGAGGGATCATTTTTCACCTCTGAGTCGTCTAGCTTCAGTTGTGCAATTTTGGATCCAATGCATGAATCAGAATCTGTGTTGCCGGTAAAAGGGGCAGTCTGGTCACTGCAGTCTGTTTCTTCTTTCCTGGATGCAAATTCCCGTTTCAGGGCAATCCAAAGTCCGGCAATCCATGGCTCAACCACCAGTTCCAGACTGGAACAACATGAAGGAAACAAATGTTTAAAGATAAGCGAAAAGCTCAGAGTACAGGTCAGAATGAAGGATGTTTCTGTTGACATGCTAACATTGCAGTGAGTTCTACTTAAAGGGTTCTAAGAACACAGTTCTCCACCATAAAGGACACGAAGACAAGCAAGCGCCACAGCAAAAGGAGTCCTGCAGTGCTCAACTGGATTGTGTTCCTGCAAGATCATGCCAGCAACCTGTCATCACAAGCAGGACTGTCTCCTCTCTAGGCTAGCACACTACAAGAATGCCAGCGCTTCCTCTTGCAACTCTTTTGAGACTCTTTTGAGACAGATGGAGATCAAGGCACTCAAGCCCGCTTGCATCATTCTCCTCCTCCTCCTGCTCTCCATCTCATCCCCACAACAACCACCCTGTGAGGCAGGTGGGGCTGAGAGTCTGTGATCGGCCCAAAGTCACCCAGTTGGCTCCATGGCTGAACGGGGACTCAAACAAACCCCTCACTCTCAACCACTACACTGCCTCTCTTAAGAATTTTCTGGATTTTTTAGGGACAAAACCGCATCATGCCACTGGGATTTGGATCGAAAGATAACTGGGAGGAAATTAGAAGCAGACGTATCAGAGAAGTTCTGTTCTTACCCTACAGCATCATCTGCTAGCCCCACCTCGCAGAAGCGCTGTGCTCCAAGCTCCTGAAGCCGTTTGTCTATTATCTTCCCGCCATTGCAGAAAAATGTGTATTCGGAGTCTCCCAGGCCTGAGAAAGTCCAGGTTTAAGGAAGGAGACAAACAGAATAGCCTGTATCAGCCTGGCAGAGCAACTCAGTGGATTGGAGTTGGGTGATAAACCATGTGAAGTAAAACAAGACACAAACACACACACGCACAAACAACTAAGGAGAATATTCCAGGATTGTCAATATAGCTGTCTTTGCCCAGCTGCGTACAGCAGACAGTGGTAAGGAAAGCAGCTTGTTCCGTGTAAACAGATTCCAATTGCATTTTGTTCCATGCTCAGCGTAAAGGGCCTGGGTCTCAGCGGCAGAGAAAGCAATGGAAAGTCTTTACTTTTGAACTAGCCAGGACTAAAACAGGGTGATGAAGGTGGACCACACGGTGCTAAGATGCTATGCAGAAGCGTTTCTCTTCCAACCTCTTCTCTGCATTCCTTAAAATTGTTAATACAAAGGAAGAAACTTCGGATGAGACGGGGGGGGGGGGACATTTGCAGGACGAAGAGCCTTCTTCCCTATCTCCCCTCCTCCTCCTCATCACATCACTCCTCTTGCTCACACACCTGTCTCGTGTGGAAGGAACTGTTGGCCCCTGGGTTCGAGGATTTCTCAGTGCTTCCAAGCCCTCCGCGAGTAACTGGAAAGCACACACAGCTGTCGCTAGAACAGCTTCGTATGTTAACAGATCTACCTTCTCCATGAAGTGGGAGAACAGGAAGAAAGAGAACAGGGACACTGCTTTCACCACTCAGTCGTCCAGCAAAACTAGGCACCAACCAGGCCGTGGGCAAGTCGCCAAACACAGAATGCATTCACATGTCACGCTAAGCTATGAACTTGCGTTTCCCAGACTTTCACGCCCTCTTCCCGCTCCTGCTCAGTCCTGGAGCAGTTTAGATGTTTTCACCTGCCATGCTGTCTAGAGCGACAAACAGTGACTGGCATTACTGTGTTAAGCCTTAAACAAGCCACTTCCAAAGCCACAAACTGTGAAGCAGGTTTCTTTAAATGAATCTGGAAGACACAGGGAGCAAAAGCTTCCGAACTTTTTTCCCCGGACCCACAGGAAGGCAAGGGAGAATATTCTAGGTGGAGACTTGCAGTGGCTGATTCATGCTAAACTGGGGTGGGCAACTTGTGGCCCCCCAGACATTATGGCCTGCAAATTTCAGGATTCCTTGCCACTGCTTATGCTGCCGAGGCTCATGGGAGTTACAGGGCAAAACCCCTGGACGTCCAGCCTGGACTAAACCATGAACTTGCAGAATGTGCAATGTGCCCATTATGTCTTTTTCCAAATCAGAAAGGTACCATTTTGTTTGATGATGAAAATAATAGCCAATTTTAAAAGAAGAAATACTCATTCTTCCCAACAGGTAAATCCTTGCTTCAGAAATTTTAAAATCATATCCTGATTCTGTGAGGTTATCCATAAATATGCTCAACAAGAACTGAATTGCTGTGACCTTTCCCCACTTTCAAACAGTTTGACACCATGCTCCTTAGTTGCTATGAATTTTTCCCCTTTCATTATATAAGTATCAGATGGCAAGTCAATTACCTAGCAATCCATATCGTAAATGGGAAAAGTGGTCTGACGGCAGAGCTTTGTTATTAATTTCTTTAATGAACTTGGCTGCTGTGTCAGGAGGTTCTCCTGTACCCGTCGTGGAAGTAACTATCACCAAAGGGTCCTTTTCGCTCTCCAAGTTATACTACAAGTCAAGAGGAAAACACTAAATCAAGAATTTTGTGATGTTTAGCTGTTACCAAGTTTATGAGGAGACAGCTTGCTTCTCTATCTATGATGCCTAACCTGACCCTCCAGGATGTGTTGGGCTGCACTCAGGGAAGAAGATTCAAAGTATTTATCTATGACAACTCTCAGGGCTGCATGAGGAGTCCTTCCTACTCCTCTTCATCACACACCAAGGAGATCACGAGGTAAGGCAGGTGTGTATCTACTCCAATTTCACCACTGGCGTTAGATCAGCCCTAAAGTATTCAAACCCCTCCAACCCACTGAATTACCACTATGCCAAAAGAGGCATAACTGAATTATCACTCTACCAGTTCTTAACTATGTCCACCCTAGCAGATCAACACATATAATCAAGGATGAAAACGATAAAACGGTTTTATCTTCGAGAATTAAGCAGGTCAGTCATAAATTTCAAGCTGAAAAGGATCCAAAGTTTGACAGCTCAGCTGGGGATCATGTGCTGCGGGGAGCTTAGCTAGCTAATTCTTGGTTGCACATCCAAACATCTCTGAGGACAATAGAAACAAAGCGCGTCAGAAGGGGCCTCCGGGGCCATCTTGTCCGACCCCGCATGACACGCCTACCCTGAATAGCTTCAGGAAACAGAGGCACAGGCAAAGAGAAGGTCAACCAATTCAAGGTCAATAGAGTGGCACCTCGGCTCACAAACATACTCCGTTCCACGACTCTGGTCGCTACCTGAATTGGGCACGAGCCAAGTCAAATTCCCCCATGAGGTTCAATGTAAATAAGGTTAATCCGCAGGGAAGACGGGCACGATCATGGTCCTGCTCGTTAAGGGGAGACGGGCACGATCGCGATCGCCACCCAAGGTGGCGCCAAATTTTTTCTGAAATTTTAGTTCACGACCCGATTTGGTCGTGAACTGAGACGTTTGTGAGTCAGGGGGCCAGTTTTTGCCCCGTAGGGAAGACGGTTGGAAGCAAACCATAGTTATGCGACCCCTGAGCTTACCTGCTGATTTTATTTATGGATTTTATAATTATGCCAGGACGTTTCCAGTTTTTTATGTATTTGCACCGCTATTTATTTATGGGCTGGAAGCCGCCCCGAGGCTCATGTGAATGGGGCGGCATACAAGAATTCCAAATAAATAACCAACCAACCAACCCAGGTGAACTGGAAGTCAGACACACACACAGGCCGGGTTTGCCGCACTGGGCTGCAAGAGGCTGACCCAAAGTGCGAACCGTGTGCCCAGCCTCGTCCCCCACTTCTCCTTGTTCTTGTTCCCCAGGCCCAGTTTCCCCAGTTGTCCCGAATGCTCCCAGCCCTCGGCCGCCCCGAGGAGGAGGGCGCCCCAGACGGCCCGCCCTTGCGGGGACGCAGGCGAGACTCGCCTCGCCTCTCTCACTGACGCAGCGCAGGTCCGCCTGGAAGCCGCGCTCCCTCGCCCGCTGCTCGATCTCCTCCGCGATGGCCTTCGCCTGCCCCTTCTGGCTCGCGTACAGCAGCAGGAACCGCCCGCGGGCCTCGCCGCCCATGCTGCGGGATCGCCGGCGCGAGCAGCGGGGAGGGGGAGGAGGGGAAGCCGCTCGCAGCGAGGGCGCTACTCGCCCCCCCCCCCCCGCCGCCGCTGGCGCCTATGAGGCGCGCGTCTCCCTGGGGAGGGCTGCCTCAGCCCGGAAGCCCGCGGCGGCCTCTGGGCATGCACAGAGCGCCTTTCCCCGCCGCCGACCCGTCGCGCGAGGCTCACCCTCCGCGAAGGGGCTGCCGGGACGGCGCGCCGGCGCCTGCGGGTAGAGCGGCGTCTCCGCGCGAACGGGAGGAGCTTCCGGGCTCCGTTTGACCCCGCGAAGGCAGGAGGCCGCTCGCTTTCTGATCGCGGGAAGCGGCGCGGCCCCGACGCCCGTGACGGGGCCCGCGCTGCCGCACGTGCGACCTCGCCGCCGCGCGCCCCTCGCAGGCGGAGGGACCAGCCGGCCCGGGCCCGCAGCCGCGCCCGCGCGCATCCTCCCGCGGAGCCCCGTGCCGCGCATCCGCTTTGCCCCGAGGAGGCACGGTCCTGTGGAGGCGCCCCAGAGACAGTCCCTCGCACGAGTAAGTATTCCGCATGTGCGAATGCCTGCTCCCCCCGCGTCCGCGCGGCTCGGAAGGGGCTGTTGCCAGTGCACTGCGATCTCCTGCCCACCCGCACCCCCCTCCCGCCCCTGCCTTCCGCACTGAACCCGCGCAGACGGGAAACGGGAGAAGCGGACCCGAGCGCAGGCCGTGGCGTGTGTTGCTCTACCCTTTTCGTCTCTCTAGGGCGGAGACCGGCGAATGGGAAGCGGCCGGCGGAGCAGGGGCGGGCCGCGAAGGGCGTCCGGCCAGTGCCCGAGGGGGAGGTGGCGGAAGTGCCGGGCCGGCCCGGTTAGGTCGAGCGGGAGCCGAGGCGGCGGCGGCGCTGCGGGGGACGGAGCCGCGGGCGCGCCCGAGGTCGGCCTCTGGGGGCTGCGGGCGGGCGGGCGGGCGGACCTCCGCGAGCGCCGCTGCTCGCCCTTGAGGGCGACGGCGGAGCGGACGGGCCAAACTTCCTCGGCGCGCGCTGCGCGGAGCCTCCGTAGGAGTCGCGGGGCGCTGCTGCCCTCGCACGTGGCCGGGGGGGTGGGGGTGGGGGCGGCCGGGGCGTCGTGCCTCCGCCACCGGATCGCCCGCCCCGGGCAGTCTGGGGAGAAATGCGGACGGGGGCGGCTTTCAGCGTCCTGCGAAAGGAGGCCCCTTCTGGAGGTCTCCCGGGGGGGCGGGTCTGAGCAGGGGGCTGCCCCCCGAGCCTGCCTCGTCCACGGGGACGGGCCAGTGGGGGCCCTTCTGTCGCTTGCGAGTCCCCCGCTAGCCTCCCCCCCATGGCTGCTAATCCCGTTCCCACCAGTGCACATCGAAGTCTCCCGGCTCGCACCGTGGCATCCCGCCTTTGCCGTTACGCAGAATAAATTGCATAATTTGGGGCTCACCTCATTGCTGGAATTCTTAAGAATTCATAGAAACAGAGCGAGTCAGAAGGGGTCTCCCGGGCCATCTAGTCTGACCCCCGGCACCAGCCTGCTCCGCTCATGACATGCCCACAATAATGCACTTACTGCTCTGGCTTCTGCGACTATTCAAGGGTATCTCTGAAGCTTTAATGTGCCTTTTTCGGTTGGTCCCACGAAGCGGGATTCTGCAATCAAGCATCCTGTCCTGTATTTGGTTCTGCGCATTTAGGCATAAACATAATTCCTGGCCCGGCCCTTCAAGCTGCTTTATAGACGGCAACCTCTAGGGTGACACTGACTTCTCCCCTTCTTCTTCCAGCAGGTGATGTTCAGAGGAGTCATGAGATGGCCCCGATTAATTTCCCATATTTTCAGGCATGTGCATCTGGAGTACGCACATGCAGGCAACTGCTAGCTAGAAACGGAGCCTTGAAGCCCATCAGTCTGCAAATTCAGCAGCTCGGGTCCTGCCGCTGTGGTTCCTCAGCTTGGTGGGCCGTGCGCTCAGGGAATCGTTTCCAGCATGTATTTTGTAAAAATTACTATGTGGAACTGCGATCCTCCCCCAGTTCTGTCACGGAAAGGGTGCAAATCCAGGGCACGGATGTTGGCGACAGTAGATGCACCGAGGAACAAATAATTTTGAAGAAGCTGTATAGTTACTCTTCATACCAAGACATTTTCAAATTGGTGCACTCGTTGGAAAGTTTTTCTGACACCATGGTGGCCACGGCCTTTCAGCGGGTGTGTGACATTCAGCTAGAGAACAGCACCTTGAAGAATCCTCAGGAGGTAGTGGAAAACGATACCTTCCAGTCCCTCTGCTTCCAGCTGGAACAAGAAACTCAAAATCTCTCAGACGCCAGTCTTGTAAATTCACTGAATGCATTGATAAAGTTGCGTGTGGATCCCTGCAGCACCTTGATTGCTCGCTTAGTGTCCGAGAGCCAGGAGCGTCTTGATAGAGGCCAGATGTCCATCAGGGATTTGTGTGTCCTTGGAGAAGGGATATTTAGCCTGGAGGGTCCTAGCTCCATTATCCTGGAAAGGGTTACAGAGCGAATCCATAGTACGGAGGTGAAGGACTGGAAGGCCGATGAAATGGCCATGGTCTACAGGATCCTGTGCTTGGCGGTAGAGCAGAAAGACAAATTCCAAGACCTGTTAAATAGTATGCACTATTTCACCATAAGGCAGGTCCCTCAGTTCGATGGCAGACTGACAAGTACAGTTTTAAACTCCCTGGTTGCTCTCGATCAAGCCCAGGCGCTTCCCTTGGTGATCAAGCTTTGCAAGCATTCGGTCCGGCACGTCCCGCACTTCACAGACGGGGAATTGGTGAACGTGTTGGAGGCCTTCATCCATTTTGGGCACCACGACCAGTTCTTCACAGAGGCCTTGGAGAGACATGTTTCCAAGCACGCCTTCACCATGAGTCCCAACGCCGTCTCCAAAGTCATGCAGTACTGCCATAAGAAGCACATCCTTTCCAAACCCATCTTCGACGCGGTGGCAGAAAGTTTTGTCTACAATGCGGACAACTTCACCACTTCCCAGATCGCAGAGCAAATTGTCCCGTTTGGAAAACTCAACTATTTGCCGCCGTGTGCCGCGTCTCTTTTCCGAAAGCTGGAGCGGATCCTCAGTGCTCAGTTTGACCAGTTCCAGCTTCACACGCTCTTGAATCTTCTTCATGCATGCACCCTTATCCAGCGGTATCCTCTGAATTTTCTGGCCAAAGTGTTTAGTCCCTATTTCCTGCAGCAGTTGCAAGGTAAGCACATTTACTCCATGCCCCTGGGATCATGGTCTTAGAACAGCTGTTTCAAAGTTGCTCTTGGAAACCTCAGGGGTTCATCACTAAGAGAAGCAGATTTTTCTACATGATACATTAAAAACTCAGTAAAATGGCCAGCTTCCAAAAATCCTGCCTAGAATTTCTGATCTAGGAAAGGAAGCCCTGAACACCTTGTCAGGGCTCCAGGGAATCCAGGAAGAGGTATGGATCGAGAGTTCAGGAGGGCTGAATTTGACCCACAAGGCAAAGACATGCACTCTTCCTGTAGGGCAAGCTTGGTTGTTGCCTTGCAGAAACTCCGAATACACTCTTAAAATATGCCACAAAATCTTTTCCGTGGCTGCTGGCAGGGACTGCGGGGCAGACAGCGTTGGTGCACCCAGGCTGTAAAACATTTGGGGCATCCCTGGGTCAGTTTTGGTCATCTTGAGAGCTTGTGTCGCATAGGAACCCGGGGGTGGAATTCTGGGTTGAGAAGCCGCGGTCTAGATCTTCCCTGGGCCATTTGGTGTCAGCCTTATTCCCCCTTCCCATATTCCAGGGGAGGTGATGCTGACTAATCGTCCGGGGTTCTTGGAAGGGTCGTAGTTAGATGGAGAGGTCGTGTTACTGTGTCCGAAGCATTTAAGTGTGATGAGAAAAATTTTGCATCATCTCTGCTGCTGGCGATAGTGCAAGCATTTGCCATGGGAGACGAAGGAAACGGGATGCAAGGAGAAATGCCTGCCTGCTGGTACCTGCAGAGGAGTGCAGGAAGTAATCCCACCTGGAGCCCATTCTGAAAGTTGGAGGAGAGAGCTCAGGAAAGGCTCCTGGGGGTATTTGTTTTATTTATCATATGTAGACCCTGCCTTCTTTCCACTGAAGGAACTCACAGAATTCTCCTCCTATTGGTCCTTTCCTCACAACAACAACAACCCTGTGAGGTAGGCTGGACTGAGAATCTGTGACTGCCCCAGAGTCCCCCTGTTGTTTCCATGGCTGAACAGGGACTCGAACCCGGGTCTCCTGAGTCCAACACTGTAACTACCATGTCCCACTGTGTCTCCCTTCTCAGGCTGGGCATCTGCGTGGGGCAGCCTTCTGATGTTTTGCCAATAGCGATGACCGTTTTGGGAGGGTGTGGCTGACTTTGCTGGAGCTTTATACATACAGGAAGGTTTAGGAAATGGCTTTAAGTTGATGTCTCCCGCGCTTTGGAAATAACAACACTGCATAACAAAATCTTCCCTGATTTGTCTGCATGTCTGTCTCTGTTTCAGCCGAAGCCCCCAGTTTGGAGAAGTTGACTCTTTCTCAGCTGACCCAGCTATTTCTGACGGTTAAACTGGAATGCCCATCCTATATGGTATGAAATAAAGACCCTCTTTTGTGCATCTTTGGAATCTGTAATGATACCGCTTTGCAGTATTAGCAGCTGTGATAACGCTGTTTGTTCATTGATCTCAAGGAATTTTTCCCAGGTCCTTAGCCCAAAAGACTCCTGCACAGGCTTACACACAATCAGTGAAATGCAGCAACTCCTGTCCGGAGGTTTTCAATCTAATAATATGCAACACACAAGGAAGAGCGGTGGGGAGGGCAGAGTTAAAACTCAGAAAGGGCTGTGGGGTGATCCCGCCTCCTTTTCCCATCTCAGGCATGTTGGTTGTTCGGCTGCAGGGCCATTGCTCCTGGGGGAGCATCTGCCCCCTCCCCGCTCGATGCCACTCCAGCAGCAGTCACCCCTCTGCCGCGTCCGGATGGGGCCGGCCTGTGTCATTTTGGGGCTCCCCAGACTGCCCGGGGGACTCATTCGCCCTTGCAGGACAGGACGAGCCACCAGCATGGAAAGAAGCAGGAAAGCCTCTCGCCCTGCCTGCCCGCGTCCCGGGTGTCCCTCTCACGCCACTTGAGGACCGCTCTCCTGGGTCGCCCCCTGGCGGCAACATGCCATTCCCCAAGCAGGCCGCAGCCAGCCCGCCGATTTGCTCCGGTCTGCCCGCGCGTCGCGCCAACCAGGATCCGCTTCTGTGTCCACAGGGTCCCCTTCTACTCCCGAAATACCGAGTCAGGTCCTTTCTCACGCCAGGCCATGCGCTGGAGTCCTTGGCGGACCCTCGCCTCTACTACAGGGTGCGGGCCGGCCTGATCGACCTCCTGGGAGCCCAGATGTATTTTGCCTCCCAGGTGCTGACGCCCTTCTGCTACACGCTAGGTAGGCCCGCCAGTTGGAATCCTGCCGCGCGTAAATGCAGGCTAGGGGAGGGGTGGGGTGGGGGCCTGCCTGGCACTGTGCGGATTGTGTTGTTTTGGCGTGCCACGCCCTGCCCGTTTTGTGCAAAAGCAGCCCGTGCGTGGCACACGCCAGCGTGGCGAGACGGTGACCACCAGGCTTCCAAAGGATCCCGGGGCCGGCTCCAGGCCAGGGGGAGGCGTCCAGTGGCCAAACGCATCTCCCAGATAGGCCTATACCCCACCCCATGAACGCAGGCTTCATTCTGCTGCCTTGCAGCCCAGGCGCGGCCTCAGCCTGGTTTAAAAGCTCCCTGCACACACTCAGCTCAGCCCCCCGGAGAAAGTGGCTTGCCAGGCCGGGGAGGAAGGCAGAAGAGGCAGCTGCAGACAGGGGGGCAGTCGGCGAGCAGTGCTCCACGCCATCCGTCTGTGACCCTGGGAGCTTGCCCGAGGGAGCGTAGCCCATGACCCTGCGTGGGGACGGGGGCAAAGGCAGTTCCCGGGAAGAACCCTCTTCTGCGCCCCCATGTCCGTCACCTGGAAGCTGATTGGATTTACGAGCTGTCCTTCTGCCGTCTGGTGTAGTTAACTTTGGTAGCGTGTCTGCTCTTCGAGGGGGCTTCCGGCGGGAGTGCCTGCTGCCTGCCTCGTGGCCTTTGAAGACAAAAACTCGTAATGAGCAAATAGTCCTCCCTTCCCATTTCAAGCTGCCCAGAGAGCTTTGGCTTCGTGCGGTTTCTGAGTGAAGCCAATGATGAGAGTGTTGCAGCCAGACCGACAAAATCCCCACCGACGCCTGTAACTTTATCTACGCAGAGCATAGAAAAAGCAACACAAGAACGGGAGTAATTCGTTTCTCCTCTTTGTTCCTTCTTCACACCAGATGTTGAGATTAGGTTTGACGAAGAAGGGTTCATATTACCAGCGAAGAGATTCGAAGAGGTGTCCAAGAGGTGAGTCAAACCGCACTGCTGGGGTCACGGCACCACAGTGGGCAGTTCGTTCGGATTTTTTGCCCCACAGTGTTGAAACTCTCTGGTCTTGCTCCGCATTTGCGGGGGTGGAAGTGGCGGAATGCGTCTCCTCTCCTGGGATGCCGTTCAGTTGCCATGTCCTTCACACTCTGTCCCCTTCCTCACTCTTTGCCAAGGGGGTCTCCACCCTTTCCGTGCCAGCTGGCACTCTTGCATTTCGAGAGCGTGAGAATAGCTGTTTGGATGGGCGGGTGGTGGCCTGGGGCCAGTCACAGCCTCCCAGCCAAGCCTACCCCGTAGGGTTGTGGCTGTGGGGATAAAATGGCGATGAAAACCTAGCAAGCCACCTTGGCTTCCTTACGAGAGGAAAATAGGTGAGGTATAAATTATGCTTGTTTGTTTAGTCGCCAAGTCGTGCCCGACCCATCATGACCCCATGGACAACCTTCCTTCAGGCCTTCCTGTCCTCCACCGTCCCCCGGAGTCCACTCAAGCTCACACCCACTGCTTCAGTGACTCGATCCAGCCACCTCATTCTTTGCCGTCCCCTCCTTCTTTTGCTCTCTATTGTTCCCAGCATCAGGCTCTTCTCCAGGGAGTCCTTCCTTCTCATTAGGTGGCTAAAGTATTTGAGTTTCACCTTCAGTATCTGGCCTTCTAAAGAGCAGTCAGGGTTGATCTCCTCTAGGACTGACCGGTTTGATTTCTAACCCTAATAATCAAACCACTGGAAACGGCAGGCATATCTCATCAGTAAATGATGAATCAGGTACACCTGAATGCTTGTATTATGCAGAAATGTATAGGCTTTGGGACCTATAAAGTAAAACGACACAGGGTCTCCTGCATGGTGATTGGCTGCATTTAATGAGATGCTATTTAACTGGCAGGCTAGCGCTTTGCATTGACGACCGGAAGAGATTCTGTGCCAACAGTCACAACCTTCTCGGAAGAGAAGCCTTCAAGCAGAGACAGCTGCGGCTCCTTGGTTATGAAGTCGTGCAGGTACAAATCTTCAGCGTAACTCTCGTAAACCAACCACCGGCCACGCGGAGGCTCACTGAGAGGCACAGGGGCCCCTTCCGAGGGGCGCGAGGCCACGGCTTCCTTCTAGTGGCCCGCTGTTCTAGGCATTCCTCTCTTCTGGGTCGTGGAAGTCCGCCTCGCTGCTTGATGCCAGGGTTTCTCGAAGGGCCGATTCCATACCATGCCTTGCGGCTCTTCGCGGCATGGCTGCAAATCTCTCTCCTCCTCAGATTGAGAGCTCAAGCTCTCCGCAGGGATCCAGCACGATAACCAGGGACCTCGGGACCCAGGAAGCAGGCCAAAGCAAGCAACCGACCCATGCAGCTCAGCTTTGCCTGCACTGACTGGCAGCAGCTCTCCAGAGCTGCCAAGAGGGCGCCTTCCCAGCCCTCTCTGGAGGTTCTCGGGGTCAAACCTGCAATCTTCTTGCGAAGCGGCCGCTCTTGTGTTAAGCTGTTCCCTGCAGGAATCTGTCCTGCAGAATTCTCTTAATGTCTGTGCTGGCAGCCTGAACGAAAGGCAAGTCTTGCAGAAGGCTCGACCTTCGCATTAACGCACAGTCCTGGCCAGTTCTCACCTTGCAAGGTCGGTGCCGGACAAAAGCGGCTGCCGTTTCCCTCTGAAAAGCGGTTTTCCTGCCCACAGTGATCACAGAAATGGGTAGGATGAGCCGAGGCCGCCTTTGAAGAGACGTGCCATGCAATTCTACCTAGGAGGCATTCTCGCTGCACTCAGGAAGTGAGCACAGGATGTCAGCCCCAGGGGACTATGCCTCACAGCCAGGTGACCCGGTGGTAATCCCAAGGAAAAACTTGAGAGGATGTTTTATCTTAAGTTTGCTCCCCGGAAAACTATTTGAGCAACAGGTCCTTCATTTCTTTAACTTGCAGATCCCATTTTATGAATTTGAGCCGCTGAGTGGTAGAAGTGAGATTGTGAAATACCTGCACAAGAAAATCTTCCCTAATTCGTATAGGCTCAGCTGGTGATCCGTTGGAATCCACTTCATGCTGCCACGTCTGTGGAGAAGATGGCTCATTTTTATTTTTTTAATGATGGGTGTGAGATAAACTAGTCTGTGTTTTAGACTTGATTTTGGGATTGATTTTATCACATTTCCAGACTCTTGTCTTGCCAATAATGTGGAGTGTGAAAGGAGGATTGTGTGGAAATAAATGTATTCTTGTATTTGACTGTACTTTTCCCAAACTAAGTTGAAGAACCTTTGGGAGATGCCAACTTTGAAACAGAGAAAGAGACAGACAGACAGACAGATATATTTATATATAGATAGATATATAGAGACACATAGATATATGTGGAACACATGTCCAAATTTGGGGTTGGTGCCTGAGTTTTCCCTTCCCTTCCTCCCCTTTTAATAGGTTCCTCCTGCATAATACTAGCTCAGTCTCTGCTCTCGCGCGCGGTGTCTCTCTCTCTCTCTCTCTCTCTCTCTCTCTCTCTCTCTCTCTCTCTCTCAGACAGACACAGACACAGACACAGACACAGACACAGACACAGACACAGACACAGACACAGACACAGACACAGACACAGACACCCCCGAGCGCTGTGTGTTTACTCTTCATCTATCGTATGATTGGGGGTGGATGTCCTATAGGAAATGCAAAAAAAGGAAACCTCACTCTTTCATGCCTCACTCTAGTCTGGATGAGAGTCGGCCATCCATGCCCCCCCTCAAAAAACCCCCCAAAATATACTGATTAGAAATAAAGGGTTACAAAGCTTGAGATGCACCAGCCCAGCTATCACATGCTAAGCTCACACAATGCATTGCTGGAGGGGAGGGCTTTGCTTAGTTCATGTAAGTCTTAATTGTGTACACAATCAGTAGTATAGTCAATTTAAATACATGTATTTTTCTTAGCTTTATATTTTTGGCCAATTCATAATTTTATGCATCCTAAACACTGACAAAGAACCTTTCTTTGTAACCACCAAGTTACCACCTCAACCCACGGGGGTGAAAAGAGCTGCAGGATTGGGTTTTCGTTTCTAAGCAGGCCTTTCAGCAAGAACAAGCTGCACCCACACCCTCATTTTTGATCAAAGATTTGATTCATTTACGAATCAGAGCTGGAATGGACATATTTCTAGCCGGTCACAAGCAAACAGGAAGCTTGAGCAAACTGTGTGTGGGGAAAAGTGCCTTTACAGCAAAGGAAATACATGATTTGCCATGAGTATTCTCTTCCGAATTTGTTCAGTTGGGTAGAAGAATAGTATGATCATCAACTTGCATATTTCTTCTAATGTTAGGGGTGCATAAACATTAGGTGTGTCTCATTTAATCTAACTGAAAACAACCCCCGATACTACATGTGAGCTGAGCCCAAGGAACAGCAGTACCCTAGACGGAGTTAAACAGAGTGACCTTAATTGTTACCAGCTGCCAAGCTTAGACTGGATCGATGCTTCCGGAGGATTTTTCCACCAAGCAGGCTATTCCGTTCTTCCTGTAGAACTCTGCCTGCACACGGTTAATGCGCGCGTGATCTCGGATCAGCTCTTCCACAGGCTGGTCTATGTGCCGTCCATATTCGGAGGAGGACAGGACAGCTGTAGGCCTCGCTTTTTCCTGCACGAATGTAGAAAGGTCATTTCTCAGTGCAAGAAACCTGGACAAAGCAGTCCCGGGGCAAAAGGAAACATGGCTCTCTGCACAGTGCAGCAGAACCTCAAACGAGCCAAGCCATTTCGGCTGCATTTGTGCTCTTCGCTTTCCCCAGAGACTTCCGAGTCCCTTTCGTTTCCGCCCTGCCTCAAATTCTGTGCTTGCCCACGTTGCGAGATCAATGCCTTCCCGCTTTTCCACCACGCCACAGAAAGTGAGAGCCAGGCAGCAGCCAGGGACTTAAACATCTTCCAGCCAGTTGAATTTCTTTCGGAGAAGCTGCCAGATGTCCTACTCACAGGGCTGGAGGAAAAGGAGGGGCAGGCCCAGGGTCAAAAAACCCAGCAAACGTTGGCTTACGGCTCTTTCGAAGCGTTAGGGGAAGCATGTTAGAAAACCTTTAAGGAAGCAGTGCAAAAACTGGAAATCCGCATCAGGGTGGGTGGGAAAAGCGGGTGAGGCCAGCGGGTTTGGAGTGGCTGCCTGGGGAATTCCAGGGGGCTGGCTGTGGGGCTGAGGCTTTGCACCCTGACTTACAGGCAGGCCATGCCGAACTCAGCAAGGGCAAGCTCTCGTTGAATGCAACAGCATGCTCCTCTCAAAGCCGAGGAGCCACCGGATACAGCGGCACCGGCAGTCCCTGAAATGAGTGGTGCTGGTTGCTTCAGCATCTCACCCGAAGGCCAGATGAATATTACGGTTTCCATCAGACAGGTAAAGGTAAAGGTAAAAAGGTAAAGGTTTCCCCTTGTCACAAAGTCCAGTCATGCCTGACTCCAGGGGGCGGTGCTCATCTCCGTTTCCCGGCCGAGAGAGCCAGCGCTTGTCCGCAGATGGTCTCCGTGGTCATGTGGCCGCATGACTAAACACTGAAGTGCACGGAATGCTGCTACCTGCCCACCGAAGTGGCACCTTTTTATCTACTTGTATTTGCATGCTTTCGAACTGCAAGGTTGGCAGGAGCTGGGACGGCGCAACGGGAACTCACCCTGTTCAAACCGGTGACCTTTCGATCTACCAGCCCAGCAGCACAGCGGTTTAAGCCACTGCGCCACCTGCAGTCCCTAATCAGACGGGTACCACCCCGTAAAAAAGTCAAAGCACTGGTCACCTCGTCACTGATGCGCAGTCCTCTGCTTTTGGCATGTTCTCGGTCACAGCGGTGAAGCCGTTTGTCGTAGCCGATGGGTCTCTTAAAGATGCAGTCGTACAGGGAGAGGATCCCTTCCTTAAAGAGAGAGGGCAGGAGAAGAAGCGGAATGGCCCTGGTTCCGAGGGAGCAGAGAACGAAGCTTGTACCATGGGCCTGATTCAGTCTGCTTAGGCATGGCGGCCCATGCAAGGAACTCACCATGGGTGGCTTTCCTCAGCTCCCTGGGGGATGCTGGGAAATGCAATCCACTCCATGGGGTATACCCTATGGGGGGGGGGGCGGGTAAGAGAACCATGCTTCTCCCATCTGATTTTAGTTGTGGGGTCTCACATCTCATGTCATCCCAGGGAAAAGAGAACGCACAACTTCCGTATTCCCACCAGCTTGCTGTCTTTCCAATGGCAGAGCCTCAACAGAGATGGATTTATTTTTCAGGAACAAATAACTGAAAACTTTGAAAGAAGAAGTTTGGCCTTGCTTGAATAACCCCACGCTGCGTTGTACGCCTGAGAAGGTCAGGACAGGAACTGTTATGCTTGGCTTGCCATGTTCACTGGGCATTTAGACTCCTCCTTTGCGATGGTGAGAATGAAGCAGGACAGGTGTCCAGACAGGTGGCTGGGGAAGGGGCACATGGCCAGGAGCTGCAGAGGTGTGGAAGCACGCTTGCTTGGAAATGACCCACCACACTCGGGCGTGAGTTTTCAGCAGCTGCACATCCAGTTGCTGTTGAGAGATGAACCGCAAAAGGGGTGCTAGGCCTCCATCCTGAGAGAGCACATTCGCACGTGCTGGGTGGATGGGTTCCTGGGGCAAGATGGGCGTGAGGCTGGAAGGTGAGCGCTGACCTGCTTGGAGGAATCATTTGTCGCTGTGCACCTGCCTGACAGGTAGTGAGAGGACTTCACACCAGGCCAAGATCTGGACCCAGGTGAGAGGCAATTAAAGTTAATTGATGTCATCTCTTCCTGCTCCCCTAGATCAGAATAGATGCATTTTCATGTTGACAGAAGATGATGATCAATGAGCTTCCAGAAGATCAGGAAAGGGCAGCAAACCGGCCAAGCAGGGCTGGTTGCCTTGGTTCCACTGGCCAAGGCTGATGGGAGTTGTTGGCCAAAGTATCTTGCGTGCCACAAGCTGCCCACCCTTGCAGTAGAGCAATACCTGAAAGCATCTTCAGGGTGAGGGTGATGGAGGAGACAATCCAGACCCATGATCCAAACTGATTCTGCCAACCATTATCTAAATGGGCCAGTCCAAAGCTAACCACAAAGGGTAAGTGGAGAGCTGGGAACCTACCTGGGGTGAGCATAGATACATGCGGAGCATGTCCAAATTTGGAGTTGGCTGCGGAAAGTTTTCCCTTCCCTTCCTCCCCTTCTAATAGGGCTTTCCTGCGTAATGCTAGCTCAGTCTCTGATCTGTCTCTGTCTCTCTCTCTCTCACACACACACAGAGGGAGAGAGAGGGAGAGAGAGAGACTCTTCTCTCTTCACTCCTGCACCTTTCCAGACTCACCTTGCTCTCCTGGTGAAAATAGCTGAGCTCAGGGGGGTCCTTGCGCCGGGGTGGGATGTAGCTGAAGGCAGACTGGGCCGAGAGCGGGAGCTTGTGTTGCCGTATTAATCTCTCATTGATGCCTCCCAGTTCATCCAGCTCCTCTTCCTCGTCTGCTTCCAGGTCCTTCCCATTCCGGGCTTCTTGCATGCCCCCGCCGAGACCAAAGTCTGGCTGGCCGGCCGGCCGGCCGACTTCAATGCTGCCAGGCCCTTTCTCCTTTTTCCCAGCACGCACGCGCGTCCACAGAGTTCTTTGGTTACTAAGAGACCGTCTCCGTGTCTCCACTGTGATGTCAAGCGATATCAAAGGGCATTGGAAAGCTGAGAAAAGCCTCAGCTGGGTGAAGCCAAACAACCTGTCCAGCAAGTGACAAGTCTGTTGGTGAAATCAAACGATTTGTGTTGGTGTTTGCAGCAAAAAACACAGGAGGAATTGCCTTATCTGAGAAGTGGGACAAACAGAATGGATTCACTGTGGAGCGTCTTCTGTGCGAAGCTGCTTGGTTTTAGAAACAGGAAACGTGCCTGTTAGGAACTGGATAGCCTCCCCTCCCTCTGACTCCTGGAGGTGGGGATGAAGACCAAAAAAAAAAAAAAAATTAGGGTTTTTGAGCTGCATTCAGCAGGAGACAGGTGAAAGTTTCTAAAACAATGGCGGGAGTATTAATGATTTAAGCTGGGAGACCTTTGCATCATTGATCTGTGCTCGTCGCATGAATTGATTCATTGCAAAGAGGCAGATGGGCATTTCTCAAGAATCCCACTGGTCGAATCACATGGCAGACCTGTTTGTCCAGCCTTCGGTCCATCTCTAGCTCTGTGCCTTGTAATCAGGACAGAGTTTTGCCAGGTGCTCAGAATGGAGCACTGTCGCTACCGGTCCTTATGGCTGCAGAAAGAAACTCAAAAATACGAGGCAGGCCTGGTGAAATGCCCAAATAGAGCAGGAAAAAGAAAGCAGGGGCCTTTTGGGAGACGGAGGAGAGAATTTAAGGCATCCAGACATCACGAACCGGACTGGAACACCGTTTGTGCCATTCGCTTCATCCTCAGAGCTGGGATCTTCTTGGTGTGATGTGGAAGGGCGGTGGTCGTGGGGCAGTTTCTCTGGCATTGCCCTTTCCTGGTCTTTCACATCCATGCCTTTTCAGACCTGATTTGGGTTATCATGATGATGATGATGATGAAGAAGATCATCAACCAGGTTCCATAGAAGGAGAAAATCATCAACCAGCTTCCATAGAAGGAGAAGGAGAAGATCATCAACCAGCTTCCCTATAGCCTGAAGCACCTGATCCTGCCTAATCTTGGAAGCTAAGCAGGGTCAGGTCTGGTTGAAGAAGAAGGAGAAGATCATCAACCAGCTTCCATAGAAGGAGAAGAAGGAGAAGGAGAAGGAGAAGATCATCAACCGGCTTCCCTATAGCCTGAAGCACCTGATCCTGCCTAATCTTGGAAGCTGAAATTTCTGGTTGAAATAAGAAAGGGAGAGATGTTGTGAACTGCCCAGAGAGGAGTTTCATTATAGAAAGATGGTGCTGGTGGTGGTGGTGGTGGTGCTTGAAGTGCAAGTGCTTCTGGTGACACTCGCTCCAGGCCAAGAGAGCTCAGAACTGGCTTATATGAACTATCCCATTCCGGCAGTTTTCCCCTCTGTCAGGCGCAGGCGGGAGAACCAGACTCTCAGGGCTGGGCCATCCCATCCCCAGCAGGGGAGCTCACAGCCGCACGCTGCTCTGGCAAAGTCCATTTTCCTCCCACCCCCGCAGCACTGTGTGAATAGCAGCAACACTCGGAGACAGGTAGGCTGAGGGACGGTAGAATGGAATTCATCCCACCCAGGGCTGAAGCAGTCTGTCCGCCCGGTTTGCAGTGCTGTCCCTCCTCGTGGAAAGATTCAGGCGCTGCAGCTCAGCCACTCTGGATGTAGCACCAACTTGCCCAGCCTGGACAGACGTGGTGCCTTCTCAGCATGCTTGAACTTGCAAGCTGAAAGTTTGCAGCTCTGTCCCTGCTGAATGCAGCAAAAGCACAAGGAAGCAGTGGCCAGTTAATTTCCCCTTGAATCGTCCCAGTTTCTGTAGCCAGAGTGGCGGAAATTATCACTGCCGTAATTGAAGTTGGACTAAACAGCAGTAATGGCTCCAGCACCGAAGCCCATTCTCCCTCGCATATAAAAAGCCACATTCGTTAACCAGAAAAGAGAATTAAAAATATGAATTATGGCATTTGTTCAGATTCTTTCCTGGTAACTCTGGACTCTCCCTTGCGGCTTCCCTTTGCTGCCTTCTGTGCCACCAGAATCTCTAGTGTAAATTCATCAGGGCAGAGTTTTCTTTCCTGCTCCTCTGTTCTCCTTTCTGAAGATGCCGTAATGCATGGTCAGCCATGATGTATGTTGCAATGAATCATACAATCACACCGTTAAAGAGAAAGTACATATAAACTTTTAATGAGTTAATCTTACAAAAACAATGGCATCAAAACATTGGACACATTTTGTACAAAACTGGTCCTGCTCAGCTCCATCCTTCACAAAGGTCAGCATCCCAGCCGGCTGTGAGAAACATCTGATAACACGCCCTAGTTGTGGTAGATGAAGGGACAGAATTAGATATTATGAATCGAGGATGCTAACGGGGGAGCTACCATCTTTCCACAACGTTCCACGCAGCTCTAGTTTTATTGCCGTGAGATCTTCCCACGTATTTTTGTTTCCGTGCCAATGTCCAACTCCGCAGTTCTCTGCCGAAAGCCTCAGACCTTCAGTTCCTCGAACCGAGTTCAAGTTTTGTCGCTTGTCTATTGAAGAGCCGACGGTGCCAAGACGCCGGTCATCTTCTCAGCCCTCTGCACATGCTTCAGCCACCCCAGAGCAGTAAGACTACTGAGGTCTCTTCATGTTGGATGGTGGAACTAGATTGTAGACATGACTGCAGCAACATCTCTAGATACCAGAAAAGTACACGCATGTTCATGGTATGGGCCGAAAGAGAGCTAAGAAAAATGTGATGCTTTTTTCTAAAAATGTGGGAATGCCCCACCCGAGAGTAACTTTCACGATGCCACATTCCCTTGTGAAAGGGACTTTGTCATTTCAGTATGGACAAAAAAGGTCTGGAGGTCGCCTTTTCCTTTGACGTTAATGATGCCTCGGCAGGTGCAAATGTAGCCCAGCGTTTGTAGGATGTTACTCGTCTCTTCTGTGACCTGAAATGCAAAATAAGTTATTGAAGAAGAAAAGAGGAGAGAAGAAGTTCATATGTGGCTATGGGTGCTTCTAAAAGCAGGATTCCTTGTGTTCCTACAAAATAAGTTATTAAAAAAGGGGAGGGGAGGGGAGGGGAGTTCATATGTGGCTACAGGTGCTTCTAAAAGCAGGATTCCTGGACCAGTAGCAAGAAAGCTGCTTGCAGCATCCATTTCAGCTTTATATTGCAGAAGAGACTCCTGTGCACATTTCCATTCCTGCTGATCTTACTGGGCAGGTAATCAGTTACCAGACAAATCCAGCAAAAGATTGTTATTTTGTTTGTTTTTGAAAGTGGTTAGACTTAAAATCAAAAAGTATAAATTTAACCATCTGTTACCCATGAGTGACAGTGAAAAATCTGTTTGCAAGACTACTGCATAGTAGAATTAGTGTAAAGCAAAGGCCGAGAAATAGATTCGGACTAACACAAGAACAGTTTTTTATAGTTTTATACTAGTTTGAGTTCTAGTCTTTCAGTCTCCACCTGGCCGACTGGGACTCGCAAGGGTGCCGTGACTTGACCCCAGGTCAAGTGGCACCGCCTCTGTTTTCTTTCTGGTTCCTTTTTAAAGAGCAGGAGAAAGGCAGAGATTGGAAAAACTTAGAAGGAAAGGGAAAAGCAGAAGGGGAGGTCAGAAATCCATTATTTTTAGAAGTTGTGCAAAACTTCTGCATTTCAGAAATTAATTTGTTTGTTGCAACTGTTTCACCCTTTTCTGAGAAAGAGCCTGGAAAATTCATTGTGTCCAAACTAAGAAATATATATGAACCCAGCCTGCCTTTTCAGCTGCTCTGAGAGGAGGGCAAGTGGAGGAGGAGGGAAACAGGCCTCTGAGTGGTAAATAAAACCAAATTGAATCATGGCTGTTTCCTGGGTCTGAAGAGCTTTAAGACAACGGCTGGAGCCTCTTAATGAAGTTTCCTGCGCATTTTATCCGAGGGAGCCATGGCACTTTACACAGTATTAAATTTCTGGCCTCCTGCTGCTATCCTGCTTGAATTAGTTTGTTTCTCATGTGGGTAATACTCCATCCACCGGCACGCCACGGACTTTTAGCGGGAGCGTTGCTTCATTGCACTGAAGCTCTTGGCCAAAATGGAAACGGTACCTGGATTTTATCTAAGACTCCAGTGCTGTCCATTCTGCTCGCCACATTTACGGTGTTGCCCCAGATGTCGTACTGCGGTTTCTGAGCCCCGATAACTCCGGCGATGACAGGCCCGTGGTTAATACCTGAAAAAGAACGGCCGATTAGACCATGGATTGTCATGACTACGCGGAGGCTTCAAAATGACCGACTCGTTCATGGAGGCGTGAAAAGTGTCGGGGTTCATTCATCACACCTGGAGACTTGGACTTGGATACTCAAAAAATCCAGGTGAGTATTGAAAGTGGCCAAGCCTCATCTCGGAGTCTTAGAAGCAGCCTTCTAATAAATGTGGGTGATGTGGGGGAGATGAGATGGCCTGGCAGACCTCTTCTGACTGACTGTGTTTCCATGCATGCCAAACCTTAATGGGCTGGACCTCCATGAATTGTCGGGGTGCCTTGTGACCCTGAAGTAATCCTGGGGGAAGCCATCCAGGTCTAGACAAGATAGCTAGTCACCCTGGATGTGTTATCATGCCCTGTGAAGCCAAATATTTTTCTACCATCTGCAGCAGTTAATATTTATTCAACAACTGGACAACCACGTGTTGGGGGTTCCATGAGTGGAGCCGGGGGTCAGGCTAGATGGCCCCGGAGACCCCTTTGGACTTGCTTGGCTTCCATGTTTCTATAATATGTAAGCGTAAATATTTTTGGATGGCCAAGCTTTGGCCACTGGGTGGCAGCATAAGCTAAGTTGTCGAGAAAGCTCAAGTCAAGATAATCTGGAATCATACAGGATGGAATGAGAATGGAAAGAAAATAAAGTTAAACTCAAAGTTAAATATTCTAGCAATGTTTTTCCAAGACAGATTTATTAACTGCATATTAACTTGCATTTGGAAGGATATTAAAATCTTGGAATGGCTCTCTGACAGTAAGAAATTTAATGTTCCATGTTTGTATTCTACAAATGCTCATTTGAGAGCTAACAGAGTATTTTATTTAATATGCATTTACAGAGTATTTTAATGGAGGAAATGAAAGCATACCACTGAGCAGGAGTGATATCTAGTGCATTTAAGATCTCCAGAAAGAGACGAAGGACCCAAGTCCATGTTCTGGGTAGCACGTATGGTGGACCAATCCAGACTGGGACTGAGCTGCGAGAGGAATGTTTAAGCCCCAGCTCCCATTTTCATCCTCCAGTGCCATTTCCCAGTGGGAGGGGTTAAAAAAGAAAAGAAAAACCACTCCACTGGCACCAAAAGAGCATCTTTTCTCTCTCTTGGTTAGTGCCTTCTCTGACCCATCTCCTCTAGGGAAGGAGTCCAAATTCCTGGATAAAAGCGAGTAGGAGAAGGTCTCCCTCCACAGACTTGCATATTTGTACTGAAGTAAAAAGCTGATTACGTCCAGGTTTGCTGTGCATGGTTTGAAGAAAGTTTCCTTGAAAGGGGGAAAGCGAGATTCTGCCTGCACTTTTAAGCTGGGGTGTTACCCACCTGACCACACGTGTGCAGGAACCGTCACACGGGAATCCCCCTCCCTCCCAGTTTGAGCAGAACACAGCAATGCTGTCGAAACACTAGCATGGCTGATTTCACCCAAACATTAAAGACTCACGTCTCCCCTAGATGCATCCAAGGTGATCTTTTTCTGACTTGATCTGGGCAACTTCCCAAAAGCAAGAAAACCAACCGGCTTCATCTTCCTTCATTTAGGGCCCAGTCCAAGGGTCTCCTGATGTGGCCTGAGGTGCCAGTAGCATCGTTTAGGGCCCCATCCCAAGCGCTGGGTAAAAGGACCCAGCTTTTCTTTGCCTCTTCCTAGCTTGGGATGCATCCCTAAGGATTCTGCTAATGCTTTTGTCATCTGTTGGATTGCTGTGCATCTGTCCTGTTTTTCCATCGCCCTTCCTCCTGGGCACAGTCCCCGTGGCATTTCTCTACTGGCTTTGGAATGAGGCATCCCGCTTTCTGCGGGCGTGTGGAGGGATGATCGGGAATGGGGTCAGGAGGCGTTTGGGAACACAGACGCAAGAGACTAGAATAACAGAGCGGAGAAACTTGCCCCAACAAGCACGGTATATTCTCAAGCATGGCTCTTATCTCTGTAGCTGAGACAAGGTGCAATATTCATGCTGCTTACCTACTCGTAGTTTGAAGTCGTTGAAGGAATGCTTGTTGATAACATCCAGTTTTGCTCCAAGGGCAAACGCAAACTCCACCATGGTCCCAATGTGCATATATTGTCGTTCAGGTTCCTGAATGAAAACAAACTACAATGATCAAAATGTTTTCACTATTTTTTCTAAGTAGACCCACAAACAAACATTGCAATTTACTGGGACGAATGCCTTATTTCTGGGGTTACGATCCTCTGCATGCTTGCTTGGATACGTTTCTCCCAATATCACCCGTCTTGGGGTTTATGCCTGATGAAGGAAGTGGAGCTTTCACTATTTAAATGGAAAAAGGAAATTGAGCTCAGTGGGACTTACTTTTGAGTAAGTATGCATAGGATAATTCATAGGATTATGAATATTATTTCATTCACGTTGTATCTAGGTAGGCATACATCGTTACATTACACACGTCCTGATGGGAAATCAATATGCACAAGTTGCATAGATGCAGGTCTGGTTCTAAGGGTCTGTGAGCTTTTCACAGAATCATAAGAGTTGGAAGGGGCCATGAAGGCCATCAAGTCCAACCCCCTGCTGTTGCAGGACGCTACATTACACCATCCCACTCAGAGGGCTGCCCAGTGTCTCCTTGAATGTCCCTGATGTGGGAGAGCCCCCCACCTCTCCAGGCAGCTGGTCCCACTGTGCTATTGCTCTGACAGTGAGGAAGCTTTTCCTGATGTCCAGCCTGAATCTGGATTCTTGCAACCTGAACTAATTAATCCATGTCCTACACTCCGGCATCAGCAAGAAGAGATCGTGACCTTCCTCTTTGTGGCAGCCTTACAGAGAGAGCTCATGTCCCCCTCAGTCTTCTCTTCTCAGGGCCGTCCTTTTCGTTTGTTATACACGCGTTATTCCCTACTCAAGGTTATTTAAGGGTTCTTCAGGTGATGGCGTAACTCTCAAGTTTAACTTCTGCTTTTCAAAAGCACTTTCCACAAGGTATTTTAGAGGGGAAAACTAGGGTATTATTTTTGAAGACGGCAGAAAGCCGTGTTTCCACCTGTATCAGGCATCCCACTGTCCACACTGCCACCTAGAGGTTATGTAGTGGAATAGCAGGCACAGGCTTAGGCCTCGGTCAGCTGCCCAAGAATGGGCCAGTGGGAACCACCTCTGGTTGGATTTGCGATCCCCATTTTATCCTAACTGCAGCTGCTGCAGAGAGAGCTACTGAGGGTGACAACTGGGTTGGGTCTCCATTGGCCTTTATCATGTGCAAGAGTGTGAATCCCCCTTTCAGCTGCAGCAACATGGACTGCGAATACACACCATGGTCCTTCAAAAATATCCCTCAAGCCACTCTCTCTCCAACCCCGGCTAGGAAGGGCAGCGGAGGGAAACGCAGTTCTACCACCATTTCTCAAAATAGAAATGACAGTCTTCTTTTTCTGGAATAAGTTCTATTCTTAACAAAACTAACAGGAAAAAAACCTAAATAGTCAATCATGAGAAACATCAGACCTACTGGGTCAGCCCCCCACATTTTCTTGTTATGTTAATCTGTAAACATATTTAAATCTATGCATAGTCCCGTTTCTCTAGCCAATGATAAAAAGATTCCCAGGTTTGATAGAAGTCTGAATCTTCTTTCTCCTTCAGAGACAAAGTCAATCTGAGAAATGACAGTCTTCTAGTGCTGGAATACAGGGTAGTAAGTCTGGATGAATACCACTTCTCCCCTGAAATTTTGGTGTACCTCGTAGCATTCCACATTTGCTATAGGGACGCCAAAAATAAATGTGGTATTATATTAGCAGCGTGTTGATTGTGGAATTAGAAGCCTGTTCCAAGTTAGAACACGCAAGTGTTGCTGGTTTGTATTTCATTAGAGAGAAATGCAATTTGCAGCTGGTCAAGGGACAGTCAAGAAATGAATATGAAAAAGAAATATGCGTTGTTGGAAAAGTTATGAATCACACAGGCCAGTGAGGATGGAATTGCAGGTTTATGAGGCCAGGGCGACTTCCGATCCAGCGTTTGCTTTGTAACAGGAATGCTGGAATGGATGTTTGCTGGGAGGTTCAGTAGGCAGGGAGAGTTTAACCCTCTCTGTGCTGCTGCCTCGGTGCTGCCGAACACTGCGCGTGTGGGGCGGGGTGGGGCGTGGGGCGAGATGGCCCGAGGTGGGACCCCTGCCAGGAAATGTTGCGGCCGGACGGGCTGGGCACCCCCTTCGCTGGTCACGGCGTCTGCCGTACGACTGTCCCTGACCCTTGCGTTTGTGTGTGTGAGTGGCCACGCCGGGAAGCAAAAATGGCAAGACTGGAGCTTCGTGGGAAGGCCCACCCGCTGGGGAGGACCATCCTGCCAGGGGAGGAAGACCAACTGAGAGATGGACCGGTTCCATGAAGGAAGCAGAAGCCCGGAATTTGCAGGAGCCACACGGGACTGTCAGGAGTTGCCCTAAGCCGCGAATGAGCGAACGGCTCGTCAAACTGGCCAGGATGGAAGTTCCAGTGCAACACGTCTGAAGACGCTGGGCTTGGGAAGGCGACCCAGAAGCGCCACCGGTGCAGGCGCTCGCTCCTGCGCCCACACGGGGGCTTTCTCAGTCTCTTCCTCAGACTTCGCTCAGCCGCAAAGTCATGCCCGACCCACGAATAACCTTCCTCCAGGCTCTCCCATCTCCCACCACACCCTGGAGTGCACCCAAGCCCACCGCCACCACCCCAGTGACCCCATCCGGCCACCCCTCCTCCTTTGGCCGGCAACCGTTCCCAGCACCAGGGCCTTTCCTTCAGCCTGCGGCCCTTCAAAACCCGCTTCAGATCACTGCAAAGCCTTCCCGGGTCCCCTTGCAGGGGGAGGATTGTGCAGCTCTGCTACACACCCACACCTCCCAGACTAAATATGGACGGTGGGTTTTATATGTGAGCTGCGCGTCGCTGGGGTGAGTACCTGGCCATGTTCTTGGCTGGGCGTGGCACTGAGTCCCGTGGCTGCCATGTAGGTGCTCCCGATGGTCTTGATCTTCTCAACGCCACTGAATTTGGGCTTAGACAACAGCTGTGGAGAAATAAGCCTTTCAGGGGTCTGATGGCCAAAGAGCATCGCTAACCCCCCAGGTCCTGGCACGCCTTTCAACCCGTCAGCAGAGCCCCCACAAAGTGGCTTCCTGCTCATGCCCACTTGGAGTAGAGCCCAGTCAACCCATTCCGTGCAGGAAGGCTGGGAGTCATGAGCAGACCGGCTGTTCCCAGAGCTTTCCGGTGCACCCCTCGCCGCGCGTGTGTTGGGGAGAGCATGCGCTGTTGAGCATGGCACTGGCCCACGCAACGTCCATGCCGGAAACCAGCTCCGACGATTCCTTTCAATGCCAGGAGGCCACTGCTGGTCTGGCGAAGGGCTGGCCCACGTTCAGACAAAAAAACGAGTGACCCCACCTGCCTTGTATTTTGTCTCAGGCCCCTCGAGGATGCCCCTGCTCCTACCCCTTACAAAAGGCCTCTGTGGCCACAGAAGGACTCAACGAGGCTCCGCGTGCGGAAAGGAGGCTGGGTCGCAAGACTGATGAGCGAAAAGAGGCACAAATTCGCCCAGAACTCCAAGCCGCGTTTCCTCCTTGTTTCCCTGTCTTTGGTGACAGCTGCAAAGATGCACAACAGGACCTGTTCAGCTCTGCAGCCAGTTCTGAAGCTTTGCATATTTTGGCACACAAATAGCAAGTGATGCTTTGACTATTGGCTTGACTCATTTCGGCTCTTGACCACAGCCGAGATAACGTATTAAGCAAACAACCGGAAAACAAGAGAGAAACCCAAACAGTCACTGCAGAAAAATACACTTATCCTTCTGAAAGAATATACTGCGTGCTGGCTGTTCAATTTAGATTCAGGCCATGTTCCACAGCAAAAGTCAAAATACATATAAATCAAAATAGTTCTGTAATCACTGTGTAGTCACAAAAGCGAAGGCAGACAATTGAAGTAATCCTGTTTGCTAGCTAAGGAATTTGGTTTTTCTGTTGATGCATCTGGTATCCACCATCTCTCAGTGATGGCTCTGGATTCCTGTTTTGTTCATTCCCACAGATGACCCGATAAAATCCTTAATGGGGTTTGTCTTCAAAAGTCCCCACCATCAAGAGATGGCACCCAGTCTCTGGAACCTACCCAGAGAGGTTCAGCTGGCACCAACTTTATATTCCTTCTGGCGCCAGGTGAAAACCATTTTATTTACCCATCATTTTAAGAATTAGAAATTTTAATTGGTTTAAACTTCCAGTCACTTTTTGTTTTTGCCTTTGTTTCTGATTTTGATTTGGACTTTTTCTAAGATTATGTTTTTGCTGTTTATGGGGGTTATTAATTGTTGTTATTAATTGATATAATTTTTGTTATTATTTGTTGTTGTTATTAATTGTCAAAAATTTTGTAAGCCCTCCTGGGACATTTTTCTCATTTAGAACGAGACAGAAATGTTTTAAATAAATAAACAAATGATCCCATTAATTGAAAGGCACGATTTAACACCACCGATTTAGAATTGTTGAGGGCTGTTGGAGAAATCACAGTAAATTTAAAGAAGACCGGCACTAGGATCGTCCACACAGTTGACAGAGAATCCACACGACTGTGGCCCTGTTCTTTGGGTGCTACTTCGGACGGGATTTGTGGTGCTCCTTTGGAGCTAGAAAAACACGATTAGGCACAAAGCAGGCCCAGTGTGGACGAACAAACTCTTTGGGCTTTTAAAAGGAACTGTTGCTTTCCAGCAAAAGTTTCCACTTGTTTTATCGCTTCTCTGTTTGGACAGCTTGCAGCGTTAGTGCAGAATCTCTGCTATTCAGACAGCTTTTATGCTCTGCCTGAGCACACGACATTACTTGTTTCTTTCCACTGCTGTATCTTTCTTTCTGTTATACTTAATAGGAGCAGGGATGGCTACAAACCACCCTTGTTTTGTCCTCTCTCCCCACCCCTCTGTTTCCTACATCTACCCTCTACTTCCGTGGAACCAGCTCTTGCCAACCTGACCGACAATTTTCGGGTGCAACTTCCTTTTAGCTGGTATGAGCTCGCTCGATATGCTGAAACCAACATGGAATGCTCTCTTTGGAACCTATTAATCTAGGAAACGGCCCGAAATGATCAACAGGCCTTGTGCTTACAATGCAAACACGCAGAACATAATAAATCGATTCCGGTGGGATGACACACTTAAATCAGAGTTGGACTGTGCCCATCATAACTTTGCAGCGACTTCGCTTCTTGCTCGCATTGTAGCCGAATACACGATGTACTTACATCATCAAAGTCAGCGATGATCTCATTTAGAAGCCTGAGACATTCTAAGCCTTCTTTGTTGACATCGGATTCTGTATAAAATTCTTTGAAATCTGGAATGGAGGCGAACATGACACAGACGCAGTCGTAGGATTGATGGTATAAATCCTGCGCAGGCGAGAGGGACGAAAGGCCCTGTTACACAATGTTCTCAACGGAGGGCATTCATAAAATCAAGTGCAGAGAAGAGAGGAAAGGAAAAGGAAGGCTGATACGAAGCTGCCCTTGGAACTCGGGTTTAACTTCTCAACTCTTTGCTACCGTTGCTATATGAGGAATAGCTTCCTTGCTGCATCCGTAAAACATCAATGCTACCTAATTACTCTGCTTACAGTGCAGCCCTGTCGTCCCCATGGCAGATGCTTCCAAACCTCTTGAACCTGGAGACCTATGAGCATCCAGTCCACAATGTGACCTGCAGCTGTGCCTTCCACTCCTTACACATCTCACGCCCCAAATTTTACCCAGACACCTATCTTTGGCCCCATGGAATTTGCACCAGGGAAGGGAGCAGAAGAGGTTGAGGCACCAGCACGACATGCCCCATGTTTTCTGTGCCCTTTGCCAAGGGGCTGGGAGGCACATGGGTTTTGGAGATGCAGGACTTCGGTGCTTGGACTCCAAACATTCCTGCAGTCTTCCATGAGATGATGCTGAAGTGCCTCTATTAAATTAAAACAATCATCTAAGTAAACTTCTCTGTGGTACACAGAACCTTTGTCATTGATAGTCAGGAGAGAGATTTGCCAAAGAAGGTTATGAAATCTTGAAAGTAAGAATATGGAATGGAGAGATTTCTGCTATTTTTTTGAAGACGATTGTTTGGACAAACATGACACTGTTTCCTTTCATGTTTTAATCCAGATGTAAGAACAAGAAAAATGCCATAACCAAAGAGAATCGAAGTTATTTATCATCACAACTTTGTTTAAGCACAGGGAAAGTGGAGATGCATTTCTGATCCCACGCTTGTTCCAGTTTTACCAACAGAGTTCCCGCACTTGCGATTCTCGGCTCGCTGTAATGGAAGACACAGTTCTGCCTATGCTTCTCTGCATCTTTGCACAACTGCTGTGTGCACAGAGGTTCCCTGATGATGGAGCTCTGGCTGCGGGGCGCTGAGGCTGCAATGAATCAGTGGTTCAGGGAGAGTAAATATGGACATTCAGTTGTCCGAATCAGCCAAACGGACTGTGATTTGGGCAGCTACCGTACCACTTAGAAACAATCCCCTTCCAAGGTGGTGTGCAGCGACAGACCTGTGAACGGGGGCAGGCACATCTGGCCTGGGCGACCACGTCCCCAGCAGGGCCCTGGTGAATGCTTATTTCATATCCGTCTCTACACAGAGCACTGACACAGCTGTCAAGTGGCCATCTTTTTGTTCAGTAGATTGGTAAGAGTCGGTACACAGCCTGTTCTTTTGTTCTGGCCAGGCCAGAGAGCGGAGGCTGGCAGGAATGTCATTCTGAGTGGAACGTTGTCGTCAGCAAAGATGCAGATCTGGTATTCTGAAATGGGTTGCAAGAAGGAGCCATGGAACTGGGGGTTCTCCAAAGACCTGCTGTTTGTTTTGGGGAGTGGATGCAATTTCAAAAGCTATTGCTGCTTGTCTCCTTTGCCAAAAACCATTGCTTTAATAATGGGACATGCACGGCTGCAGTAATCTTTCTGCAGGGAATAAACTGCCTCAGCAGCATCCTGGGAGTGCCTCCCTGCTTGGCACAGCGTACAAGAGACAAAACCTGCCACAATCTACCTCTCCCATGCCTTCCTCTTGCAAACTCAAACCAGCTTTGGAGGCAAGCTGCTTGATCAATTCTCGCTTTCAGTGGAAGGCAAAACGGACCTAGAAGTACGTATAGCCCTGCTTGGCTTTCTCCTGGGACACTGACAGGGAGCCATGATGCGGACTGACCTCGTTCTTCAGGTTCCTGGCCAAGAAATGCTCGGCCACGTGAGCAGGCAGCACGTTCTCCAGAAGCAGCCGGTTCAGGTTCTCCATGGTCTCAATCTCCTCACGCTCTTTTTTGAACTTGTTCTTCCACAGGAAGTCTAACCTACAGTAATATTCATTCTGTTACAAAGAGGACACAGAAGTAAAGAACCAATAGGCATGTTGTCCTAGCAGATGGTTTTCAGAGAGAAAAATCACGCACACACAAATCAACGTCACGGGGCAGGATCGCTCGGACTCTGCTGTGGACAGCGACTGTACGGGGCTGGAAATACCATGGTGGAAAGGGGCACTTAGCTCCCGATTGCCCCAGTTTTAAAATGAGCAGGATAATTTTTCTAGACCAGGAGTCCCTGTCCCCATGTTTCAGCCTACAACTCTTATCCCTTGCTGGCTGGCTAAAGCTGGTGGGAGTTGTTAGCCAAAACATTGGGAGGCCACACCTGGGCAGCCTGGGGCAGGAGGGGAGAAGGGAAGGCTTATCTCAACCACGTTGCAGCCATTTTTGGAACAGTGGCAGGGAGGAGAAGCCTGGGAAATGTTTGTGCATGGAAGAAGCCTCGGTCAAGACGCGGGAGTGAGGGGGAACTGGAAGAGTGAAGGATGAAACCATGGCAAGAAAAAGATGGCGGCAACAGCTCTGCTCCGGGTTGTCCATCCAAGAGGGAGAAGGCCTACAGGGGAGCTCAGCTCCAAGGCCCAGAGGGCACGGGGAGACTCCCAGGTGGGTCCCACTCGGTGGAACGAGGCGCAGCGGTTAGCAACACGGTGCATGCAGCAATAAAGACCCAGAAGTGGTGTTGACAGCCGGGTTAATTTATAACGGGATTGTCCACTGGCTGAAGGAGGGAGAGCAAACTCTGAGTCAGAGCATTCCCTCTATTTGCCAGATGTCAACACAAGCTTTGCCTTGAAGCATTTGCTTACAAGGAACTGAGGCGCTGCCGTGCCCAAGAGACCTTGGTCTGGAAGGCATTTTATTTTATTTTTTTTTATTTTTCGATTTATATCCTGCCTTTTTCCTACAAAGGGCTCAAGGCAGCTTACATCATTCTCCTCCTCCATCTTATCCCCACAACAACCCTGTGAGGCAGGTTGGGCTGAGAGAGTGTGACTGGCCCAAAGTCACCCAGTTGGCTCCGTGGCAGAGCAGGGACTAGAACCCAGATCGTTTTGCATTCTCTGCAGTTGAGCCAGAAACCTTGAAAATGCATGCTAGCTTTCAGTCCTGGATTTCCTCCACAAGCCCTCTCTTCTGTCCCTTGCCCCCCGCCACGGGTAGAGGGACCAAACCAGGATTTATCTCGGAAATTGAGAATAGGACTGCATACAGTCTTTGATCCTGGTTTCTGGCTTCAAGGTGGGTGTCACAATCCTGTGGTTTTTTTTGCACTCCCCTGCGCCCTTTGAAAGCAGGGGTGAAGCCCGAGTCCTCTTCCAACTCGAGCCCTGCACTTCACGTCAGAGTTCGCTTCATGTGAATGAGAGTCATCATGCTAGAACAATACATGGTACATGGAAACGCAAAAAGTACAAAATCAGAGTCACCTAGCCAAAGCACCAGGAATTGATACCATCCTTGGCACAGAGGGAATTAAACCAAAACATGGGTTAATTAGGCCTGAATTTGCCATGGTATGTGCTGCAGTCATTCTGAATATTCAGTCCCTGATTGGGGGTTGCCACATGCATCCAAAACCAGACACCTGAGGTTTAGTGTGGATTAAACAACCCACAGGTAGTCTACAATTAGTAGCTAAATTAATTGGGGGTTGTTTAATCCACAGTTAATCCATTGTGTTCAGGTACGGATGCCGCATAGCAACCACTGTTTGTTCTAACCTGGGGCTGAAGATTCAAAAAGGCCATGGCAGCAAATCATGGGTTAATTAGGGGTTAATTATTAACTTACTATTTGCCAGTTTTGTGAGAGCATAAAAGTTGCCTATTTAGGCAACTTTTAACATCCTGCTGAATCTTAGTATTCTAATATACGCTTGTGTATCACATTGGCTATTGATTTTATGCCCATCATTTATTTATTTAACCAACTTATATTCCACATTAAATTAGTCCAAGGACTCTCTAAGCAAATTACAGATGGATAATGATGGTGGATTATATGATGGGTATAATGAGGATGAAGAATCATCATTAAGCATAAGAATGTGTCAGCACTTTAAAATAAGGGAAGTAAAACTTTTCAGGGGAAGGTCCAAAATGGATGTAAGCTGGATTTGGGACCTGCCTTCCACAAAAGGAAAGGACTTCCTGTGAGTAGAGGGCTCTGTCTTTGCCTGTAGGGATGTTTTAGGGGTCCCCTTTCCTTCCCATACCATGGTTCATCCCGTTCATAGGGTCTCCTGATTCTCTGAGGAATGTTTTCATCGGCTGAAGGCCAGAAGAAGTGGAGAAGTCTATTTCCACCAGCATGATGGATCCAGTGTAAATCTTGATCTAACCCCATACAGGTGTGCCTTGTAATCAGTGATGTCACAAACATTACATATTAACTTTAATTAAACATTAATTAGTAATGTATCATGAACCATCTTAGCAATAGCAGAACTCAATGCAATGGTGGTACCAGTGACAAGGTTGGGGACCAGGGCAGAATCGAAGGCTACAGGTTTTGACGAACGCTAACACAGTTACCATATTGAAAAATCCAGGTTGCTTAACCCAAGCCCCCAGCTAAGGATGAAAGGCGATGCAAATCTTCCCGAAATTCATTGCAGCATGAATAATTCTGTGGTAGCATGGAGAGATCTGAATAAGCCACATGCCACAAGAACCACATTGGCCCTAACCACAGGAGAGCAACATCTGGATGGATTTAACAGCCTCCCAGTCCTCGCCTAGTTCCTGCTGGCTGGGCCAGGATTCCTCACAGCTCGACAGTGCAATAATTCAGAGCAAGGCAGCAAATCTGTAATCACACCGGGGGGGCCGGCAGGCACTGTTGGTTTAAGCCAACGTATCATGGAAAGGTAGGATATTACGTGTGCTACGAAGACCAAGAGAGAAAGACAGTTCCCTCGCTCCACACTATTCAGAGCATTATTACATTCTCATTCTCCCTCCTCTTAATCAGCTTGAGGGTCTGACGGACAATAGGTTGAAGGATGGCGAATGAACGCTGTGCGTAATTAGCTTAGGAAATCCATGATGCCAAACGTGGCGAACTCAGCCGGCCTCAGGAAAGGACTGGACAAAGCTTAATGACTGTTGGTCGTGGTACCTCTTCTTAGATACCCAGCATCTGGCAGTATCCAGATGCTGGAGATACCCAACAGGAAGTCCTGCTCTCCTTGCATGGGCTCCTCATCCAGAAGTGGAATGCCTGATGCAGAACACAGCAGTAAGACACTTTGCTGAAATCCATATTTATGACGAAAATTAGCACTGTAGCCTTTCAGGGCCTCATTATCACCCAAGGCTAATTGAATGAATCCAAACAAACATTTTATTTCTCTGCTCTTTCCAGCAGAGCCCATAAAGGGAAAAAGTCCCGGTCCTCGTAATACGAAAACAGCCTTCTCACAAAATCAGTCTGGTCAAATTGCTGCAGTTAACTGGTCATTAGTAGGGAAGTGGATAGTGCAAACACAATATTGAATTTATATTTAAAGACCTCTTTTAGAATGCTTGAAAATATCTGTATTCCTATGTAAAATAACGGGAAAACGCAACACCCTGAAAATCAGTTTTAAAAAGCAGATCAATCATTTTTATAATCAGCAGTATATTCCACCTACATTAAAATTCATGAAGACAGTATTATTTTTCCTTTTTTCATGTATGTCTATCCACATGGCAGGCACACCCTTCTTGCCACCTCCATCTCTGCCGTGTGTCGCGCAATAAAAGAGAACTTGCTTAATCTGTTGATTTCATTTGGAGGGCTCCGTTTAATTGGGCAACACATTTCTTTGGACCAGAAGAAGCTATTTCTGAGTCAGACAAATCATCCCCTACTCGACGTGCAGAATATGTTCAAGATGCTGTAGAAAACTGCCCTGTTGCTTGGTTATATTGCTAGAAACAAGTCAAGCGACTTCAGGAAAAGGAAATTGCATGCAAGCAAACGCAGCTGCAAAAAAACATTGAAACAAACTTCATGGGATGGAGGTACAAAAAGAAAAAAATAAGGAAAAATGACAAAAGAAGGCTAATCATTGAACGCCTTAGAAAATATGTGGTGCTAATGTGATTTTTTTTCTTCCAGAGAATTGGGCGTCATGTCAAAACAGTTTTCTAACAAGAGAGGTGGTGTGAAGTTAATGTAAGCGTTTCTGTGTGTTTTGTGTATGCTTTGAAAGAGAGAGACAGGGAGCAGCTTCTTAAGCAAAGCTCAGAGCGAACTGTAAACGAGACAAACGTCTTCGGAAGGTGCGGTTCTTACCTGCCTGCTGAGTACCAGCAATGTGACGAAGAAGATGAAGAGAGACACTGAGCCCATTGTCTTCAAATCTTTCAGGATTCCTGGCCTGTGGGAACAAAGGAACAAGTCAAAAAGAAGGCGGCTGGACCAACGAACGTTTGCCTAACATTACAGCAAAGAACCATCTTGTACCACTGGCAAAATCAAGTCAAATCGGCGTATTCTGGGTTGACACTGATCGTGGGGTTTGTGGCTGAACATAGGAAACCCTCCGCACGAAGAGGCCAGGGTAGTCAAGAGATTTTCTGTGGAAGGAGCAGCTGGAAATGTTGTCCTTCAGCTGGGCCTCCACCAAGGGGCATCAGCCTAGGGCTAGTAAAGTCAGCCAGCACGAAAAATCCCAACTGCCTTTTCCCGTTCCTGGCAGTAAAATGGGCAATTTGCTGCTCTTTTACACCCACCAAAATCGGCTGCCCGAGGCCAACTCCTTCCCTTTGACTTGAGAGTGTGTTACATGTTCTGGGGCTCCTCCACCCAACCCTTCATGCTACAGCAGCGAGAATCTAGACAATGGTGACAGCTGCTATAAAGGGAAAGCAAGAAGAATGATACGGCCTTATGAGTCAAAAACAGCAGAAACCTCCGACTTTTATTTCTTCACGTGCCTCCTTTTATGCAGGTATCAAATAACAATCACCTTTCAGTGCTCCAAGTAAAAATACCCCATTTCTGGAAAATATATTACTTTCTTAGTGTGGAATGCCTGCTCTTACAGCTGCTGATATAAGAACAGTATTTATGACACAAGGCATTGATTTGCCAGCGCTACAGACCTAAAGAGCTCGCGATTCCTAAAGTAACGAAGACCAAAGAGTCCTGTGGCTCTCGGAAGACCAACCAATTCATTCTGGCATAGGACTGCATAGGTTGCAAGCTCTTCTTTTGGGAACTAACACCCCGAATTCATTCTGCAACCATGAACGTTCATTTTTGCCCTGAATTATTGTTTTAGCCTGTGTTGGTTGATGTTGTGATTTCTGTTATGCTCGCCCTGAGCCGACACGGACAAAATGTAATAGTCCTTTCGCGAGTCCAACTCCAAGGAGGAGCGAATCTTTTGTCATGCAGAAGGTGGAGCCTAGATTTCACCCTTGCACATCTCTAGCCTGGCCTCGTGCGGCTCTTCAGCCAAGGGCGGAGTGGCCGGCTTACCTTTTCAAAGGTGCCATCGCATAGAGGAACTTGCTGTAGTTGTCCAGCATGGAGCCATGCCTGTGCAGAAGAATGACATTGTAGATCACCAGCGCCACCAGCATGATCGCCATTTTCAGCTCATGGCTGATTCGGAGGAACACGGAGCAGGAAATCAGACCCAAGATGCAGCTGTAGATAAAGTACTAGAAAAAGAGGAAGACCGACCCTCGTGAGGTTTTGGGTTGCTTGTTTTCTTATTCAAAAAATGTCTGTTCCATCTACATTTCCATAGAAAATCTCTAGGTGTAAAAGCCATAGAAGAAGCAACAGTACTTGATTAAAATATAATTAAATCAGATATATGTTGAAATGGACAATTAAAACACTAGTTAAATAAAAACGTTTTGGTCTGGAGCGGGAAAGGATAAAGAGGTGGTGCCAGATGAACCTCTCTGGGAGCATATTTATTTATTTCATTTCTTAATTAAAAGCTTTTCTTTCCCATCACCTACAAACGTCTTGGGAGGGCTTACAATAAATAAATTCCCCGGCTGAGGTGTCACCATTGAGTAGGTCCTTCTCCTTTAATGGCCCTCCTCGCCTCCTTCAAGGATGGCTCCCAGAGAAGGACCTCTGGAGAAGATCTCAAGGACTGGGCAGACGTCCCGTTAGCCATCCAGGCCTTACATTGCTTAGGGCTTTATATGTTATTGTCAACACCTTAAATCAGACCAGCAAGTCAATTGGTAGCCAGTGCAGAAGGTACAGAACTGGTATTATATGGCCACGTCTGCCAGCCCCTTTCAATAGCCTGGCTGCTCTATTTTGCACCAACTGAAGCATCCGAATTGTTTCAGATCCAGGCTAGTGACTCAGACTGAATTCTCACCGTGATGCTAAATTTGTGTCTGGGCTGCACCACTAGGCAGGAGCGAATATCCCAGCTACATATAAAAATACGTATCTGAGTGAAGTTCCTGCCCTGCCTTCTCCCTGACCAATTTTCTATATATAGGGATTTCCCATCCTCAGCATGGTATGTACCATTAAAACTGATGCCATCCCGCACTCCCACAATGGAAGCTGCTCTTCTGTGGTTTCGTACCACATCATGGTGGTAACAGTGAAAAGATGGGAACTGTGATCCGATTGTAAAACTGCTTCCCAAATAATTGTGGCATTCCTGTTCCCAGCCGGGAGACATCTGAGAGAGACGGACCTAGAAGACCCCTTTGTTCTGGCCTTTGAAGCGCGTCCACCTGCAGTGTCCCAGAGCTGGGCTCACGGAGACACAGCACCGCAATTCTCTTAGCAAATACACAAATATCAACTGCTTCTTGCCTCGCACTTGCTGCTGTTGCTGAGCTCACATTGATGCTCCCAGTGGCTGGGCAAGAGTGGGATGGAAAAAGATTTTTCTCAGCAACAATAGGTAAATTCTTGCTGAGATTCGAAGCCCTATTTTGGAATAATCAAAATGGATGGGGCCAACACGGCCATTGGGTCCAACCACCTGCTCAATGCAGGGCTCCAAGCTGAAGTCTCCTCAGGTTCTCCTTGGGGGAAACGTCCTCTGCATGGGCTGGTAAGCAGGTTGTCAGAGTAGCTCTGTGAGTGGAAACGTTCGTACCCCCAATGCCAGTGTGTGGGCAGTGGCAGGAAAATGGTCACAAGTGCGTGCAAATAGAGGAGCACCCACTGGCACTTCTGAAAGCCGGAAACAAATACGGTCCAAACTTACTGGCAGGAAGAAATGGTTGCTTTGAATATACCAGAGCGTCTGCTCACTGGAATCAAGCGAACTTGCATTGGATGAATTAAGGATAGGGAGAAACTCAATCACCTCGTCATCATCGTCCAAGAAAAACTAGAACAAACAAAGAGGAAACCTCTTAGGGTCTCCACCAAGCACACAGAGTACTGAGAAGAAATCCAGCACCCCGAAGCATGCAAACAGATGCGTTCTTTGAAGCGTGAGTGGAGCGGCACTCGCTTTGATATTCGCTCATTTTCCCACTGTGAACGGCAGAAAGCTATTTGGCTGACCGCCGCACACACACACCCAACACACTGCTCCATTATACACACTGCTCTGCTGAGGAGCCATCCATTATTTTAATAGGCGGAAGGAAATAATGAAGTTTACGTGCTTTATGCTGTCCTGAGTGCTACCCGAGAATTGGAGTAAAACCATCCGGAAGCAAGCTAAAAATAAAGAGTGGAAGTCCTTCTTCTGGAAGGAGTCAAGCGTCGCTGACATCCAGATCATGACTGCATGCATTCATGCTGTACCAGTGGTCTGGGGGGACCTCCCCTCCCCTCCCCTTCCCATCCCTTGATCTGGCTGCTCAAGGTACTTTTCTCCCAGTCCCGGGTTGGATTTGGCCCACAGACATGAGGTTCTGCCATTTCAGGAGGCATTCAACAAATCAATACGATGAGGTGAATAGATGAAAAATGGAAAGGGAGTCAAGTAGAGGAAGGAGAATGAGTTCTTGGGGAAGATCTCATCTGGGCTCAAGCATGGGGAAGACCTTGCATCCGACGTAAGTGAAGGAGCCTGGAGGATGCTCAGAATGTAGGAATGTAACCAAAGATCATGGGTGTAGAGCAGCAGTGGGGCATTTGACCTCATGATTGCCTCATATGTGCCAGTGGAAATAATCTGCAACTGTACTGCTATGCTATTTCATCAACTGGACATGCCCTTTCTTGAAAAGCATCCAGAAAAGAGTAGATTTGCTTCTTGCTTCCACATTGGCCTATCAAGGAAGAATGAAAGCATCATCCAACCCTAACGTGCCTTTCCTTCTGATTCCCCGTTTTTCACTTCTGCAGAAGCACATGTGAGCTACACTGGGATTTATTTTCCTATGAGCTTCTCCAGTCTTCTCAGATTTCTAATTACGCTTCCTGTCACACAGCTGAATTCATACCGGCTAGATTTTACACTTCCTGTATCCAGAACTACTAATTACTGAAAACGCAGCAGCTTGGGCCATTGGCAAGCTCTGTCAAAGTGAGTATTATGTACGTTCAGTTATTGCTATGACCATGCACGATCGTCTCCCAGTTGTCCACACCTCCAGAAGAAAAAGGAATCGGGCTGAATCTGGCCCAAACAGCCTCATCCTCTGTCCCAAGTGCCAGTTGATGTTTCTAAAACTGGAGTACAGAGCAAAGGAATCAGGCTCTATGTACTAGTCACAGATGACGTGATGCCTGCAAGCAGCAAAGAGAGCAGCCAAGCAGAATAGGTAACAGACATGGACACTGACAAGACAAGCCTTGGATAAGCTAATTGGCAGCCTGTTCCTTGGATAAGCTAATTGGCAGCTTATCCAGCCTGTGGATAAGCTAATTGGCAGGCTGTCCACTGAAAAGCACCAGTAAAGGGGGAAAGTGGAAGAGGAGGTCCACCGAAATGCAGAAGAGAGAGTCACTTCTTTAGCAATACAACCCTTTCAGTTTCCACCATGTTATCGTCCATACTTGAACAAATGGATCCAGTTCCATCTTTGTTCTGTCACTCTAATATAGCACATTAATTTTGCGATTGGCCCTTGGGAGTCTTGCTTCTCTCCAACACTGACAGTGCAATTCTCAGAGCAAAACTCAATGCATTTCATGGAAATTATGTACAGGTTCTGCAATCCAATATGTACTTCACATATGTACTTCACTATGTAAGTCCCAACAAAACCGTAGGACTTCTCAGTGGGTATGCACAAGACCTGGTTGATTCTAGTTTCTTGGATTTGTCAGTGTTGTGTCTTTTCTCAGAAAGGAAAAGAAATATGCTAAATTCAAAAACAACCAAACCAAGGTTGCTTTTTTTTAGTGCATGTTGTTCTCAGTCTCATTGTAAACTATTATTTTCCATGAATTAAATCTTAATATACATTTCTTATAGATTTGTTTACTTATTTATTAAATTTGCAGTGAAAACAACACTCAAGGCACCCAGCAATAGCATATAGTACAAGACAGCATTTTAATTTAATTTCAGTCTTATGTAAGTCCCTGAACCCTGAGTCTTGAAGACATCCAATGCAGAACAGAAGGCGTGACGGATGCAGTCTTTGACTCTGCTCCTTGTGCGCTTCATTTTTTCTCGAAACTTGCATTCAGCCATCTAGGAACCATGCTTTGAAAGTTGAGAGAAGGAGACTGTGGCACGATCAAGATATTACGCATTCTGGCCACTTCTTTCTCCTATCCACACCCAAAGCACCCACTTCAACCTGGTTTGAGGTCAGTCTCCCAACCTTGGGAAGCAGCCCTGGAACTTCTTTTCACACTAGCTCTGATTCCCAGCGGTCTCTGACTTTGGAACTTGGGAATCTGAACTACCTGATGGGCTCCAAGACAATTTCTGGTGTCCATAACATGACTCTCTCCACCATACTTTCTATTCAGCTTATTTCTTTTTAGGATCTACAATTAAAAAGAAGTTATTGCCACCAGAATGATAGCAATCCACTTTTCCTTCACTGTACATAATGCTGCTGCTGAATTCTTAAATTAACCTACAATCCTTGCAATGCACCTGAATGTCTCGATCGATGTGATATTTTAACCCTAAACTGACAACTTTCTCTTTCATCAGACCGACTGGCCTTTAGCTTTATTTCTTGAGCAGTTTAAATACTCCTGAACATTCCATTCCATCAGTTCTCAGAGCCTGGATTGCCAAATGTGCCGTACAAGCAAGGTTGCCATAAAACTTTCTCCTGGGGATCGCAGAGTCAAAGGTATTGTTATAGGGCTTATTAAAGGGTTTCTGTACTGCGATTCCTCTGAACCAGTACAAGTCCACTCGTTTATCACTGAAACTGTTTAAAGGAGCAGATCATATAAACATGGAGAAATGAAAGAATAGTAACAGAAGAAACAAAATCACATTCAACTTACCATATTGAATACGGCCATGGTTAAAATGATGGACGTTGTGATCAAAGTGAGCATGATCCGTGGCCACGGGCGGTTTGCGATGACACTAGAGGACTTCAAAATCCACACGAGCGAAGTTGAGACTTTATTATTGCATTGCTATGTTATGGAGGACATGAAAAGGCACATTGTGGGTATTTCTGCTTCTCTTGCCTCTGCTCTAAACCAAGAACACTCATAATTCTGCAGTGCCAGGATATCCAGGCACTGCAAAAACAAAACCGAGAACGCGCGAGCCAAACTCATCAGACCTACCCCACGGATTCATTATTCATCTCAGCAGAATGACGATTTGCGATGAATTACAGCGCTTTCAATATCGTGGCTGTAAGACGGGAAATAACTAACTACCCACATGAAATAGCTCAGCACTAGGAAAGGACTGGAGTTTCTCTTCTCCCAGCCAGGCATGCTCACTTATTTTATCCCCGGCCTTATCATGGAGCAGTTAATCCCAAAGAAAATGAACCATATGGATCCTTGGACTGCCGACTCTTATGGAGGTACAGAGGTCTACCTAGATTTTTATTTCGTGGTTTGGCACATGAGAAGATGCCCAGAGTAGCTGGGAAAAACAGCATTAACTGAACATTCAGCAGTGTTAAAAAACTAAAACACATAAAGTATTACTAAACCACGGTGAACACTGGAAATTAATAACAGAATAAAAAGGAAGGACTACAAAGACAACGACTGCAACAGACCTCTCCTTCCACAGAAGTAAACAGTAAAATAAATGCAGTGAGCAGATCCAAACAGACTGTGACCCATTAATCCATTCGTTCTACAGTTTCGTTCTCAGTTTCCAGATAATTTTACCGTGAGCCATTCCCAAATCATGCCTCTGCCTCCGTTTCCAAGTTCCTTTTGCTGTTAATTTAAAGAGACACAGACAAGGGGATGCATTTCACGTGGTGCTATTTTCAGGGAGAAGCTTGCTGTCATGGAGGAAGACGCAGCTGCTTAATTTCAGCCCTGGTTGTGTTGACTATGGATAAAAAGAGGCCAAGGAGATAATTTGGGGGCTCTCTTAGTCAGAGCTAAGCCCTGACGAGCACATGCCACAGATTCGGTTTATTCTGGGCACGGTACAGCCAGAGTGAAGCACTTTCAGGCATAATCCTGCGCATATCTATTCAAAAGCAAGCCTCGTTGCAAAATGCGACCTATTCTCCAGTGAATGGATGTAGAATTCCAGCCTCAAGTTCTATTGATTTCAATCAGGAGCTATAATTTACTGGCAGAGAGCGCGTTTTGCATGCAGATAGCAGAACGTTGTGATGGGAGGAGGAGCTTCTATGCCAAGGGTCCAAAAATCTATATTCAATCTCCAATGGAGTGTTTCTGGTGGTGGAGCTAGGAAGGATTCATGTCTGCGACCTTGGAAAATGCCTGGCTGTGCGACTAAGCCTCTCTAAATGAAGACGGCGCTCTGTTTAATGAGGAAGTTCAGCTTGCTGCGTCAGTACTTCCCATGGACATCAATGGACACCAAAAACTCAGCGTTGGCTGGAGAGGGCAGTGGTAAAAATACCAGTAGCCGAGTGCAGGCCACCTGAACAGGTACCTCCTCTGTTCTGTACCTGCCTGCCCTTTAAGGCCTTCACCTGTGGCCCTCCTCAGGGTTCCCACACCTAAGGACGTGAGGCAGGTGGCTTCCCCAAGGGGCTGCTTTGGCGGTTGTTGCCCGGAAGGGGATTCTTTCCCCAAAGGAAAGAATCCGAACACTTCAATTGGTGCAAAATAGAGCTGCCAGGTTGCTGACGGGGACGGGGCGTTATGCTCACATGACTCCAGTCCTCCATCAGCTTCACTGGCTTCCCATTGAAGCCCGGGCCCAATTCAAGGTGTTGATTATGACCTACAAAGCCCTAAACGGCTTGGGTCCTGGCTACCTGAACGAGCGCTTACGTCCGTATATGCCCGACCACCCTTTGAGATCTGCGGGAGAGTCCCTTCTCCGGGAACCCTCCATGAAAGAAATTAGGAGAGTAAGTACCCGGAGGAGGGCTTTCTCTGCGGTGGCGCCCAACCTATGGAATTCACTCCCCAAAGAGGTCCGCCTGGCACCGTCGTTACTGGTTTTTCGGCGCCAGGTAAAGACCTTTTTATTTAAACATCATTTCAATTGTTAAAACATATGATCTGGCCAGGGCAACTTCTTCTTCCTTCTCTTTCTCCTCCTATATTTTTATTTTATACTGATAATTTTAATTTTATTTTTGTAAATCAATGTATTTTTTGTATTTTTATATTTAATGGTAATTTATTATGTACTATTGTATTTCAATGTATTTTATCATGTTGTAAGCCGCCCCGAGGTTTCGGCAAGGGGCGGCATAGAAATGTTATAATAATAATAATAATAATAATAATAATAATAATAATAATAATAAAAAGGGGCTCGCCACACAGCTACACGGGGGCCTTTTAGGAGGAGGCAAAGGGGCTTCAAAAGCCCCCCAACCCTCCATGTATTTGCAGTGCGCTTCATCTTTTGCTTTCCCAATTCCCCCTGCCCCACTTTGATGGTTTATATCCTTTTGCTGGCTTTTGTGCTCAGCACATCGGTCTGACGCTGGACATGATAGGTTTCACAGCCATTGCAGAGGTAGTCTTCTGAATATATTTTGATGCCGATTTATTTTATTTTGTATTTTGAGCGTACATTTTGTAAATCACCCAGAGAACTTGGTTCGTGGGCAATACAGAATGCTTTCCAAAAATAAAAATATTGGCAAATCTAATGATTGAACAGAATGGCTAGTTCTCCTCCAAAAGAACATTTGATGCATATTTAAGGTGCAGGGACATCTGGACAAGGCTTTTGTGGTAAATGGTCCTGCCTTGTTCATTGCATCGTGCTCAAAGCATCACCTGCTTCCCATGAAACTCTCTCATGGTTCCCCACGACTTCTTCTATCACTCTTATCAGTACAGACAGTGTGTCAAGGACGAACAGATGACCCAACTGCCAGTCGCTTATCCTACTGGAAGCACTGCCCGCTTGTAATAACAACCGGGAGAAAAGCCTCTGCAGTGACAGCCTTTGATTACTGAAAGTCTCCTCACTCAGAAGCTGGAATATAAATAATTAGAATCCTACTTCTTATTTTTGGCATGCCTTTGTAATTACACGTGTGAAAGAAAACCTTGCATATTTTGTGAAACGTTTAAAAACATGGGGATTAAACCTTTGTCTTCGCCACGATCTCTGTTTTCACAGCATACCCTAAATATCCACTATCATCCCTTTCTTACAAGAAAATTTTTCTTACTGTCTGGAAAACCTTGGCTAAAAAGGTTTCAGTCCAAGGTGTCTATTTATCACGCTCAATGAACGCAGTTGCAGAATCAGATAAGGCTTTGAATTAAGGAGAGAAAAAAAGAATGATCACTTTCCTCAGAAATAATGCGTTATTCTTTTGGGATTCCTTCCTTTCTTTTTAAAATGTGGCCTACAGCATCAAGAGGACTATAAGCAGCTCTGTCTTGAAAACAATGTTTTCCAGCTCAAGATTTGGTTGATTTCCACTTTGGAAAGTCAATTTAGGCCATATACTTTTTTGGGGGGTTGGGGGAGGTAGTTTACATCAAAACCAAGCCATCTAAGAAAATTGTACAGCCAGCAAGACAGGTCTGTTTAATCAAAAATGGCCCATCTTTGGGTAAAAACAAAATGGTAACAATGACAAAGCTGTGTGATGCGAATTTTGGAAAGCACAGTAAATTTGCTGAGTGATTGCAAATAACAGTAAACAGACTTTCAGGAAGAAGGTGTGCAGCTATCTCTTTTTCTTTTTCTTTTTTTTTTCTTTTTTTGCCCAGGCAACTAACAATGGTTTTATCAACTTTCTTTTGCAAGGAAGGAACCATGTGCTAGAATTTTGACCTCACTTGGATGCAGAAGGAATAACCGACGTGCTCTTGATACATACCAAAAGCTGCCCAGCGAAACAGATGAACAGAATGAAGGAAAGGACAAGGAAGGCAACTCCAAAGGAGATTCCAAGGATGGACTTTCTGCAAAACAGTAAGAAAAGGGCCTGCTAGATACGAGCCAATCTGCAGACACGGACAGCTGAGCTAAATAGGGTGGAGGCAGCCATGCTTGTTTAATACTGGCTTTGCTCCACTTGCATTTGAACATCCCAGGAGCGTGCCGTATGGGGCCGACTCATCCCCTCTGTCTCCTTGCTTGGCCACCTCACTTGCCCCACTGCCCTGCTAGGTTGGTGTCAGAGCTTGGCCGGGGGGGAGGAAGGGGGAGAGTTTAGGGAAGTCTTTGCAGAGAGGTGAGCTGGGAAGGGCCAAGTTTTCCCCGGACTGTTTTTGACACGTAAATGGGAAGACATTGGTTAACAAACCTGGCTGCCACCGACACGCCTAGTCTGCTGTACAGCCAAACTAGGGCCTGCGAGAGGCAGAACCTTCTTGAAAATCAAGTATATACTGTATGTTATATTTAGCAGGAGATGGTTCTATCCTCCCATTCAGTGCATGGGTGACTGAGGAAAAATAAGCCAAAAAAGACCGTCCGGTTTTGTATAAACACGTAATGATTCCCGTTTTGGGTATAGCTGCAGGATTATGATTAAGTAATAATCCTCAATGGATAATAATTTTATTCAAAACTATATTCCTTCCTTCAGACCTAGAAGTATTTTAGGTGCTTTATAAAAGATGACTCAAAGTTCCCCACGATCCAAGAGCATGATTCAAACCCTTTTAAATCGGATTGATTTCACTAAATGAGATCTTAAAAATGGTAAATAACTCTTCCTCTGAAATTAACAGAACATAAAAGCAGTCCGTGTTGGCTGGTTAGTGCCACCAAAAATAAAGAATAAAAGGAACAGAAATTTGAAAATAACATGCTCAATACAGTCGAAGCTAATTTTCTTAACCACTTCTTAATTATAGAAGCATGCCTGAAATATCCTTTCTGGGCAAAAGCGCTCTATTTTAATTGAGAGTTTGCTATAGCTAAGTGCAAAGACAACCATCACTAATGTAATTTGATGTTCCATTTGATTCAGGACATTATGGAATAAAACGGCCTAGCAAGAAGAGACAGGCAAATAGGTAAGCATCACCAAGTTGACAGTCCAGTCTCCGTGTGTGTGTGTGTGTGTGTCAGGGTGTTCCACAAATGCAATTGCAAGAGTTTGTGCTCTCTCAGCAGTTTCTTTCTTTCCTGTGCGCAGCATCCATTTGCTGGCTTTTTGTCCAAGACGATCAAGAAAACAAAACAGCCACCAGTGCAATAAAAATCTCTAGCTGGTGAGATCACACAAAGTACATCAGCCACATGGGGGTCTGTTGAACATGTTGTCGTGCTACTGGAAGAAGTTCCACAAACACCCCTGGAAGGGGACCATTTCTCTCCCTCACTCCATAGTCCCTCACAGAAACAAGGGGCAGTAGGGACCAGTCAGGACATGGGCTCGAGCCCCCTGCTTGAGTGGGACTCCCAGTTCAAGCCTCCATAACAGAGGGCTGCCCAGACGCATCTTGAATGCCTCCAGTGTGGGAGAACCCGCCACCTCTCCAGGCAACTGCTTCTGTTGTCGTATTGTGATAACAGTCACGAGCTTTTTCTGGATGTTTAACCGGAACCTGATTCCTGTAACTGAAGCCTGTTCTTTTATGTCCGGCGCTCTGGAATGACCCAGACTTGATCTTGATCCCGTTCCTCTTCTGTGTGGCAGCTTTCTAAATATTTGAAAAGGACTATCATATATTCCCACACCCTTCTCAGGGCTAAGCATGCCCCATTCTTTCAGTCACTCCTCACAGGGCTCTGACCCTCTTCCATGTCTGCATCTCTCTTAAACTGTGGTGCCCAGATTTAGATACAGTGCTCTCAAAGCCCGCCCAGGAGACTTGGAAGCCCCCTGGGGATGATTTATGGGGGGTACGGAGGGCTGCAGCACAGAGGAGAGCCAAGCCCTTCTACCGCAACGCTGAATTTAATCCACCGGTGTAGCTCAACCAAGCCAAGGCTGATCCTGGGCTAGGCCAAGCTCCAGCTTGTGTGAGGCACTGGAGATTCTCAACTAAACTTTAACAGTGTGTGTCTGATGATTGTACCATTCACAATGAAGGGCAACGTCCTAACAATAATCATTGATCAACAGATCTTAAAATGGGAGAAGGGCTGGCTTCAGGCTGATGTTTTAGATTTACGCAGTCAGTAAATGAATCAGATAGTGAAGATCTGTTAATATTGAAGGCATGAGCCCACTGGGTCCAAATCAGATCAACATCCAGTGGACTCGGCATGGCTGGAGTCTGGCTAGGCACACGTGGAAGCCCTGAGAATCAGATCTTGCCCCGTATTCCATGCACTGGGTTCTCCCATTCATGTTTGCAGCAAAGATACTTGCTACCATGTCCAAACTGGGCTTTATACAGGTACGCAATGAGAGCACTGCCTGGATGAATGAGCCTTCGGAAGCCCAGTCTTGGAAGTTCTAAGCCTAAACGTGATTATGCAGCGGATAAGAGGAAACACTGCATACCTTCTCAAGAGCATCCTTTTTTATATACTTATGGAGTCAGTGAGGAGCAACTGCGCAAGGGGTCACAAAATGTGGAACTGGCCCGTCTTCCAGCAGCCTCTGCAGGACTTCCATCAGCAAGAAGCCACTCGGTGGTCCACCACAGTGGCGCAACACACTTGCCGAGATGGGATTCACCAAATGCTGAGAGCCAGTGTGGCGTCGTGGTTAAGAGTGTAGGACTTGGACTCAGGCGATCCAGGTTCGAGTCCCCACTTGGCCATGGAGCCAACTGGGTGACTCTGGGCCAGTCACAGACTCTCAGCCCAACCTACCTCACAGGGTGGTTGTTGTGGGGAGAAGATGGAGGAGGAGAATGATGTAAGCGGCCTTGAGCCCTTTGTAGGAAAAAGGCAGGATATAAATCGGAATGAAAAAAGCAAGGGCAAGTTATTCACAGTTGGAATCCCGTGGAGAGCCAATTTTCATCTTCAAGTGCTTTAGCGTGAGTTTCATAATTTCACTGTCTGTTCTTTTCCCATTTTTTGGTACATTCATGAAGCTCTCAAAAGATTTCAATCAGTGCAGAGGCTTGGAGTGCACAAGAGATTCATTGTTAGAATATCTTTTGAATATAAACATTCATGGCAGTCCTCCTTTTCTTCTACCAGGTGCAGCAGAAAGAAAGCCGTTATAAAAATGAATGGCTTTGGGGGCTTTTTTGTCATTTGCTTTCAGACAATCAAGGGCACAAGTGTTGATTCCCACCCCCCCCCTCAAAATTCAAGAGGGCTGAACGTGCTTTCCAGTGCTTTCCTACACAGCATCCTAAAAATTTCTTGTTGGTGAATGCACGGAATTCAACTGCAACGCCAGCTGTTAAATAGGCTTGCTTGTTTTAACTTTTGGAAAATTTTGGCGTAACTTTTGTATCCAAAATGAACAGAGGGTCTGCTGTTTGGCATCACATTGCCTGAAAGCACCATCTGGAGAAGGATCCTGAGTTCCCCTGAAACAACTTCTTTTTCAAAACATGTCAATGTTTTGGCTGTTCTGGATTCTGGATGGCTGTTTTAGGGCTCCAAAATGGCGTTCGTGATGGTCGCTTGACCTTACGGGGACACAATCAACCCACCCACAGGGAACCCCAGATTTGTGTCCCCACTCTTTGAGGAAAGCTTGCATATAATCCCAGGTTTCCATGAGGAAATCAAAGCAGCAGGGGCATTTGAGCCACATGGACACGGAGAGGATAAATTGTACTTTACAATCCATTAATAAATGTGGTATACCACATTCAGGTTCGACCAATCATCTGGGTGAAGGATTAATTTAAGATGGAAGAACTCCAAAGAGGAGCAAGGAGAATGTAATGGAACAACACTACAAATATTGCACAGTGTGTTATTTTAAATAGCTTTCGCCGGCCCTTCAGCCCCAGAGGCTCTCAGTTAGGTTTCAGGACAATCCCTGCCCAGTCTAAAAGACAGAAGGATAAAGAAATAGGCAGAGAAGAGGAACCCATTCTTAAATTGAGACCCTAGTTCATATTCGACCAGCTGGAAAGTGCTCAGGTCAGACAGAATTTGATGGCTCCAGTCTTCTTGCAGGGCAGCTGGAATGGCTGGCTACCTTAGGGCTGGATCCAGTCCTTGCACAAGGGGACTTCTGCTTGGGCCACAGGATGTCCCTGTCTCACCCCTCCTGCACATACCCCAAATCTGCTTCAGAAGGCCCCCATCTCTCCAGAGCATTTGCACTGGGGTAGGGCTGGAAAGCGATTCAGAGGAGATTTGTGCCTGGACACTGGCTGATGGGGCAAGTGAGGCGTGGCAGGAAATAGCATCTGGCCAGGACACTGAGTAGAATTTGAGGGAAAGGGCTCAGCATCCTCACCAGCATAATGAGCATAATGTCCTGAGCATAATGTTCATAATGTTCATAAAGGTCCTGAGCATAATGTTCGAGGCATGAGGACCACCCAGCAGATGTCGTGTGTGACCAATGCTCGGGACCTTCACCTGGAACATATCAGGCCAAGGTGAGTTGCACTTGTGTTGTTGTTGTCATGTGTGGTGTGGTAGTTAAGCGTGCAGGGACGGGACTCAGGCTATTTGCGTTCTAGTCCCTGCTTGGCCATGGAGCCAACTAGGTGACTTTGGGCCAGTCACTCACACTCGGCCCAAACAACTGTACAGGGTTGTTGTTGTTGTGGGGGAGAAAGATGTGAGCCACTTTGAGTGCTTTGTAAGAAAAAGATCAGGGTATAAAGCTAATAAATAAATAAATGTGCCATTGACTTGTCTCTGACTTTTGCTGACCCCATGAAGGAAAGCCTTCCAAAATATTCTGCATGCTGATCAATTTATTCCTTCCTTCCTTCCTTTCTCGAGAACAAGGTGAAAGAACATCAGTAGGAAGGGGGAAGAATGAAATAAACAGTCTTAGAAGGCCAAATACAAGAGGGAGGCAGGCAGGCAGGCAGTGCATGAAAAGCTGGTCCAGTATTACAACTGAGATTCAAGACAGGTTCTCCCTGGATCTGAAAAGGGTGGTACCAACAGTGGCATGAACGTGTTTCAACCCAGAGGGCCCCACATTTCTCACTTACTTACTTGGGAAGTACTAGGATCTGCACAAGAAAAATGCAGAAGAATATGAGGCAAGCGCACGTCACGTAGTACTTGAACGCAGGCAGTGTTGTTGCTCTGTACTGAAGGAAAAATCAGAAAGAGATGAGGAATGATTTAAAATAGTTGCAGACGATTGCCAAAAGCAACACAATAGCAAACACGGCTTGGATGTCAAACAGGCAAATGCCTGCCGATGCCATTATGGCCAGAAGGCTTTAAAGGACAGGTTGGAATGACAGGCCTCAAGGGCTAATGGTTGCCAAGTGAAATCTTTCCGAAGTAATCTCTCCATGCCCTGCTGTTGAGTTTCCTGGAGGTGCCAGTCTGGCTTCTGCTGGCTGCAGAACACTGGCCAAGGTGGGCCCCGATCCACTTAGCTTCTCATGATGCACTTGCTCAAATGGGCCTCCTTCAAGGCTCCCACATGCTCCAGGAAGCCCACCAGCAAGAAAACAAGCAACATCTCACCTTGCCATTATTCGCTTAGTCTCTCTTGACAATCTCCATAATGCTTTACAACAGCCACGAACAAACTTCCAGTGTTTGGGAATCTACCTGGTTTTTAACTAGAACCTCAGGATCCACCTAAGGGTGGTGGAGGGGAGGCAGGCACCGAGTAGAACATGGTGGAGACCAAGAATTGGTTTCGACATCAGAACTGAGCTCACGCTCCTTTACAAAAACAATCCAGCCCTTGTTTCTCTCTCCCATCCAGATGTCTTAATCTCAGCAGCCTCGTTTTCTTGGGACTGTTATTAAACTGCTGGGAGTTTATTGCCAATCACCCAGAAAGGCTTCAGTGGATGCCGGTCTACTTTCTGCACACGCCTGGTGTACAGAAACTCTTCTTTCATAAAGAATGCCTTCTTACTACGTACATATTTCTGTAACTCAGCATAACTCATCCGGAAGCTTTGGTTGCACAAGGTCTATTGATAGGCATAGCAATTAGACAAAGACAGAGTCACAAATGCATAGGCAATGCTCAGGCCTACCAGGATAAAATATTTAAAGGGACCATTTCTTTCCTAAAACATAAACAAAACAACCTCAGAAAACACCAAAGAGTCCACCCTTGTCTGAGAGTAAGCCAACCAACTCCAACCAGAATTGAAGATTTGAGGATAGGACCAATACCACTTCTTATCCATGGAAGGCAAAATAGCAAGCATTATGTCCCAGTTTTGATTTCCCAGATTTGGCAGACAAGCATCTATTTTATTTATCTGATTTCTATACCACCCATTAACCAACGTGGTTCTTGGTCTACTGTTGAAATAACTCAAAAGCAACCACGCACTCCAAATCAATCAAAATCGAACTATGCTCAAGAGTTCTGACCAATCAGTCAATCGTGCTGTAGATTTCAAAGTGCCTTGCAGGTGAGGGTTGCCATGTCATCACCTGAAGAGCATGCATGGACTTCACATTTCCACATGACGTAGGAGACAAGACAACCTGTTCCTCTTCTGTTGTTCTTCCCGCACATGCAATAGCAAGCAAGAATCTAAGTTTGCTCAAACGTGTCAGAGAAATTAGACAAATCTGAGCAGCACACGCAGAAGAAGCTGCTCATACTTTGGGCAATGTTCAGTACTGTCCAAAGTGAGGTCCACCGCTGGTCCAAGAAGAAGCTAGTGCTAGCGACAAGCTGGCTGAAATGCTCCTTTCATCCACAGAGGAGCTGCGCTGTCCCATTCCAGGAACTATCATTCCAGCATATTTCTGGGTTGCCCTGGGAAGCACTTAGCTTCCTCTTGGACCAGCCGTGAGTCTCACTGGTGCAACGCATTCACCACAGGTACATCACTGGCATTGGATAACACCTGTTGTCTCCCACTTCTTTTGGAAATTCACCCATTTCCTTGGGGTAAGTATGTGCAATTGAACAAGAAACCAGCCACACCTATGGCATGCGCTCCCCAGAGAGGTCTGCCTGGCGCCGTCGTTATTTGTTTTTCGGCACCAGGCTAAGACCTATTTATTTAAAACTTATTTTAAGTGTTAATTTATTATGTAGGATTTAAAAAATTTTTAAGCCGAGATGCACCGGGTTTTAATATTTTTAGTGTATAATTTTTGTATAATTTTGTATGTTTTTGTTTTTGTTGTAAGCCGCCCCGAGGTTTTGTTGCAATGGGGGAGGCATAGAAATGTTTTAAACAAACAAACAAATAAATAAATATCCTGTTAAAAAATAATAATAGAGAATCCAGGAGTTCTTACTTGCTTTTCTAGTGCGGTGTTGTAGAAAAGTAACGATATCCTTTGAATATCCTCAGACTTAAGCCATTGCCTAGAGGAGATGAAAGATAATTCAGAATATTATACATAAGCTGACTAAATCTTTGTTCCCAGTATTTTATTAAAGATTTAAGTAAGGAAATAATCTTTGTATAATGAGAGGAACTCAAACAGTTTGGACATATCTGCATTACAGACTTAAATGAGCTGAACAGTAATTCCCTTCATACTGAGGAGCCTGCAGGGAGATGTGCAGGTGGAATTCACAGCAGCCCTCATCAACCTACATTTCCCAGGAATCTCTGGCAAAATACAACCGATCTGAATGTATTTTATTTATTTAAATCTTTAATACGCTGTCCCTTATGCATGGCATCTCAGGATGGCTTACAATCATTAAAATCAAAATACAATAAAACAGTCTATAACAATATAATAAATAACATATAACCAATAAAAATAAATTAAATAAAAGCCAACTGTGGAACATTAAAATACTAAGTTTTAAAATAAGGATTGAATTAAAAGGTTTTGACCTGGCACCGAAAAGAGTATAAGCTCGGCACCAGGCGAACTTCTCGGTATAAAGTGTGCTTGTGTCTGCTTCGAAAGCAGTGGCTCTAAATTGGCCATTCAGGGTGCAGTCCTTGGGAGCAAAGACCGAAAACAACCACACACACAGACGGGGGAGAGTTAAGGAGAGCTTGCTTGATTTGCATGGGTTGAAGAACATCTATGAAAGAAAGTCATTGATTTACCTGCAGCTGGCTGAGCTACGCAAAGGTTTACAGGTCTAAAATAGGCCTTGCATTGTGTCTCCGAACTATATTTAGTCGCTGAGGATCTTGGGGCACTAGTATGACGTTTGCTGGTTACCAGGAGACAAGAGGTGTGAATTTAGGCCAAACGTTGCATTTAACCCTCAGTTCAATGAACTGGGCCTTAAGGATGTGAAACGATGTACAAAGACCAGGCTCAAATAAACAAGCACTGCATGTGTTTATTCTGAGTGATGTGGAGGGATAAAGATCTAAACTTTGGGGAAGGGTGGAGTGCACCCCCGAACGCCATGTCCTTTGCATTAAAAAGGCGCTTTTCCTCCTTCCGTTATGGAAAATACTCCATTATCATGAAGTGTACAGCACAGTCCCCAGCAGCAAAGAGAAGACGGTAGTCCAGTTTTACAGACTGATTTGATAAGACAGGTCTCTGATTTGATAAGAATTCTTGCCCAGTTCTCATCTGTTTCCCACCAAATACCTATCTCAGGTAACTAAAACACAGCTTCTCGAAGTTCCAGTGACACAGAACCTTACTCCTTTTTCAGCTCTGTTTGTTTCACCCCATGATCTGATGCCATGCAGACCACGGGCAGCCCCCCGCAGAGAGGGTGTCCTAGGCTTCCTCGACATTCCTCACAGGGCTAACGTTCAGCTCACACAAACAGCGATGGTAAGGAGGGAGCTCCCAGCAAACCTACTTTTGAGCGTTTATTCCGTCAATCGCTCGAATCATCCTCTCATTCAGTTCCTCTTCGAACTTCTTCTTCTGAGACTTCGTTCTGCAGAGAACAAAAAGGAAGGGAAGCAGGACTTAGTATCCTGAAGAGGAAATGAATGGAACATGCTCAAGACCAGGGCGAACAAAAGACGTGAGAAAACAAAAAGAAAGCCAACTCTTTCCATTCCTATTCCATGCAGCAGTATAGAACACATCCCTGCACAATTTGCCATATACGGTTCTGCAGTTAATACCAGCTTTCCTTTTACAGTATAAAGTCAACATGATCTTCAGTTGCTGTAACGTGCAGTCGCCTTCATATCAGCCAGAAACCGCTGCCTTGCACCAATTTATAATTCAGGGTTCCTTCTCTCCACAAAGTCATTTTCCATGTGCAGAAGGCAATCAAAGTTAGAGGGAAGGGTGAGTTAGAGCCCCCCCTCCATTTGAACTGTCTCTGGCTTAGCAATGAACGAACAGGACTACTCTCCATACGGACTGCACTTGTGATAGGAAGACGGGGGTTAGTCACTCCAAATAAGCATCCAAGGTAGTACAGCACCTGTTCTATTTTTGCAGGTGTTATAAAGCCCCCAAATCCATTAAATTATAGGAGGAAAGTGTTTATTCTTCCCAAGTTGTAATATCAGTACATTTTGATATGCTTTCTAAATATGACAGTGATTTCCAGCCTAAACCCTTTTGCTCTGCTTCATCCTGCCAGCAAATCCTTCTTATGTCCTATTAACAGCAGGATGAAAAGTATTATTAAGTAATCAAGTAAATCCTGATTGATTTAAAAGAGTAACTATAACTTTGCTTTACTTCGCTTGGGGCAAGCTGATGGGGATTTATATTATTCCAGTCATAATCCTAATGGCTAATAATCAAAATAACAAACTGACTACTCAAGTAGGTGTCATGCTGGTGGGAGAAGGGAGTAATTTTTCCTTGTGAAATTAATTTTGAAAGCAAGAACGCCTACCTTTCTCTACATCGCTGGAAGTTATACTGACCCATAGGCATGTCCTAAGAGACAGTAACAGAAAATATCATCTGTCTGCACCACATAATAAAAATATTACTGATTCAGAATGTATACAGCAATAATATAATGCAAATGTTGTATCTGTCGGTATTTTCCTATGTTCAATTCAAAACCCCAGTAAAGTTATACAGAGAAAACCCCACTTATTTTTTTGGGTCAGGATTGCACCTTATAGTGGAACCCCATGCATGTCTATTTAGAGGTTTAGAGTTCAACAAGATCCCCTCCCTGGTAAATATGCACAGGATTGTAGCCTTAGTGATATCAAGCTGAAGCAAACTTCGAATCAAGTCAGTGGAGGATCATAAAAAACACAAGAGCGCAAAGGGATTTGAGCAAAGATTCATCCTTTGGACCAGTGTCTTCCTTCAGGAATCTTCAGGGGATAAAACAACCTTCTCGGTTTATCTTCTTACTATTGCAGGTTCCCAGTGCCTGGGCAATCAGGTGCTGGAGCATCATCTGAGGGAATGGGGACGTTTCATGAAGGAAGCAGTTCAGCCCCAAACCTGAGTACTTTATCGTTGCACAGCAACAGAACTGGGGGAAGAGAACTGGCACGTTGGAGAGAGAAATGGCCAATTTCCCCTTCCGTCCCTTATGAAACCTTGCTGTGTATTGCAGGAAGGCTTTTTTGACCTCACAGCTCCCGTCGGATTCTATACGCAGCACAAAGCAATCCTCTTCTTCTCTGTGTTTTGCTTCCTTCCCCTTCATGTAACTTCCCCAATATTGTTTGGCTCAATGAAAGCCCCCTTCAGCAATACCGGAGCTTTTTTCATCCGCTTAATTTACAAACAAGGGTAGTTCTGTGTATCTAGAAAATCTTCCATATGCAAAAAACTCACTCTTCTAAGACACAGTTATTCCCCACAAGTGTAGCTTGAGTCATATGAGAAAGTGCAAAGAAGCAGTTAGCAATCCATGTTTTTCATCTGGGTATCCCTTGTATTATTACCAAGCTCATTAGCAAAATGGAGAAATGGTATCAGCAGATCCATGAAAATTCTGAGGTTTTCAGAAACACATAAAAGTCTTTTGGGTGGGAAAGAGCTGAGGAGGAGTTATTTATTTATCTCTCTCCCCTGCAAAAATAAAAATAAAAAATAATAAAACTAAAACTAAAAACCTTTGTCTCTCTGACCTTGTTCAGAATTGTAATGGGGATGCTTAATAAATTTATTTATTAATTTATTAAAAGCTTCTCTATACCATCATTAACTGATGGATTGCCACTGTAATTGACACAGTAATTTCCCACAATGTCCTGGAACCTGAATGCTAGCGGTCTGCTCAGAGAAGCTGCCAATGTAATTTCCCACAATGCCCTGTGTGTAGCTGTGCAGGAGTTGTGTGTGCCCATATATTTCCATAATGTATGGAATGCTGCTAAGTTAGGGACATCATGGAAAATAGAAAGGGGCATTTCCTTAACCATGCGACTAGTACCAATGCGTTACGAGAACGACGCGTCCAAGTACATCCAAGTATTCCGAGTGATGTGACTCTGATGAGGCCTCACCGGCAGTTCAGCTTCTAGTCTTGCCGCTCTTAACTTCTAAAAATCTGGTGCGCCTAAGCGAGGCCATCGTAACCATGGGTTTGGAATTTGATGGCCGAGGATTCATGAGAATATTTTTACCCTCTTCAAAAATAATTCAGCTGGGGTGAGAAGAGGACAAGGGCACTCGGTTTCTATGGCATCAGAAAACGAAGAAGCCTGATAAAATACTAATAGCAAAGCAAATTAATTCAGCTCATTAAAGGGGTGGAAGGAAGCCCGTACCAGGGTGCTGATCTTGCCGTTTTCGGTAATCATGCTGTCCCGGTGGTGCAAGTGAGCGAAGGGCTTGGCCGCTCCCCAAGACTCCAAGTACCTGGTCATACGGACCGACGCTCTCATTTTGGCACCATCTAATGTGTTCCTGGGTCGGAAATGATGCTGCGGGCTTCGTTTCTCCTCCTAGTTAGGAAGTAAATCGACGTGAGGTAAAATAAAAGGGGGAGGGATGGCAAAAGAACACAACTGTAAAATGGCCACCAAAAAATGCAAGTGGCATGCACTGTATACCGTGTTTGCTCTGCTGCATATTTAAGTCTGCTTGTGCTAGCAGGGGAGAGAAGGGATGGAGGCAACTTCCCTCCATCACGCCTGGTCAGTCATCCTTTTAGATTGTTTGGGCTGAGGCAGTGGCCACCTTGCATGAAACCTAGAAAATGATCACTAAGGTTCCCAGGAATCTTCTTCAGCAGTCGAGATACCAAGGGCAAAGTGATTCTGGGAGGCTTTGAATCAGAAATCTTCTTTCTGATTTTAAAATATAGTAATCAAACTATATTTAATATAATCAACCCCGACTGCTCTTTAGAAGGCCAGATCCTGAAGATGAAGCTCAAATACTTTGGCCACCTAATGAGAAGGAAGGACTCCCTGGAGAAGAGCCTAATGCTGGGAACAATAGATGGCAAAAGGAGGAGGGGATGGCAGAGGATGAGGTGGCTGGATGGAGTCCCTGAAGCAGTCGGCGTGAGCTGGAGTGGACTCCAGGGGATGGTGGAGGACAGGAAGGCCTGGAGGAAGGTTGTCCATGGAGTTACGATGGGTCGGATGTGGCTTCACAACTAACAACAACAAATCAAACTAGGGAGAACACTGATACAATGTTACTCACTTTTGGATTGATGATAAAGTAGGTTTTCACATGATGTTCCTTGAGATACGGGTCCCTTGCATCTCCATCGCCATCTTCCACTTTGTAAGCACCATTCAGGTGTGCCAAAGTGACTGAAGTAATGTGAACACGGCTGAAATTATGGGTAAGAAGGTAACATGGCTTTTTGCTTGCTTTACAACTAAGAAACATCCCCCACAGTTTTATATGCCTACTGAGATAACATGTATTAAACAGCACACTGTTGAAGATGTGTTTGTGTAACTCTGGAGCTTGCTGGTTTGCTAAAGGCCAACTTAGTTGCAAATGCCAACTTGAGGAGTCTAGCTGCCCCTAAACTTTATTATTTCTGACTGCAGATGGGGCTTGTGCGACTGACTTTTCCTCCATGCCACAAAAATTGTCCACACCAGCAAGTCAAAGAAAATATTGTTAGGACTTGCCCCCTGATACCTAGTTTCCACGTGGAACAGTTCTGGGGTTTTTTGGTCTTTCTTGGTGGTACAGACTTCTGTTGGCTACCTCAGTGAGAACAAGCCTGCTTGCTTCCCTGAAATCCAGTGAAATGTTCCAAATTCCTAAAATGGAAAAAACTCAAAGCTGCTTCCCCATTCAGTTAAATAGTGGGCGATCCCACATATTTAATGGACAGAGGGATCCTCCTCCATGCACTGATTAAACGTTTATACTTCTGAACTTGTTGCTCTTTCACCACCTCATGGTAGCCTGGCATGGAAGCCCCACTAGTACGACTTTCGAAGCGAGCTCTTTTTATTCCATATGGAAAAAAAAATACAATCCACATTCAATGAAGACTGTTCTTACCCCGGGACTCCTCCGGCTTCCATGTGATTGGCCAGTGTAACATCATGTGACCACACGTCATACTGCCATTTCTGCAGTCCAATCACTCCGCAGAGGACATTCCCAGAATGCACTCCTACTCGCATATTAATATCAACCCCAGTTGCATCTCTGACTTTCCTAATATTGAAAAATAATCGCAACTGTCATTTTCCACAAAGAATTATGATCACATAATTACATTCCTTAATGCATCACTTTCAATATTGTAATAAAAATGCAGTATAGCGATAGTGTGAACTAATTAAAAAAATTCTAGTCATACATATTTATATGTTCTTTGCAATTGGTGAAGGCGTATAACAGGGTGGAAGAGTATCCCCTCTGGATTTCAGTCTGAACTGTTAAGGCACTCTTTTGGGGACAGAGTTCAGCGTTCGGCACCACAGACAGCTCCTTTAACGTTCAGACTGGGACCCAGGGTGGATACACAGCCCCATGCACTAAGCTGCGCTGCTGATTTAATGGACGGACCTATTAACATTGGTGACAACACACATGAGACAGACAGAAATCAGCTCCATATGCAGAGCCTGTTTTATTTTTTAAAGGATTCGTTCTAAATTAAAATTTCAACTGGCCTTTCCATTTTTGAAGAACACAGATGGGCAACCCTGCTCTTAGATCTCAAAGAGTCTTTCTTCCATTAGGGTGCAGATTTCAGATCCCTCAACGAAAGAACTCAGCTTTTAAACATGAAGTTTTCTTCTGCGCGTCTAAGAATCTAATAAAATTCTACACCTAAATATTTCAGAACTGGAGGTTTTGACTTCCTTGCCTTCCACAGTGGCCCTGTGGAGCTGCCAGAAATACGTCACAAGGCTGCACACGCCCTTGAAAGCTCTCTCCTTCCTTCTTCCTTCCATCAGCCCCAATGTCCCAGTTTAGATTGTGGTTAGTTGTTACGTTTGAAATACTATAGTTAATGTCAGCTTATTCATCAGGATCTTAAACCAACTTCAAACTGTGGCTTAAAATCTGACTTACTCAACTGACATTAAATCACAAGTCCCCATTTAAGACACTGGCCATATAGAAATGATTGAATGAATCAATCAATCAATCAATCAAAAGCATAACCGGCATCTGCTTGGCCACTGTGCGAAAAATTGCTGAACTAGACAGACCTTTGATCTAATTCAGCAGGGTTCTTATTATGTTCTTATACTTCTATCTCCCTTCCTAGAATAATAAGAGTATAAATAAAAATGGTATAAACAATAAAGAGTATAAATAAATGGTATACTATTATTATAAGTAATAATAATTACTTATAATAATAGTATAATAATAATAATAATTTGTCAAAATAAAAGGTGAAAAATTGGTGGCTTCTCTGTGGATGCCAGAAAATAGCAGGAAACTAGGACGAGACATCTGTATCTCCCCAGACACTCATTCTGTCGCCAAGACACTTGCCCTGTTGTTGACCCACGGTGCCCCCTACAGCTCCATACAGGACTAGAGTGTCTTGGACCAACGAAGCAGGTGAACATGGCTCGCCTTGGGAAACAATCGCCCTCCAGAAGATGGGTCTGCGTTCCCCATTCCCCTTTCAGCATATTTCTGAACAATCTGACCCCCTGCTCCGCCTTCCATGCTTTTCAACAAGCAGACAACAGAGTTGCAGTCTTTTTATAATGTATAACCCCTTCTTTGCCATCTCCAATTTTCAATTATCCCACATTCTCGTATAAGCTTTGGCATCAGACACTTTTATGATGTAGGAACTGCACACTGGCCAGGAAGGACGGTCATTTTCTCAAAAACGATGGTTTTCTTCAAACAAATGTACTTTAGAAGACAAGCCAAACATTGGATGGTATCAGTATTTAAAAACACACAGGAGGGAATGGAGGAAATGGTAGATGACGAAAAAGGCGCAAGACCGTATTTCGAATATAAGTTCCATCAGTGCAGATTAATTTCATGCCCAATCCACAAAATTAGGGAATTGCTGATTGTACAGCAAACATCTGGGATGCACAACGTTTAATGGCAGCTGTGAGAGTTTGAGTTTCATTCGAGTAGATAATAAAAGGACATCGACCACTATCGGCTTATGGGTACTTTGGGAGGACTCTGCAGTCATTATAGCCATAATTAAGAATGTGAGTTCCTCCAGAAGGTGAGATGAAAATGCTGATAACTCTTGACAGAAGGCTGGTCTTCACCTCATCTCTGCCAGCCAGCCAAGATTATTATTGATCACATGTGGCACCTTTCCCATATTTAAGGTACTCGGGATGGCGTCTGTCGAAGCTCCCTCATTTTATCTTCCGAACAACTCTGAGCTCGGCTCGGAGGGTTCAGTGGAGAGGCAGAGGCTGGCCCTACCTAAGTGGCACTTGGTCAGCTTCATTGCCGAGACTTTGGACAGAGCTCCTCCAACTTCACACCGGTCCTAGCAGGCCCAAGTGGTGTCCCCTCCAGCCCACCACCAGCACCAGCACCAGCAACACAGTTCCTTGTATGTTCCTCAGAATGGCTAGACTCCTTCTAGACTGGTGTTGATCAGAATGCTTGGTGCTGGATGGAAAAGCTACATACAGTGAGGAAGAGGATGCCGAATGTCGCAAAAATACTGTGCAGAAGATTCGGGGACGCAGCATTGTGTCCCTTCTCAAGCCCTTCTTAAATGATGGTGCTCGTAACATTTAAGCTAGCCTTAAATGCGTGCTTTTTTGCACACTTAAAGGAAGACATGGAGTTAAGTATGTATAAAATGGGATAGAAATGCCTCAAATAAATAAATAATAATAAATAAGAATGTGCTAAACAGCCATCTGTGAATGTGCAAGGTATAATTAGTATAATTATAATTATAAAAGACTGCTCTGCAAAATTAAGTCTGCATGTCACCCTGGCCTAACGCCAAGTCCTGAAAGGAGGCCTAATTATTTTAAATGGCATTTGTTCTCATTCAGGTCTTGTTTTTGCGTTTTGTCCCTTCTTCCCACATTGTTCGATGTCATGGCTTCTGCCTTCCACCCCCTCCCTCTATTGTCCAAGTGTAGAGGCTGGCATCTTGGCTGGGACGACACCCCACTGCTGGTGTTACTCCGTAGGCCCGTGCGCACTGGTGATGCTGTCAAAATAAATCATGCCTGTCCCATGCTCTCATACAAGCTTTGGCGTCCACCATGTTTACTATGCAGTGAATTGCACACCAGCCAATCCAGAAGTGAACACTACCTTGCATCTCTCTATTCCTTCACAAAATATATTATCTGACTACAGTAAACCGAACTGGCCCCTTGTTTCTTTAATGTTAGGTGGGTGGCTAGTTTTCTTTGTTGGTTGGTTTGTTCTTCCCAGCTTTGGGGTGATTTTAAAGGCGCTAGTTCCACCCTCTATTTTTCATTGACAACTTTCTTCATGAGCATAACTGCAGACAGAATCAAAATCGCACTCTTGGATTTAAGAGCTCCAGAGCCACAAACCACAAAAACAGCCCTGGTTTTAAAGCAGATGCATGGGATTCTTTCTTGCGAGGGAAAGGCTGGGAACTATGACAATGTCAATACCTACTTTATGGCTTCACACATGTCCAGTCCCATTTTCACACAATTCTTGGCATGATTTTGAAGAGACAAAGGGAGGCCGGACACACAGTAATAGCAGTCTCCCAAGATTTTGATTCTCATGCATTCGTTTTCCTGCAGGGGGAAAAAGGACCAGTTAGGGGATGGTCAACATGGCCACATAAAATTCGCCAGCAGCCCTGCAAGAGCATCAAATGTGTTCCACCAAATCTGAAGAGGAGGAAGACGCCTCGAGTGGAATGCGCAGTCCGAAAAGCGCCGGGAGTGCAGCATGCATCCCATTTCCACTGACCTACTTTTCCTGACGTGTGAAATCAGAAGCACTCACAGGCTCTGCAGAATCTAGAGACACTGGAAATTCAATAAAAACCTCTTTCTGCCTGGTACGAAAATAGTGAGGCCCTTAGAGAAGAGGTCTGAAATTTTAAACACAGGATATTTGTTGTCATCCATATTCAAGCACTTGCAGGAATAACACTGAGCTTAGTCTTCAAAATGATATTGCTACGTTATTGAGCTCCTTAATGGCAATATAATTAGCCTGTTAAATAATGCCCAAGAGCAGTAATTTTCAGCCATTCAAAGCAATGCTTTTTTCCATTTCATATCAGCAATTTGCAAAGCATGCATTATGGGCCTTTATTGTTCTTCAGAGCCTTCTTAGGGATTCTGAGAAGATCAGAAATGCTGGGCTGGATGCGCGGAGGTCACTTATCCACCCATGCTGATGTGCTCTAGAAATGCTCATCCAGATGTGGGTTTTGGGCTGGCCACAGGGTAGATTCTTTGGGCCTCCATGTAGACATTTGGCAGAACCAGGGGTGGAACATTTTATGTCTGACTCCTCAGCCATGACGTATTGTCTGCCCAGAAAAAAGGAACAAGTCATCCTGCTTCACCAATTTATCTGGATTTTGTTCCCTAATGCAAGAAAGGTTCTTTCATTGGATTGTGACTGGATGTCCCAGGAACATATGAAAGGAATATGGACCGGTTTTCCAGTTCCCCATGGTCCTAAGATGTAATTGTGGGGTTACGAGGAAAGCAGGGGAGTTGAAAACTGGACTGGGACAGCAGACCCCTGCTCAATGGCCTGCCATCCCATCCTGGTGCCACTGCTATCAGGAATTGTAGCAAAGATACTCACAGAACGAAAACACTAGTCATTGGCAATGCCCTCAGGAATACCTACTTTTGCAATCTGGTCGAACTTGCCAAAGAGTTCATTCAGCATATGCACCAGCTCGCCGGGGGAGCAGTCACTAGCCAAGCGTGTGAATCCCACAATATCCGCATACAAAATGCTGCAAGTAAAACAATCCACATTCATGCTCTTCTCCGTTTAAAAATGCTGCATGGTTTTACTTTTACAGTTCTTGGTAAACAGAAACAAACCCCAGTGCACCAACCTCTAGTTGGAGGACTTCGCTTCGGTGGCCACCAAATCCCCAGCCCTGGGCTCGGAGGCAGTATTCCTCCCTGAAAAGGGGAACAGGTTCCCAGCCGACAAACACACACAGCGCACAGCTCTCTTGAGGTCTGCACAGAAGCACCTGCCAGCCCAAGCCCACAAAATTTCTGTGCAGGGAAGGCCAAGCGTGCAATCTTGGGCAATTCAGTAGCTCCACAAAGGGTGCTAAAGGGACGCAGGATTAATCAATTGCCATCTGGGCGTTATGCTCAGTTGACTTCTGCAACACCTGCCTTTCTTCCGCTCTCCCACCCGTGTCTCTCAGGTCCTGCACCATTTCAAGCTCCCCGGCTGCCTCTCCGGAACCAGTACTCTGAACTTCTTAGTTTGGACCGTCAATGCCTTCGGCTCCTACAAAGTTTCCTTAGGGCACCAAAGCCTGGCTGAACCAGGTCAATGCCTCAGCTCCACCTCATTTCAAATTATACCTTCCCATTGCCTCAAAACTTAAATTCATCCTCGGTTTTGTCACACTGAAAATCAGCCCCAAATGCTTGTGTTAATCAATGCTGATTGCAGGCATGTAGCTAGTTACCCTGTATTCCCCATATTTTCCACAAAAAATGTAAGATGGTTTGTTCAGGCAATATTTCTGCCTCTGGATTGCTTTTAAATGTGAAATACCCAATTAAATTCAGATCTCTTCCCGAAATAAATGTGCCAGAAAGTTTGTAAAGGGTTTTTAAAAAAAAAAATTAGCAGATCTTTGAAATCAGCTTATGACATTTTTATGTCTGTACATTTGTGCCAACAGAAAGGGAAGGAGGGAGAAAGGGAAGGGAAGGGAAGGGAAGGGAAGGGAAGGGATCGGAAGGGATCGGAAGGGAAGGGATCAAGCTGGCATTCTAAAATCTGCATATTGGTGATGAAAACACTTTGCCACAATGTAAACTAACCACATCAGCACTGAGAACTGGCAAGTGAGTAGTACCAAACAATACCTTACATTGGTGTGCCTTTTGACATATAAATTATGGAAATTGTTTGTATTTTCCAGCTGGCCTGCTTTCGGTCCCTGTAACCGCTGAATGATCTCAGCTTTCATCTCCATGGCTATGTGAGCTGGAAGCAAAGAAAGCAGAAGCCGCTCCTGGGTTTGAAAAGGGAAAGATAAAAAGGTCCAGTTGTCAAATAAGAAAAAATTGCTCAGGAAAGTTACTTATATATTCACAGCCATGAACATATTCCTGATGAGAGGTGGAAAGAAGGATGCTTCCCCAAGCATAGCTGGGGAAAAACTACACATGACCTACTGCTGTTTGTAGTTTTTGCCTGATGCTTTTTGTCTTGTCTTTTTTCTTTTCAAGAATTCAGCAGAGACTGAATGCTTCTGTGGAAGACTGGAGTGAAGGAGCGGCAGGGAAACGCTTCCTAATCTCTGTGGTTTCTCCATGGAAGGAAAAGCAGCCGGGGAGGAAGAGGGAGTGGGTAAGCACGCACACAGAATATGTCTTGTTTGCTTAAAAGAAATCCTAAGGGCTCGGTCACAGGCCTTTGCCCCACCGCTGAAATTCTTTTGCCTCCGGATCCACGTGCTTGCCTTTACGTCTGGCCCTGGCGGTCTGTGCTTTGGCCGCACATGCAACGCACGCACCAAGAAGAGAACAGCACAAAGGGCACACTGTCGGTGCCAGCCGGCCATTCGAGCGCCTCTCCCCGCGAGTCAGCCCCCCAGCCTGGACTTCACGCCTCCGAGGGAGGGTGCAACATGGCGAGCTCCTCGTGGGAAGCAGCAAGGAGATTTGCTCCCGCGCGTCCTGCAGGCAGAGCTGCAACACCTGCTCTGTGCAGGGGTGCATCCAGCCCCTTTTCCCCCACGCACTGGCCTTGCTGAGCTAGCCTCCCCCGCTCCTTCAGCTCCCAGCAACTCAAGACAACCCCTGGACAGGCACAAGAGAACACTGTAGCAGGGTCCTTTCATGTGCAAAGACACACTTAAACAACTTTTATGTTGCAGAGAAACATAGGTTTGCTGAAGCTGGAAAGAGATCCCTCTGCCCATGTCAAGAGTTGAATCCAAACCGGAAGCTTCCCTGCAGTCCCTCCCTTTCAGCAGGGCTTCTGGCTCCACCCTCAGGCGGCTCTAACCACTGGGAAGCAGGGCGGTGAGCGCAACAGAGCCCCCAGCTGCGTGGCTAGCCCCCAGTGCCTCCTCACTAGTTCAGAGACCGGGCCGCACATCTTGTCCCTTCCAAAACAGACTCTCGCGCTCCGTGTGAGAAAGCTCCCTGGGCAATGTTGGAGGTGCTTGAGAGGCGCCAGCCCCCACTTGACTCCGACGACAAGGACTCCCATCGCGCTGAGCAAGAGGCTTGCTCATATTCTACTTTGATCCCCCACAGCAACGCAGAAGCAGGGGTCGAACGCGGGACTCCCGGGGACCAGCCAGCGATGGCAGCCACTGGCATGGGCTGGGTGCTGCTCTCCAGAGTTCAAGGACCACAGAGAAGGTCTTGCGTCAACGGCTGCTTGTCTTGCTCGTCCCCTCCGCGTCCTGCCATGTGGTCAGCCTCTTCCTCCTCCTCCTCCTCCCTTCTCTCTGCAACATGCCGCCTCCAAGCCGGAAGCCGTGACGGCAGCTCGCATTTTCCTTTCGACACTTGCACTCGTGGCTTTCGGGGCTGCTTGTAGCTAAGCCACATTAGCAGGTCTTCTCCAAAAAATGGGTTCGGAAGACTGACTAAGCCAAATGGATCCGGAACTTCTAAGAAACAAAATGCTGTGTGACAGTCAGCTACACCAGACCGGATGCCCAGTGGACACAGCTCTGGAGAAAAGCTGGTCCAGATGAGGTGGATCCCCACTGGACACAGCTCTGGAGAAAAGCTGGCCCAGATGAGGTGGATCCCTCACCTTCCATCCTTCCCTGAACTTTATGGAGGCATCCAGATGTTCTTGAGACCTTCCTGGGTTTATTAGTCTAAGAAGGAAAAGATGGAGCTGCTGCATGATGCCTTCTGGCTGCTCGTGTTACGATCTCTGTGCCAAGAAGCATCTATTCACCCTTCGTGCAACAGCTGACACTAGGACTCAGTTATTACGCCGTGCCGGAGCGATCACCTGGGGGCTGATCCCAGAGATGGCCCTTGCACGCACACCCTCGTCCCTTCCCTTCCTTCCACTGCTATTCTGCCCAACAGCTGAAGCAACCGCACTCAAGAATACAACAGTCGGGGCGTCTGGCAGGACCCTCTTGCCAGGTTCTTTTGCCCTTCTCCCACCTCAAGAGAGAGCAGTGAGAGAGAAAGAGGCAATGCGAAGAGCTGCAGTTGCCCACCCAGAAAGAAAGACTTGCATATCTTCCGCCTTCAGAAACCATCTTCCTGCAGCTCGTAAGCCCGGAGAAGCCAAGGTGCCGCAAAACCCTGCTTTAGCTGCAGTGCGCATGGATGAGGCCTCGCCGTCCCCCCGCCTTCCTTCGAGGTCCTTTGTGAGGCGGTGCTTTCGTGTCCGTTCTCTAGCAGGCCACAAAGACCAGGCCGCATTTCCAACGGATGCGTGGCATTGCCTTTGATGCACCAGCTTATTCTCCACACCTTATTAGGCAGGGGCATCTTCCAGCCCACGGACACATCCCCTTCCTCAGCACCAAGACACACTTCAGACAGCGATGCCAACACATTTCCATTCCTCAGCGCTAATTCGTTTGTCAGCACTGGCTGAATGACCTGGTCGGGAAAACTGCTCGGCTGGCTTTGTCCTGCCACTCCTGCCAGAGCGCTTCAGCAGACAAAGGTGAGGCTGATTCCCCAGTGAACACATTCCAGTCCTTTCCCCCGTTATTCTCAGATCCAGGATTATTTCTCTGCCATCTCCTCCACCTCCATCAAACAATCTTCTGTTTGCATAAATCGCTTGGCCCATTCCTTTGCGCTGCCTCTTTTGCCTGGCCCTCCCTGTAGAGCCTAAATGTGGGGCCTCTCTCTCTCATTCTCTCTCTCGCACTCATCATCATCATCATCATCATCATCATCAAATCCCATGCTCTTCTTTTACTCTCTCCATCTACAAAACTAAAGCCTAAGGATGTGCATTGTGTTTGTGGATATTCTTGTCTCATGCTTCCTTTCTCTCCATTATCTCTCCCCCTTTTCCAAATTTAGACTCTAAGCTCCTCGGAAAATGAACCTAACTTTCTCCTTATGTTTCTGTGCAAAACAAGGCTCCTGCGATATAAATAGAATTCAGACTGTCATTCAATGGGACTTACGCTGAGGGAACCTGATCCTGAGTACAGAAGGAAATGCCATTTCCCTGCCTCAGTCTTTGGCGTCTGTACCAGCCACTGATATTTTACAGGTGGCTCACAGGAGTAACATTTATTGGAAGAAGGAACTGTGTGGAAAGCTCATGCCTTACCCTTGAAGGCATATTTTTTGGGGGGAGGGGGCTGTCCTTGAGCACCTGTCCACCTGATGAGCACAGGTGTGTAGAAACAAAGGGTCTCTCATTCTTCTCTTTTAACTTTTCGTGAGGAGGTGGAGAGAGGAGAGTTTGAGGATGGCAACTGGAAGAGGGGGCAGTAAAATCCCACCTCCCAAATCTTGGTCCTGAACAGAGCTTACCTGGAGTTAATTTCGTCATGTGTACAGGCACAACCTGTATACATGACGAAATAGCTGCAGGAGGCAGCTATTTCAATAAAGGAAGTACCTGGACCAGTTCATCAGAAAGACGGCGATGCAGGTGACTTTCAAGGCAAGAAAGGGGGGATCACCACCATGGGAGGAGGGACAAGCCGTGCCGTGAAGGCCCTGTGGGAGACGGGCCGAGCCTTTCTGGGGGTGGGCAAAGGGAAAACCCCTCCGCGGCAAATGTGGGTGTCAACAGCCGTGCAGCTTAGTGAGCGATGAACACTGTGGCTTGTTTTCAGTGCGACATCTTGTGATGAGCAATGGCATGAACAGGAGAGACAGCCCCACATCCAGAACTTTTAAAATATCCTACAGTGCACTCTGCACAAGCACAAGAACCACTACACGCGGCTGTTTTACCCTCCCGTAACCCAGACTTGCCTGGTTGGCCTGACGGAACCACCCCGAGAGGGGCTGGATACGCAAAGGGGCACCCTCGAGCGGCTGTGGATTAAAGAACACGTGACAAACTGGTCCATGTCATGCAAACAAGTTTGTTCGTGACCTTCCAGCTTCAGTACCACTCAGAGGTCTTTATGGTGTCCTTCTTCCAGACTTAATTCCTTGATCCATGGTGGACACGACAACGCAGGCTGCACCCATGCCAAGCTGTGCTACAGCTTTGCATGGCGGAGAGAGCGAGAGCGAGAGAGAACAAAGCCAGTTCCTGCCTACCAGTCGGTGTCCCGGAACAATTCAGGTTTTTAATTTCATCTCAGTCCTGCTACTGATGCATCAAACTCTCTCTTCTGAGCCTCTTCAGGCTAGGGGTTTGGGAGATCCCTCTCTCTCTGCCCTATGACTCTGAGGTCACTCTGGCAGCCCTGCAGGGAAGGACCATGTCATGAGCTTCCTGCAGGCCCCTCTGAAAGGAAGGCAATGCTTCGGCCATCTTTACTGTCTCCCTGCCCTAAATGAAGACATTCTCATCGAGTCAGGTTCGCGGTTGCGAAGTTTGTGTGCTTACAGACTAGCTTTTCTGAATGGATACTTCTCAATGGGTTCTAACTGCTCTGGTTATGCTTTAATTATGTTGAAACTAATCTGCATTTTACTGACGCTGGTAGTATTGAACACTTACTTAAATAAACTTACTTAAATTGAACACTTAAAAAATAAAGTGGAAAGATGCCATAGAAATAAACAGACTGGGACCAAATTGATAAGCACAAGCAACCAGGTGGAAGAAAAGCAAGGAGGATATTAGCCGATCCTTAACTTGGGAATTGGAGCAGTATGATGTAGGGCCATGCCAACGGTCAACACTCTCTCCATGGCCCAGGTAATCGGTTGGGAAGGGCCACCAGCAGAAGGCCGGAGTTCCATGACGAGACAAGCAGAGAGACAGACTTCCTGCAAGGAGAACTTGTCCCGCATTGCAGACACGCTCCGGTGCTTCACAGCTAGAGAGTAAGGCTGAGAAGGAAGGTGTGCCAGAGACACGCTCGCCATCGCTTGGGCTGCTGGCGCCGCAGTTTGTCAATACAGCGGCAAGGATTAAGAGCATGGCTTAGATGGCATCCCAGGATTCACAACGATGTGCAAATTTCGTCAGCAGACCACCAGAAATGAAAACGGCTCCCTAAATGCAGGAAGTTAGCAATGACTGCACCAAGCCAACATGAACCTGGCTGAACAACCCTCCATTTCCCGCTGAGATTTCCCATGCCTACAGGCTGAAAACAAGAACCAGCATCTGGCTGATTAAACCGGCTGTTCTTCTCCATGTTTTGCTCTTGAAGACAGCCATCTTGGGAAAAGAACAAGGCAGCGTGCCCAACTGCCTGGGGAAACCATCGTTTCTGGAAGACAAAACCAACCGCCTGTCTTACAGGCATTGACACTTTATGGCACTGCAAGTCTGATGAGCTCAATCAATGTTAATAAGGTTTATAATCAGTACACATCTGCTTCAGTTCACAAGTCAGCTGAGTGTGTGATGGTCAAACTATAAGAGGAAAATCTATATGGGACGGCGCTGCATCTCCATCAGTCTCCCCGGACCTCTTGCGGCTCAGAAGAGGAGATGCTGCAAGAGACAATTAATGTGTATGTCAAACCCAGCTGCGGTAACATTCCCCTCGTTACTGACGGGCTTCTCTCCGTCATGTACACCTTCCAGATTTGTCAGAACAAAGATCTTCCTGCTAAAGTTGGTTTGCATCAGGCCAGGTAAAAACACGCTTCCTTCCAGCGAGGAAAGGCATCGCTTCAGTTACACTTCTGCCGTCCCACTCGGTTACCTTGTTCATTTAACCTGTCACAGCTTCTGACTCTTGTTTCTGAGCTCGTTATAATTAGGATCTTGCCTCTCCCTTGAACATGACGTTCAGTGAGCAATCTCGTATACTAACACCACCTTCTGCTAGAATCTTTCAAAACCTCTGATAAGTCATAGCATGCAAAACAAGGGTAATTATACTAACTGCTCGTCAATGTCAAAACTCAGCTCCGAAGCTTTGAAACTGCCTTAGTTTATTTTCTGTGACAGTTCATCAGTGGGGCAAACAATTTTATAGGGTAGTTGAAATATAGGTGTTCAAAGGGCTTATTGTATGCATTGTACTGATAAAGAAATGTCAGTGCATTTCTCGCAGAAAGAGTGAATGAAACAAACTTGCACAAACCACACGTCCCTTTTGTATTACAGCACAAAACCAAAACGAGGCAGTACCTGAGGGATAAAAAGCGAGATAAGGGAGGAGGCTAAGAGTTGCCTTGGCCATTTCTTCTGATCCCAGCTGCCATTCTGCTTACGATTTCCCCTTCGGCCACGGCCTGGAACGCTATTTTTGGCAGCCTTTTCCTGCTGCTACTATGCTCAGCTGTGCTTTGTTCACCACTTGCGATCGTTCATAATGGGAAAAGTCTGGACCAGGGATGCCAGACCTTGGCCAATGGTCAGGGGGTTACGGTAGCCCAAGTCCAACATCCGGCGCATCCTCGGATTCCCCCTCCCTGATCTCGACCAAAGGAGAACCGGGCTCCACAGAATGGTACCACCTATTCTAGTTGAGGGAACATTTCCTTTCAGTCCAGGCTCACTGGCCATCCTTTAGCTGCCATCATTTGTCACCAAAGAGCTCAAGACTTTATTTTGAGCATTTTTAACAGCATGCATGGAATGCTATGAATTCAGACTTCTATTTTGCTCTTCTAAACCACAGCACAGTACTAATTTTATAGATCCTGAGTGTTGTGCTGAGCACAATTTTTCTTTATAGCAAGGTGGAGTGCAAATCAGATAAGGAAGTGAATCTTGACTTAAAAGCCCCATTGGTTTCACTGGGGCTTACCCACAAATAAGTGTGTAAATGTGAACAGAACTGCAGCCTTCATAAGGTATCTGTCATAGTCACAGACAACACAACTGTTAAAGGATGAGTGTGTGTTGTCACTGAATTGTGGGTTATTGTGGAAACCTGGGTTAGTGTGTTGTTGGACAAACCATGTTTTGTTAACCATGAACAATCCATGAAGAGAACCCATGGTTTATTGTTAGCTTGTGAACTGTGGGTTGTTCACGATTAACAAATCATGGTTTGTTGGCATGGCTGAATTCAGGAAACAGGATAACTCACTTTCAGCACCCCTTGGGTCACCACTCTCAGTCCCAGTCTTACACCCGTGTTACATCTCACAACAAATTAAGCAGTCCTGTGACTATGCCATGATTCCTCAGATGTGGGATTCAGCATGTTGGAAGTCGCAGCTGTTTTTCTGCCGAAGTGCACCTAGGGTTCCAAACACGGGTGTGAAAGGGTATGAGCAAAGAGAGAAGATGAATAAGATTTCCAGTGCTGGTGGGGAGGGTAAACAGGAGGCCAATGGGCGAGAAGACCAGGCAGAATAATGTCAGAGTAAGGGAAAGGAAATGGAGCAGAAAGAAGACTTCTAAAGGAAAGCAGTTAACCAGCTTGCCAGCTTCCTCATATGCAGCCTTTAATTACCCCCGACCTTCGATTGCTGAAGAGTATGCAGGAGATCAGACAGTACATTAATGTAATAAAATAAATGAATAAGATCAGAAGGGTCCATAGAAATTCAGAAAAAAAATTCTATAATCTGCTGTGACAAAAGATAGACTTTCTGAGGACATTCTCCCAGCACTTCTCTTGGGATCTTTCCATCTGCCACATATTTGCACATTATTTTGGGGCCATGAACTGCACTGTACTGCTTGGCATAATCTCCCTGAGGTTTCAAAGCGACAGACAACACCAAAAGGAGAACTTTGAAGCCTGGAGCCTAACATCCCTTTCATCTTCCCCTTTCTCATCAGAAACAAAAGTCAGCGGAGAGACAATCGCTAAGACAGCCATTCCATCTCTTCTACACTTGGGAGGAAACAGCAACAAGAAACACAAAGCTTCTGGAGAACTTTCCCTGCTTCTGTCTGATCCAGAGTTACATTGGCACGTCCAGCAAGAGAAGCACCACCGAATGGGAGGAAAGGGTCCGCGAGATGCCGAGAAGAACCTTACCTGCTGGCGTTTCTCAAACTCCAACTTGATGCGGGATTTGATGCAACTGCAGGTGTCTTGGTAGGTCTGTTGCAGGGCAAGTTCCATGAGCTGCTTGTGGTAAGCCCCGGCGAGGTTCCCACAGATGAAGATGATCCCATTTGCCAGGATCTGCAAGACCAATGAAACACACCAAGCCTCACTCAGGTGTCCGCGGCTCTTACTTAAACCACTTTTGCTTTCAGTCACATTGTATAGTTTCCTGCATCTTCACCACCTCTGTTACAAAATCTGTGTTTTAGACCTCACGAAGTGAACATTAGAACACAGTATTTGTTTTTGAGGGGTGATTTATCTTGCCAAACAAATCCCTCTCTCGGATATTGACTACTGATTCTTTGTGTTGTTCCTTCCTCCTTAGCTTTTAATGCAAAATTGCATTTCAGAGGGTTCCAGCGATTGTAGAGATCATCGTGTGATACCAGGAATACTTCAGTGAAGAAAAATCCCTGCGTGCAGAAAACCTGCCTGCTAGGAAGAAGGGTGCCGACGTGGAAAAGTGGCTTTAGACATGATTTTCTGGATTTTATAAGACCAATGTGATAATAAGGTCAGTGGTGCTTAGAATCTCTGGACAATTGCTGGGGCTCAGTGCTGGGCAGCATCTGGGCACTCCGCAACAACCGAGAAACCTGTTTGCACATTCCCACAACCCTATGTCAAGTGTTGTGGGAATGTCAAAATGGTGGGCAATTGAAAAGTCAGTGCAAAAGAAACCAAAAAGGACCTTAAGCAGAGAAGTCTATTCTTCCATCTTAGGAAAACGCCACTTCTTTCTCCTGTATGTGCAACCCTGAAAGTTACAAAAAATGTCCAGGAATCCCTAACTCCTGCTGTGTATGAGGGCTGGCTGGTTAAATTTTAAGATCAGGAGAAAGGGGGCAGCTGGATTCAGAACCTGGAAACAGCTAGCCATATTAGTAAAATTGTTACTAATTTAAAAAAAACAAACTGGTAAAATTGTTCCCAGAGCCTGCCATATCAGACTTCATGACTACTGCCTCCAGCTTTTAACGAACAAGCCAAACATCTACGGTACAAGATTACACCTCTGTTACTCCCCTGACATGCTGGTTTTCTGTGCGAATGGGATTCAGCGCAAGAGTATTCCAAAATACACACACAACTTGCAGCTGCACACACAGCACATTCAAGAAGTTTTCTCGTGTGATATTTTGAGAGCTGGGAGATTTTCTAGATGGATGTGTTATTATCCAGTTGCCCTGCTTCGCTCAAGAAGAGCTGATTTTCTCCAGTTTCTGCTCCCATTTGTACTTCCCCGTCTTTCCCTGCTGTTTCTTGCACCCCCTTTCTTGCCACAGAACATCTGCTGCAGAAGTCCGGAATTCCAGGGGGAAAAGAAAGAGGCTTCTTTGGCTTGATAATGCAGGGAGTGACTGGAAGTACCCCTGTTCTGGAGCTTCTCTTACCAGAAATCACAGAACCATAGAATAGTCAAGTAGGAAGGGGCCATGACGGTCGTCCAATCCAACCCCTTGGTAGGACACCAAGTCGCACCATCCCACTCAGAGGGCTGCCCAGTTTGTTTTTGAGTGTCTCCCATGTGGGAGAGCCCCCCCACCTCTCCAGGCAGCTGGTCCCACTGCCATATTGCTCTGACCGTGAGGAAGCTTTTCCTGGTGTCCAGCCTGAATCTGGGTTGTCGCAACTTGAGCTGATTCTTCCGTGTCCTGCACTCTGGCATCAGCAAGAGGAGATCTCAGCCTTCCTCTTTGTGAATCAGGTATTGGAGAGCAGAACAGAGAAGGTGTGGCTTTTGGTGCAGCAAGGAACAGGTCAGTGGAACAGGCAGCGTGCCAGTCACTGGACGGGGAGCCATCTTTCCCATCCTCCCCTCTGCAGTTGCCTTTTCTGCTGGAGCTCAACCATCGTCACAATGATAACATATTTCTATGCATGTCTGTGCCCGAGGGACTTTGTTTAATGCAGCACCTATGTCGATGTTTGCCGAGAAGAAAAAGGACCCCGAGCTTCCCAAACAAAACACTTGAACGGCTCTCTCATACCCGTTTGAAATTATAACTCTTACTTTCTTTGGAGATGAAAATATACATTAATGACACGGGCCCAGTTCACACATTGTGAAAACAACCATGGTTTATTTCACCACAATCTGTGGACATTTGTGCCACCCGCAAGCCACTTCTGTTTTCTGTAAACAGCCTCCTGTTGGCTTGATGAAAAGTTGTGAGTATGCGTGTCCAAATCTACAGGTTGTTTGGGTGCTAAACAATCCCATGTTTTCCCCACAATCTGCAAACATCCCCACAAACTGCGGGTTAATTAACCCTGGATTTGCCCTCATGATGTGTGAACAGCACCACTTAGTAGGTCCTGAAATGAGATGCATTACTATTTTGTTATTATTAATTGCATTTATAAATCACCCCACAGCCCCATGGGGACCTCTGGGTGGTGCTCAGGGTACAGCCCAGAACAAAAGCATGAGCAGCAATAAAAGCAGAATGCATGGAAGCCGCCACCTCAACAAGGCAATAACAAGCAGCAATATGCCTACAATTGCAGCTTGAAAACATCAATAAAAGCAATATTAACACCAATCTTTAGTTGATTATTAAAATGTCAGGTAAATAAAACAGTTTTGACCTGGCACTGAAAGGAAAACAAGGACGGTGTCAGACACAAATGATGAGATCTTGCAAGGCTTTTATGCACTCAGAAACTTGGACTTGCAAAGACAACCTCAAAGCAGCAATATCTGGGAACGCTGCACCTTACCAGCTTGCTGCATTTCCTTCAGTTTATGTGCGTTGCAAAGCAAGATTGCTCCGGAGGCCAAGTGCTGGCCTAGTACACTCTTTCCCATTTAAAAGCAAGACGAGATGAAGCACCATGTGTTTGTTCCTTGGGCAACTCTTAAAAGGTAAAATGTGCCCATTTATTAAAATACATGGGCTTCATGTTGGCAAATTATGCAGCTTTTTAAAACCTTGTTTGCAAGGTGACAAACTGCAAAAGGAGCATAGATTGAATAGTTTAGATTATAGGAGAATTCAGTCTTTAAAATAAATGAACATATGCCGAATTGTTCATGACTCAAGCGTTTAAAAAGTTTGCCTCCTTTCTACAAACAGCACTTCATTCTGCCATGCTGTTTCGGATGCCGATACATCATACATCCTTGGGATACAGAAGTATTTGGAACAAGCCAAAGCAAACAGAGCTATTACCTTCCTTCGGTACCACTTTGAATCAAACTGTTCTGTGCCCGGGCTGTGATAAATGCTCTGAGTCAAACAGTTTTGATGAGAAAAATAGTATCCCCGGTCCAAAACGTTCTCCAAAAGACCTTCAGATGTTTGCAAGCATTTGCTTCCCTGACTAGCTGCTGCTTTAGCATTTTTTTCAACACAGAACCCTTTCATTTCAGGAATAGGAATTGTGTCACTTACTGAGTGGGTTTGATTGACACAACAAGCCACAATTGTTTCTTGTCAGGGCCATGTCACCTGAACCTTGTTGTGCTGTTGTTTTTATTTTAGACCAGGAAGATCAATAAGCAGATAAAATAGCAGTAGAGGAATTAAAGGATGCTTAAAACAAATACAATTAGTACAATATTTTCACTCAAGCATGTGACCACATTTTCCCAATCTGCCCTACAGCCATTAAAAAAATTGGCAACATTTCCAGCAGCCTAAGAGGATGTATCCCTTAACAGATAGCCGTGTGTAAGAATTATTCCCATAAAGACCTGTTATTAATAGTTTAATCAATGTCTCTGTGTATTCCCTGTAAAAGCTGCAATACAGGAAAACACACCCCACGTTTCTACTGTTCCACCCATTCACTGACCGCAGTCTTGGTACATCATCATTTTAATAGTGCAGACGGTAGCACATTAAAACCAGCAAGAATAAATGCTCTTCTGTACTTTGGGATAGTTAGTGCGTACGGATACGGGACTGCAGTAAATCCTCCATTATAACGCTTACTGCAGTTAAGATGAAATAGTGAGGAACAAGCTTTGTGACTCTATTGTGGTGTTTCAGCATGGTATGTTTGGATTTAAGAAACCATAATAAGAGACAGCACCCTGCTCTGTGGATTCCATGCTCCACTGTGGCTTCTCCGGTTGTCTGGACCCCGTATCATGGTTTCCATGGTCCTAGTAAGCAGCTACCACAAAGCTTGTCTGAAGCCTGAGGTCATCTTCAAAGGTCGTTCTCTGGAGCCTCCTCCATTGGAAGCGAGGGTGGTGGCTCTCAGGAGAAGGGCCTTCTCAGTTGTGGCACCCCAGTTGTGAAATGCGCTCCCCACAGAGATGCGCCTGGCACCTACATTGCATTCTTTTCGGCTCCAGGTGAAGACCTTTTTTATTTTCCCAGTACCTTAAGAGTTTAATGCCTAAAGTTTGTTTTTATATACTGCATTTTATTCTGTACCACTGCTATGCTTCTCTGCTGATTCAATTGCAGCTGCTGTGCTTTTGTCGTTTTAGGTTCATTTTCATTGTTGGCATGCTTTGAACTTTTGTTAGACGCTGGAGAGCCTTGGCTATTGGGTGGTATAAAAATGAAATGATCGATAGATAAATAAATAAGAGCAGCAGCTGTTGCAGGAGCTCTTCTTGCTATCCAGCGTGGGAGCGAATTTCAGGTGCGGCGGATAACAGTGGGAGAAACGAGTGAGGAGGGAGAGAATCACACGATGCAGAATCCACTTAATAATCCATCAGGTGTGGCCTGGAACGACCTGGGGAACGTTCCGTTTCCATTTGTCGTTCCTTCCCCAAAAACACACCTTGTCAAACTTGGCCAAAATTCAGGAGCACTTCACTTCCTGAAGGGGAAGCAAATGTGCCCCCAACGAACCCCTCTGTCATCTCTTGTCCATGGCACTGTTTACTTAAGGTTCTCCCGTGGATCATGCTTAGTGGTTCTCCAGGGGAGAAGCAACAAAACTCATCTGTCTTCAGCAGTGCCTTCAAAGTTCTAGATTGATGAATTCTATATTGATATTGATACTTATATTTTATATTTATACTTGAAGGACAGATGGAAACGCTGGACTAACACTCTTTAATATTTACTGACGCATCTGTCCTCTGAATTTATCTACTGCTTCTT